CCTACACCAATGACTTCATATCCTGAGGTTTCAACATAGTCAGAAAAATATAATCTATTTTTGACTATATATCTGATAGTGCCAGAGTCCTCTAGCCATGATACTCCTGAGAGTGAGGTAAGTGTGATATCTGTTGCACAAAATATGCAGTCTTCTTCTTCTGAGTCCAATTTAGTAACATGTACCTGAGTCTGGCTCTTTCTCTTTTCTTTCTATGACTTTCTGGAATTTTTCTTCCTATTTGGGTAATTTGTCCTGATGTGATCAGTTTTCCTATATCTATAACATGTGACTTTTAGATTGGACTTCTTGCTATATGCTGCAAGTGTCATGGTCTGATCAGAAGTCTTTTCCTTTAATCAGATGTCTTTCTGAAGAATTCAGGAAATCAACTTATAAGAATCTTTCAAGTCAGCAGTATCCACTGATGAGATGAATGAATTCCATGATTCTGGGAGTGATGTAAGCAGTATGATAGAAAAGTCCTCCTCCTCAACTTTCTGCTTAAGGGATGCCAGCTCCTTCTGATAAGACCTCAAATTCCTAATATGCTCCTCTATGTTTCCTCCTTCTTCACACCGAGCTCTGAAGAATTTTCTTCTGACAAGGACAATTCCCATGGGTCTCTTAGACTCATATATATCTTTCAGAGCTTTTCAGACTTCTGCTGAAGTCTTTGAACTAGCAATATATACCAGCAGGCCATCTGAAACCTGCAATCTTATTGTTGAAAGGGTCTTCCTATCACTCTTCTTCCAATCTGCCACCAGTGTCATGTCTGCTGAGGCTGAGATGCTTCCATCTGCATAATCAATTAGTCCTAAATTAGTTAGAATATTAATCATCTTGATTTTCTATGTCAGATAATTTTCTGGGCCCTTAAGAAGATCAATTCTATATATAGACTGGCTATCTATGTGGTTCTACATGTGTACATAAAGTATGAAAGAGTGTGAAATGAGTAGTGATATAAGTTTAGTTATAGCCAGAGCCCATAACCTGTTGTAAGTAGAGAGCAGAGTAATGTATAGAGGATTAGAATTGGCCTCTCAAGAGAGAGACATTCTACTTAAATACATTTTGTATTACTTTGAGATCTTTCTATGAGATACTAAATAAGTCCAGATCATGATCCAAGTCAGCTGCTGCTGACTGGCATTGTATCTTCAAGTACATTCTCACACTCACTCAGGATTGCTATCCCAACAACATCAGTGTATACTACTGTCTTAAATACTATCTAAAGAACTCTGTATTCTACAGGTGACTATTATCTGCTTTTCATGCTCTCTGCTTATTGTCTGAGATAACAATGACTGTACCCTTGCTTTTATTTGTCATTGTTGCTCTGCTATACTATCACTATAGTAGGTTTTCCATATGCCACAGTTTCTATTGTATTCAAGATGTGGAATAGTGATAGTTACTATATTGTTTCTTGCCATCTTATTGTGTATTGATAAATAAGGTATAGCTATGGTATTATCATATTTTCATCATCTTTTGTAAGATTGACCTGTGGTCAGAATTGGTAAGCATCAGTAGGTCATGATTTAGAGGCAAAAATCATAACAGGTCAAATAAATTGTGACACTATTGATGTTTAGCACTCATAAGTATTCTTCTTTATCTAGCATTTCCAATATGCTACTGAGTGCAGACAGGAATAATGATTCCTTTTGCAGCAATATCTTTAGTGTTGAGGCTAAAGTGATAGTGGCAACAATCATTATTGAATCTCTTTTGAATGGACATTGGTGGCAAAAGAATGTCAAAGAAAACTGGACTCACCCTTTTATCATTTGTATGACCATCTCATTTCTCTCCTTGGCCACCCATAGAATATCTAGATATATTGACTCACCAGCAATGCTGAAAGCTTGTGTAAGAGCACTCTGTACAGCCTGACACAAGAACAGCATGTCAGATATTTCTGGAGATACTGAAAATCACATGTAATAGTATTCAGTATTCATCAGGATCTGATATACAGCATGAAAGAAGATCAAGCATGAAAACTGAAGAAATCGAATTTCCAAGGATTCTTTATATAAGCCCCTTTCTTCAATATTTGGGCCACAATAAGAGTTTAGAGTTTAGAGGTTGGAGATTAGAAAAACCAACTGGTATATTATTCCATTGGGATACTGATGTTTTGTGCTACCACTAAAAGTGTCACTAACTATAACAATGCTGTGCTGCTGTGATATTTATCAGATGCTAACTGGCAACATCTCATAGAGACTATAGAAGATTAAGACTCAGACTGTATCCAGAGTATATGCCTGTAAGACCTTTAGTCTTTGGATTACAAACTCCTAAGGAGTTTTCTATTGACTTCTCATATTTATACTAAACTACTCCTTTTCCAGTAGTTTCTATCTAATTCCTTCAATTTCCCTTGGATTCTTTTCTTACTCAGTATGCCAGAATGCTGGATTGCTCAAATTCTCTCACAGATTTCAACATAGAAGAACAAGATGGGTGAAGAATTACACATGTAGACCAGTGACCAGAAGGACAAGTGTGCTATTAGTAATTTGAGTATCAAAGACTGCAGGAGAATATAAACTTGGGCAGCTCTGAATATTTCCAATCCATGATATGGCACTCAACTTTGCTCAAGTAACCTATAGTACAGGCATGAGAGTCATCCTTTAGCAACAAGCAACAATCCTTTTTCTGTTATTTTTTAGTCTTGAAATTGGCAGAAGGCTGCAGCATTGTCAACCAAAGAGAGTCTGTGCACATGATGCTCATGGGAAAGTCATATCAGATTTGGACTGATAGCCTTATTTTGCTCTCAGACAGGCTTGAAGATTACAATCAGGTCTGTTGCTCTACTGTGCACTATTTTGTCATCTTAGCTGTTCTATTCAATAAATGTTAAATTGCAGTGTGCTTTATATATTGAAATAATCTTCAATGTGTCTGGATACACAATCAGTAATCACTGGCAGCACTGAACTGGATTGTGACCCAACTTTACTTGCAGCATTCTAGTACCATTAGTGCAAACTTTTGTGTCTATATCTATGTCAGTTATTTAGCAGCACAAGATGTACACATTCAGATACATTTTATTCATCACAATGTGTAAGTCATCTCAGCAGACTACTATTTTTATATATAGCCAAAAGACTATACTGATTACAGTTGCAGATTACTGCACATATTCATCTTGACTAGTATTATTAGCCAACTGAGATGAATTATCTCACTCCTCCACAAATAATAATATGATGACAAGGCAGCTTTTCACTTCAATGAATTCTGTCCTTCAACACCATGGCCACAATTGTGTACCCATAGTGACCCTTAAATTGCTATAGCCACTCAAGCCACTCAATGCACCTAGCACTGCCTCATAAATTGCTAATAAGGTTATTCCTTCAGATTGCCTATACTCTATAGCCATAACAGACATTTGCTTGCCTCAGCCAGACTGGCTTATCTTGCTACATTTCTTCATTGGGCAACTCTCTCTATATAAGATAAATTCTGCCAACCAATTCACTCAACTCACAAAATCTGTTATAAGAAGGAGCATCTGCCATGGTTTTCATCATCCTCTGAGCTTCCTCCCAGGTTTTCCCATCCTCTCAGTCTATCTCTTTCCTTTCTCTCTCTGTTGTACTATGAGTTTCTCATCCATGAACTTGAAAATTATGTGTTTTTTCCATATGATCTACATATAGTCTCCTCACTGATATAATCTCTTGTTAGTCTTTTCCAGTGGCCAGACTTGTTCCACTGCATCTTCAACAACTGCAATCAGCTGTTCATGCATAAGAACAATCTGAATTGTCATCTTAAAGCTCACTACACAATGTGGGTGCTCTATTACTACTGGAGTACATGATGACTAATGATCTAATTTGCAGGGGTAGGTATTAGTGCCTATGTTGTGGCCACCTCTTCAACCAGGCTGCTAATTTGGAGAGTCATATGAACAGCCTAGTCTCTAATGGCATCCTGACATTTTATTCTCCCAAGTCTTGGCCTTAAACCATACTGCTGTCTGAACTGTGTTCTCATGACTGCTAACAAAGGCTCACTTCTCCACCATCATAAGAGACAGCATAATTACATGCCCAAGAAGTACTGCAAAGCTCAGAATGTTATCAAGGAGGCAAAAGAGAAGTGGACTGGTCCTCTGTACATCAAAAAGATCTCAACACTGGCTGCCACTTGACACACCACTTGATCCACTACCATCACCTCCCATTCCACCATCTCTCCTTCTCCTTCCCCTTCACAATCTCCTGCTACTCCTTCTTCATCTAAAGTCATGAATGATTTCTGTTCATTAGACTGGAACATGAAGATGCCAATACTCCCACAAGCTAAAGAAGTTTACTCTGCAGCCAGAGCTGGCTTCCCTCTTGAAGGACTGTCTCCAACAACTACTGAGGCATTGTCATTGCTCTTCTCCCTCCTCAATCATCCCCATCAACACCTTCTGGCTGAACAGATGGCAATAACAACAAGCAGCATATTCAATGAGCAGGGATCTGAAGCCTCTATGTCTGCCTTGGCCAACTACTCTGCCACCACTGATGCTGATATGGTAGATATCTGCAAGGATCTCTTTGGGACATGAGTTCCATCCTCTGACTCAGAATCATTCAAGTTCATGTCTTTTGAATTTGAAGAGGCACTTTCAGAGTGGATGGGGCCCTTTGACTTTATCCTTGACTAAGAATCGATCGGAGTAGCATTGAGAATGTGAAAATGACTACAGAGACATTTTATTTCTCCTCCAATCACATTTATATTTCAACTATTCTCAGTTGTATCACCTTATATGCTATTTATTGTCTCGGTTCCAATGCTTGTCGATCTCAGTTTTTTGTTTTTGTTTCTGATTTTGTTCTTTCAATCAATCGTATTGTTCCTCATCCTACATCATGTGCACCTGGATAATCTTCATTCCGCTTCTGTCTACCTGAGATGGTGGGCCTTACTATTGGTAGCGATTCAAATGGAGCTTATTTTCATCAAACCCTAAACGGTCAAGACACCAAAACAAGACGTCAGTCGAGTATGTACACAGAAGGCGCAATGACAAGAAAATGATAATTGACATCTACCTTTGATACTTGAAGAAAATGCGAAGCGTTTCGATACCGCAATCCTGGTAAATTTCCTCCCCTCGCTACGCCATGAAAAGGGAGAAAAAGTTTCTGGGCTACAATTCACTTGTTTCTTGATGTCGTAGGGCGACCATGCACCTTCACACACTTATTCATCTCCAAGCCCTATCCTGGACATCCCTAACGTGCGGGGAGTATGTCATCCATGACTCTATTGCCCAACGCCAAGGTTCTCTTCTTCAATCTTGACTTCCGTCTGCATAAAGTCAAATTGAATATGAGCCACGAATCATAATCATCGCATACAACGGGGAAATCACAAACCGCATTCTTGGAAACTACTCCCAAATCTATCTCGACGCAAATGTTATATGTTGCATCATCTGGAACCTTATCGCTTTCACTTTCTGCTTCATAACCAAAAAAGATCATTCGATTACCAACTGCAGCGAAGGAATGCAGGTTCAGATCCATGGACCCGATCGTTGAGCGGACATTGAAACACTGAATTTTCTCTTCCGGTGGAAGGAAGTACTGCCATAGCCCTGGCATGATATGATCTTCTTTTCCATAGTCCACCCACCCGGCAATCATGGCATGCGCCGGATAGACTACGCGTTCTCGCGGCGGGGAAGACAATCGTTTCCGTTTTCGGAGCAACGGCGAGGTCGTTGGCAAAGTTGGAACGGAAGGTTGAGAACCTTCACTCGAGTACGACCCATACCAGCGCAAGTTTCCAGGGAAGGTGCCGATTGTGTCCGCAGCTGCACGAAATATGAAGTTAGTGGTGTAGAAGAAGATCGAGTTTGATTCCTGCATGTCCACAGGTTGTAGGTGTCTGTCTGAGAACACAGGAAAATAAATAACAGCTATCAACTCACTGCCTTGTTATTCAGGCGCCCAGGTGTCAACAAAATCTTCTTTTCCCCATGCACAGAGAGAGCCCGTCCACCAAACCCTAACGGCGGAACATGGGCATCGTAAGCCCTCTCCTGCCTTCCCGACATCCACTTCCATCGATAGTCTGTGTATTCTGCGATAGAGTAAGATGCTATACCGAGAGAATTCTTGTCGTACGAGGCCCGCCCACCAAAGATGAACAGCTTGTTGTCTATCCCGATCATAGACGCGTTCATCCGCCCACAAACGTTGCCTCCCTCAATTTCGACGTACCACCACTGCGGGTCATCAAGATCAATAGCTATGAGATGAGAAGACACGGCCTCGTCGTCGACGTCAAAGTCACCAAACATGAAGATATAATTTGTCTCTTTGAAATGAAAGAAGGAGCAAGCTGGTTTGAACAACGACGGCAAGGGTTCCGGTTTCCCTATTGGTTCGAATGGTTGATGAGCATTAGACCAGAATTTTGGCTGCATTATGGACTCAGGAAATGATGAAACTTGTGAATAAAGGGAACGCGCATTGTAAGCTTCTTCCACTGCATAGCGTCGACATCCAGAACATGGAAATCGTTCGTAGGGATGTATTTTTTGTCATTGGGACGGCTCCCGCCATACATGTAGATTTTTTTGCCCATATCATCCACAATAATTGTGCACCAGTCATTGAAATGGGGCAGCGATCCAGTGTTTCTTATCTTGTATCCTTCGGGACCAGCCTCAATTCAGACCCCAAAGACGATTTCAGGCTTGGACGACTTGGATATCTTGAAGTGCTTCACACCTGATGTAGATGCCTCATTACAAATCTGCAGCGGTATCCCGCGGAACGAGCAAAGTCTATTATTGAGTCACTATACTTTTCCTGATTTCTCCTGCGTACGTTGAAGCCTCTGATCGTACATCACTGAACGGCGACTGACTGTTAATTCTTTCAGTATGGTTGTCCCAAGATAGATCCGACACCAGCTACTCCGGATCCTCCCCAGGCCATTCCTCCTGGTCAAACAGCTCGTTTCCGACGTGAGTGTCTTTGTTCTACATTGACCTTGTCTATCATATGCTTCTCAAAAGTTCCAGCGAACTGTTTTATGCTGTTCCGGGACCCACTCAAAGGCGTGTATCCTTGTTCATCTAACACATGCTTGTTTACTGATGATTGGAGCGCTATCGGGGTGAACCGTTTTGTTGCGAGGGGTGGGTGATATGTTTTGACTGGGCCGCATAGCCGAATGGAGCGAATCTTACTGGCGAAAGGACTCGAGGGACTGCGACTTTGACTCGTACGTGCTGCGAGGGTGACTACCACTATATATATCCCGTTTAACGGGGGTTTACCTTCGTTGTCCCCAGGTGTGATGCTTGCTATTGTTATAGGATTGATTGGGGCCGCGATAGGTACCTTTGGGGTACTTGTCCGTCCGTAGGACATTTCATTTTTTCGTAGCATACTTTTCGGACTTTTCACAGGACTTTTTGTACAAGTAGTTGACCTCATTTTGTGTATTCATAGATTCGCGCGTTCATCCCCTTCATTGACAACCCTCTTTCTTTACCGTATTGCATAGACAGTTCTAGGCTACTACACTACTAATAATATAATAATTTAGCATGCGCATACCCATTAACGAGGGTAGTTGTTGTGATGTATTGAGGGTCTGTTAAGCAGCTCCCGTCATAGATATCTACGTGCAGATACAACAAAGGCAAGTTCTCGGGTGCCGATGCCTGAAGCATCTACTTTGAAATAGATTAAAGTTAGTGAACGGATCACAGCTTGGGGGGTTTCAACCTCCAGGGTAGTTATGATTGAGAGTTAGATGATAAATGCAATAACTGTAGTTCTTCAGCTGCTGGAGGATAATTACCATACTCGAAGGTCTGGTATTGCTACGTGCTTGGTTGCTGATGGACAGCACCTGTCACCTGGATAATGATTAAAGGAACATCAGCGAATTTCGACAATCATAAAGCACGGAATATGGAGGGTGCAAACTTTAACGATTTCAGGTAGACATGCACTCTCACGTCGGACTGAAGAAGATTCCACTGCCAAAAATAACAGCTGTGAACTGGTCCATCTCCGTTCCAGAAATGCTCGACCTTGGGTAAAGGTGTGATGAAGTGAGGTTTATCACCTCTTCATTATAACACATCAGTCATTACCGATGTGAATTACAGCATGCGTCAACAGAAGCGACGTATAAGTTTGTCAACTGGATAACCCGTGGTCAGACGCCACTTTATCAGAGAGACAAGGTGACCACACCAAAAGAAGTTACTGCTCCTACGAAGGAGAAGACCAAGGTGGATCTTTTAAGTTTCATAGATGGCTAGTTGGAAGACAGAGTCTAGAGGCGGACGAAGAAGCTACTTGAAGGATGGGATTGGCAGGTGACGACTCCGGTTGCTGTTTATCGCCGGGTTCGGCATTTTCACAGAAGACTGGTGTGAAGGAGAAGGAACGGCAGGGTTCACAAAATACCCATGGAACAGTCACTCGTGGCCCAGGTGCACTGGATGATATCTCTACTGCCATTGAGTGCTGGGTAGTCGGTTCGTACGTGCCATCTCAGGATCGTGAATTTGGAAGGGGTCACCATTGTCCTAGATGCATGCGGTGGACTTGAACAAGCCCACAAACCGAAAGCGGCTGAAATGCGAACAAAAAACTAGGTTTGGACCGAAAGTTTGGCGCATAATTATAATATGATGGCATGCCGCTTTGTTCCAAATTTAGATATGCTGATCTGGCACGAATCTAGAATTCCAAGTTGTTTTCTCTTTCACTCGACTTCTTTCAAATCCTATTCTGGTCTATCACTCGGGTGACGCATAGAAGGAAATGTGAATTCACGCATAATGACGCCGCGGTCCCCATATGTACGTGTCCCATGTCGTCGAGCGGAAGTAATTCGTGCTGCAGCTTTCCTTCAGGATACCCAAGGCTACGATTACGTCGACGAAGAAAGAGATATAATGATTCTCGACACCAAACGTATGCACGCCTTTTTCTTATCGCCACATAACCACTTACCTCGCGCTGACAGAACAAACAATTAGTCATGATCCACAGGCGAAACGTTTGGTGTATTTCTTGGGTCCAACTCCTCATTTTGACGCGGATATTTAGAAAGGAACTCATCGAGGTCAGAATCAGGATCAGGCTTTATGGTGACGGCACAGGGATCACCGGTAAAGATGACAGGTATACCTTTTTGCTATTCTCCTCCTACATTACCGCTCAAAGGTTGATTCGACATAGGACCGCGACCACCCGAAAGAGACAACTCAGGCGAATGGATGGACGTGTCATCGAATCACCGCAGTAAGTCGGCTGCAACCTTTGTGCCACATATGCTTCATTCCCGTTGTAGCACCTTCTCGGAACACAACCTCCCACTCAACAGGCGTCTCGCCTATCAACAAGGGAATATCTTCGATGGAAATATCGTCGCTTCAGACTCCCCCGAAGGATCTTATTGGTATTTCCTTTGCAGCTACTACCCTTCAGATGTTCAATAAACAATGCACTAGTCCTCTCCAGCGACTCGGAAGACGAGCCTACATTCCTATCCCGAAAACGGAATTCATCTTCTTGCAATGCCTCTCCTTTGCCTTCCTCACCTTCCAAGATACGGAAGGCTAACTCTCAAACCGTTACACCTACCTCGTCACGCAAAGCAGACCCGATGGATTCGATCTCTGCCAATGTCACGTTGACTCGACCGAGAAGGACACCTGTCTCTGCCCGTTCACCTAGCGCTCCAGTAGTATCCGGATCACCATCCTCGACACCTAAATCTTTTTCAAAGTACACACCGATGCCCATGTCATTCATATCCCGCAACGCTTCTTCCATATCATCTCCGAGCTCTTATAATCGGCCACCGCCAGGGAAATTTCCAGATGATGAAAGTTCAGAATCCGACTCTGCGATCGAGTCCGATGTTTCTGCTTCTCGCAATGGCACACCTTTGCATACGTATACCAGAACATCCACCGATGAACTGTGGGATGACTTCAACATGGATGTTGATAGCCTCGGCGCCAACAGTATTTCTCTGGGGAAAGGAAAACAGCGTGCGGCAGGCGCTGCGCCAGCCTTCTCTGCTGATGACACCGACATAGACATGTCGAACTCACATGCAGAGAGGTTGACGCCTACCAGTTCCTTTATACACCGTTTATTTGATCGTGAGGTTAAACTGCCTACCAATATCGTTGCACACAATCCAGCAGTCCAAAAATTGTTCGATGATAAAGAGATCTCATGGGGTGTTCAGTGGGAATTGGCGCGCGGAGTGTCGACCAACTCCTGGACATGGGATGATGTCAAGGACAAGCTCGTCTCGTCGGATTCACTCCGTGGCTCGGAGGAAGACATCCTGTTCAAAGTTGCTGTGATTATGAAGAACCGACCTATTTCTGCTGCTGAACTGGAATACAAAATTGGGTTAGTACTTTTGGTCTGGTGCAATGTATCCTCTCAATTTGAAAGTCTCTTCGTAGGAAGCAGCTCTGGCTCGAGCAGTTGGCACTCATGGAAAACCAAGGTTACGGTCTCGGCCCTATGAAAGACTTCCAGAAAGAGACCCAATGGTACGGCGGACGAGTCCAGCAGATCGGCCATCTCATCCCCGACTCCAAGAATAAGTTCAGAGTCGAATTGCAGCCACTGGAGATGTGCAAGTCAACGCGCTTTGCGCGCTTTTTGGGCTCTCGTCGGATGTTACAGATTCGCATAGCTGATAATCTCTTGATGCACGCGGAAAAGGACATCAGGGAATTCTTGGCTCAAAAATTTGTCATCTGCGGACGTGTCTTTGTTCCGTGGGTGCCAAAGGAAGGGTCTCTTTATCTCGTTGAAGGCAATGAAGATTTCGAACGGGCGAACCAGAAATGGTGCGGAGATCAATATCGTTTGTCATATCCTGCTATTTTGGAATGGCACAACCCTGCAGCGCTGAATTCGGAGCAGGTGCGCGTTGATCCCTTTTAAGTCGTTAGATATTGATTGACGCTCTGCTAGCCAATTGCAAAATATGTTACGAGGAATACACTCGGATTGTCTACTTCGATTCCTGGCTTGGTTTTTGAGGAGGAAAATATCTTGGAGATCGCGGACGAAAGTGAGATGATATTTGACTTGAGAGTGTCTTTTCCCTGACATCAGCGATAGCCACCTCCGACTGGAATGGCGAGGGAAAACCTTCCGCAGAACAGCTCATGACCGATGGATGCGGCTTTATCAACGAATCCGCCCTCAGAAGCATAACTAAGCTGCTTGGGCTTTCTGTCATGCCGACGGCTGTTCAAGGTCGTATCGCCGGCAGCAAGGGACTATGGACACGCCATCCCAGCAACTTCGATGAAGAGCATAAAATCTGGATCCGACCTTCTCAGAAAAAGATCAATTATGAGCAGCTCGATTACTGTCACCGCATCCTTGATATTGTCAGCGTTGGGAACCCATCGGCAAGTAGCACGCTCTCTTCTCAGAGCATTCTCAACCTGTCCTTCAATGGCGTACCCGACGCTGTTCTGACCGAGCTACTAAAGGAGGGACTAGAAAGGACTGTGGACACTCTCACAGAGAAGAAGGGCAGGTTATCTGATGTCGGTCTTTGGACGGCTGTGAACCAAGCCGGTGGTGTGAGCGCTGCAAGGATGCAGAGGCTTGCTGGAGGTCTCGCTCGGGTTTTGGGTTATACCCGACGTGAATGGCATGAGGCTGTTATTTACGACGACAAGAAGGTTCCTGATGATGAGGAACAATCACTGCCCATTTGTACGGGTCGGAACGAGTATAGTGGTGGTACGGTATCCTCAGAGTCTACTCATGCGCATGTCTGATCATCGTCTTAGCACCCTTGTCTCTTCATGAGCTTGCTCTTGATCTCATTCAAGCGGGCTTTACTCCTTCAAAGTCCAATTTCTTGTGGGGGAAGATGAGGTACATTATTGACCAGTCAATCAAGTCGGCGACAGAAGGGTTTCGTATTCCGCTTCCTGATGGAAAATCTGCGGAGGCCTTCGTCATTCCCGGTTCGTCTCTCTCTTCCTTGTTTCGTTGCTTCCCTCATTGTCTTTTTACAGACCCGACAGGCCTTCTGCGCAACAGGGAGATATTCTATTATTCTTCAAAGGCGATCATGGATAAAGAGACCAATAAGGAATTCAACATCTTGGAGGGCGATGTCTTGATCGGAAGATACCCACTGAGGCTTGCATCCGATATTCAGAAGGCGAGTTTTGGATAATATTCCATGAAGTGGGTGTTGACAGTTTTGTAGGTCCGCGCTGTCAACATACGGGAACTGCACGAATACAAGAATGTGATAGTCGTTTCTGTTCAAGGGCCACGGAGTCTTATGACACTTCTCAGTGGTGGAGGTTGGTATTCCGTTTAGCATTGATAGATTTATGACAAATTGTTGATGTTCTGTCTTTCAGATTTTGATGGAGGTAAACGTGCTTTTTAAACGTCATCGCTTGATTGATAACCCCTTTGTTAGACGTTTGCTTCCTACTGTGGTTGGCCTCGCTTGTCGAAGGGTTTCAGAGCAAGCTATTGCGTCGTCAGCCAAAGGATTTCATGCAAACGCATTTCGAACGAGACATTCAGTCCGTCGCGCAATTTCAGGAATGCGTTGAAAAACGTGAACGCACCCAATTATGCTTTGTGAACATCCTAATGACTGGCCTCACAAATGGGAGGGTTGGTTTGTATTCGAAGTTCCACGACAACTCTGTCAAAAAGTATGGGTATGACAGCGAACAGTCGATCCTGCTTTCCTATATGTACGCTCCTGTCATTTTTTGCGCGCTTCTGTTAGTGATCTTGGCTTAGGTTCAATACCTTACTTGACGCAGGTAAAACCGGCCATCGATTACGACATGAATCCTATATCGACCACAACGCCAAGTTCGGGAGGCCAGTTTCCCAAACCTCCGATGGTCGTCCTTTTATTCTGGATGTACTGGAGGATGTTGGAAAATCATTAAGGGACAAGATTCTGCAGGAGTATCAGCAGCAACAGGTTCCCAGCGGATCAGACGTCAATCTTTCTAAGCCGCTGCAAGACATCCAGAGGCGCATTGTTGCAGCTACCGAGCATCAAACTGCGTGCGAGTTCCTTGAAAAAGAGCTGGAACTAATCAAAAACCATGTCCGTCAAGCCCATTCTGAGTATCGAATGATCAAGTGGCCTTCGGCCTCGTCATTCTGTGTCGGAAAGAGAAACAAGGCGAAAGAAGGAGAGGATCCTGCACGTAGGGTTGCGGCCTTGTACGCGTCTGAAGTTCCTGGGATCTTCCTCATGTCGGCTAGAGAGGTCGCATGGGTCAAGGCTTCATTTGCGTATAAGGAGATGTCTAAGTACAACGAGAATTTTGCGTTTAAAGTGGCGTTCAAGGACCTTTGTGCTATCAAGGCACACGAGTCGTCGGATGGGGCTGCGGCTGTGACGAGAGCTTTGGATGAGATGAAGTCGATTTCCACTGCTGCTCGTAGGCTTGTCGCGGCTGATTTGGAGTTGCAGTGTGTATTATAGTTTTTTTCTCGCAGATGGATTTGTATTGCACATGTATATATCTATAGCTTACCCCTTGTATACCGATGTATCATAGCAGTCGATGTTCCGTTCGCACATAGCTTTGATCTAAATGAAGGGACTTATCATTGAATGCAGCACGACTTCGAGAGCTAGAGACCAGCAACAGTAGGAATATAAGCGCCATCCCAGCATTTGAATCCAACGTCATTCGTCACCTATGAATGTGAGGTGTTGGTCATTACGCAAGAAACCGTTGGTGAGTTATGCTTACAGTTGTAGGATCACACATTACATCGACGACTGAGCCTGTCTCCGTCGTCGCAGAGATGGCCTTGGCCACGATATCGGTTACTAGAGAGAAATGTAACAATTAAAGGCCAATCGGAAGAGTATTATGAAGCGCACCGGTACCAGGATATAGATCAAAGATAATTACTTCCTTGCCCGTAGCATTGGCTACATAATACCAACACGGATCGCTAACGCAACTCCCCTCGACGTATGGCGTGCTGGTCGATGAACCTTTACCAGGTGATCTTTGGATTGAAAATGCACTCACTCCCTGATTGTTCCAGCAAAGTTCTGGAAAGTCATGTCTTCAATGTGGGTGCTGGTGGTGTTAGTCGAGTTTGGTTGTGCTCCGAGCTATGAGTGAACATCAGAGATGGGACCACCAACAAGGTGAGTAGATGATTTACTTCCTGGTCCCAATAGCTGGCAACATCAGGTTCATGAAGTGAATACAAGGGCTTATCGAATGGACTCACTTCTGTGTAACATAAATCTTCGAGGATCATAGTAGTTAGTAAATCGATGCATACCAGTCGAAATGGACTTACAGGAAAGGGAACATTATCGAACACGATATCCTTCCATGTGATACTGCAAGAAAGAGAACATCAGACGACAAAGTAACAAGTCATTTGGCAGAGAAACGTACTTGCGTGCAAGCCCGTTTCCTCCTGCCCAGCTCTTGAAGCGCGCAGCGTACAGCGTATCCTTCTGAATGCCGACAAATATGCAGGAACGGTCTCAAGGAGAGATAAGATGGGTTATTTTACCATAATAACATTTTCAAACCTGTTTGTTCCTAGGGTCAATTCCCGAAGCTCAACTAGAGCCCAACACGTACAAAACGTCCTGGACATTAGACACGGCTCCGTTCTCTCCTAAGGATCCGATTGAGAGACCGTGTCCGCCTTCGCAGTATGAATTCCTGAAGGCAGTGCGGTAGGTCGCATCAATCGACGAATGCCTACGGCAGCAACCTACCGGAAATGTATATTGCTCGCGCCACTTCCTACTGTGATACAATCATCCCCGTTGACGACGCGATTGTTCTCAAAGAGCATGTTCGTTCCACCAGCGGAAAATCCTGGACCGAATATAAGAATACAAGTCGAATGGAGGTTTAATTTATTTTACCATCGCTAGTGGAAATGGACCATTAGTACTTGATATAAAGATAGAGTGCTACACTTACGTATTGAAAGGGAAAGCCTTTTCCGGATTTGAATGACTTGGTGATGGCGAGCTAAAAGAAGAGACATACCGAGGAATTATCAGACACCGCCATGATAATATTATTGAACGCGTGCAAATTTGACGAGCCGCTGGTCGCAAAGCTCCATGCTATTGGCTGCACCATGTGATGAGGAGTAAAACCTTCCGCCAAGGGAAGATGCACACCTTCCAGATTTTCATGTCCCTAATGACACCGTTGCTGATTTTGCTGAAGGACCAGCCATGGGGACGATTGGTCTGTTCCATGGTGTCCCACCACTTGAAGATAATGTAAGGACCCTCGAATATGCGAAGATGACAAGGACTCACTCCTTGTCCGTGGGCATCCACCCAGCCCCAGTCGGGATCGGTTGAACCACGCAAGGTTACGTTGTCTCCACCCGAAAACGAGAACCTGGTAAGGATTAAACGGACTCGAGATGGATGTCAACTCGGCTACACACCAGGAGCCTTCGAAATCCTTTGAAAGTTAACCGCGGGTTAAGCGCACATCTAAGAGATACCAAATAGCAAGGGCTCACGTCAGACGCTACAATAGCTGCATCAACTTCGTTTTAGTAACATCGCTCCTGATAGTCCATGTGGCTGACCTTGAACAGTGGGAATATCCGAGGGATAGGTAAGGTTTCCCTCGATCGCGACTTCTACGTTGGTCAACTTGGGGAACTCCACCGGAGTGAAGATGTTATAAGTCACTCCCTTCTGGAACAGAATGGTTGAGTTGGAAGTGAAGTTAGCTAGAGCTCCCGTGAGGCCCGGAGTGTCATCTTGGCCATCAGTATGAGGGACGACAAATGTGTTCCAAGCATGACTCTCGAGTGAGAGGTATGCAACAAGGTACATGAGAGCTGTGAAGAACATTGGTGGCGGAACAGAACAAATTCAACCGTGTAGCGATGTGAACTGAGAACCCACATTTAGCATTCTACCAATTCTCCGCATGTGATGTAGAGGCTTTCTCGGGGAAACTAGCGGGACAGACGACTGATCCCCAAGACACGTGGTAGTTGTGGGCGTCAGTAGAAGCGGGCCGGCGGTTCACGTTCCAGGAGCACGAAGCTAATCGTAAGCTCTGAAAGAGCGAACGGAAAATAGAACTGGTACGAGCGTGAGAGAGGGACTTGAGGAGGAGTTTCAAAGAAGCAGCAAAAAGCCCGACCATCGATGTTGTGCCATCTTAACCATTTCTCCACCTGCAGAACGCATTGATGACTCGTACCAAGGTCCTGTTCCAAAGAAATGGCGTTCTTGTGAAGCACTGATGAAACTTGGTTATAGATTGCACCCCCAAAGATGTCTGTTGGTCTGTTCTCAATCTGTTCTTTCAATAACGCTCTGCTTGGACGGCTAACTTGAATACTTATTGTCGTTTAGGCCGAGCTCCCCGCAGACAAGTGGAGATCAAGGCCGCTGAAAAGAACGCGGCAGTGCGTAGCTGATACGTGCTCGTATCACCGTAGTGCTGATAGTAGCCTCTATGACAGTCCGCAATCACTGGTACCAGGAAAAACGGTGCCGAAGAGCTACAGCGGAAGAGCAGTAAGGATGAGGTGGGCAGTAGTCGGGCCCCGGAGGAACGCCGGTCATAGGCTACAGGACGCGTATTCCTCGAGCGCCCGCCCATCAGTGATAGCAGAACAGTGAAACCTGAAAACATGTAGTTTTAAGAGTGTGCAGCTTGAAAACACTGATAAGTAATCACACCGAAACCGATCATTCTGTCGCCCGGAGGAGCCTACAGTCTAGTGACTCACCGTCCATCAAGTTTTGGCCTGTAAGCCGATTTTAATGTTTGCTTCAGTAGTTATTTAGCATTTGAAGGTAGAAAATCGTCCAGAATCCACCAGGTCTGTGATGTTTTTGCGGCGAAGTAGTTCATATTACGGGTCTCTGCCGTCCCGGCATGCCATAAAGGGACGGCGAAAGCCGGAAAGCACGTGAACAATACGTGAAAAAAAAAGGTTCCGCCGAGTATCCAAACCCCCAAAGACTCAGGGGCTCATCTTGCTTGCCCCTAGCTCCTCTCCCATCGACCAACACGTCCTCCACACCTTTATTTCTCCATATTTTCGTTATTGCTCGCCAGGTAACGTCGTCGCAGCTCTTGTCGACGATGGAGGTAGTGCTGACTGATATTTCCAGCCGAGGCCCCTGTCAGCCCGTCCCAACAGCTCCATGAAGGTCGATACACAGAGCTTGGAAAAGGAGGTTGAAGTAGATCATAGAGCAGAGGCAGTCATCGCTGCAGAGGACGAGGTCGTCGTGTCGCGCGATGATCAGGTGCGTTTGGTGATGCCTATGGGTGGACGCCCCACTCACCAGTTACACCAGGGCAGCTCCAATGACACGAACACCACACCCGAATCGTCTGAGATTCGCGCGTCCTCGCCACCCCGCAGACCCTTGACTCGCTCGCAGACAGGTCGTCCATCGAAACGACGAGTGCTCGAGGACAACGCACTCGATCGTGACAGCTCTTCGCCGCCACCAGTGAAGAAATCTCGTACCTATCGTAAGCGCGCTGCTCAAAAGGGACAAGGCGAGGTGGCCGATGTTCCACCACCGGCCCCATCTTCCCGCGAAAACTCTACAGCCAGTTCCTCCGCGGATATACCCACTCTAAACTCGAACAGTGTTACGTTTCTGGATGGTTTAGACGACTCAAATGTGCCCTCTGAACGTCGTGGTCCCAAGTCACGCGCAAATCTACCAGTTCCTGTGCCCAATCTTACCAAGAAAAGTCGCGGGCGAAGAGTTCCCACCACTGTGGTGTTGCAGCCAGAGGATTTGAAGAAGGATAAACGGACGTATGTCTGCTCAGTAGAAGGCTGCGGTAAGTGTTTCCATCGCGGAGAGCATCTGAAACGCCATATTCGCTCCATTCACACACACGAGAAACGTGAGGACTTGGTTCAGCTACTCATGAAAAATATTACTGACTGATTGCTTAGCTTTTAAATGTACATACCCGGATTGCGAAAAATTCTTCAATCGACATGACAATCTCCTCCAGCACCTCAAAGTTCATACTCACAACAAGCGCCCGCTTCCCAGCGATGGCAGCGCAGACAGTCTTCTAGCCGATCCAGCTCAGAATGAGACTGAGCCGGCCGCTCTGGCTGCTTCCAAGCCATTGGCATCTTCTAGCCTCCTTGCTGCCCTCCAGCAACAGGCGTTCACACCATCCGTGGTCGCTCGGTCGTATGCCTTGCCTTCTGAAGAACTTTTCACTAAAACGAACATGGCCGTCTCGTCTGTTCGGACGGAGATGCCCCAATCGCCTCCGCGGATGTCGATCGCACAATCGTCGGTACGCGATGCGCCTCCGATGAATTTTCATCCATCCCAGAACGGTTCCCCACCTCTACTTTTGCCCGTCGCCACCGGACAAAACTGGCCCCCCGGCGTAGCGTAGTTTTCCTTGTCGCCACACACGTTTAGTTTCCGGATGACTCTACGTTATTTAACCTTTATTGATTCGGGTCTGCTGCTCTGATATATGTTTGAAGGAGCTCTTTATAGTTTTTCACTACCCATGCTGAATCTTGTTCTTTTTTTGTTTTTCATCCACCAGATTCAACACATATATATATACCAGCTCGTATGCCTGGCGTGGTAAACCGCTTTGGACTATTGTTGTATGGCTTTACTTACTATCCAATTCCTACCTACATCCTATTATAATTTACCATGTCCCCAGTCTGAAAATTTAAAATCCCAGTTGTTCAACAAAACTCTGCCATGTCGCGTCCAACATGGGAGCCGCTGCAGCTGCGAACCCGTACGCAGAATGATGATGTGGTAGTGGTGGTGGTGGTGATTGCGGCTGAGTGTACTCGCCCAGAGAAGGCGGCGACTGTTGCGCAAAGAACCCAAAGTTATCGCCCGTAAACGACACTTCTGGCATCCTTTCTGCGGTCAGCACCTCGGCTGGATTATCAAACAAGTTCAAATGGAACCCGCCTGCATCGAGGTTCTGCATATCCTGAGCGATGACGGGATGGACGTTGTTAGTGGCCGGGAATGGTGATGATGGGGAAGGCTGCCGGTGGGCGGGAGGCGATGGGGTATACGCAACGGTGGGCGTGTCAGAGTCGACGGAGGAGATCAAGTGCGTCTTGCCTCCCAGGCGATCCAGCTCGTCTGGGGATAGATCGCCCGACTCTGGTGAAGGTGCTTGGCCCACCGCTTCATGAGCTTTATTTCGAAGCATTTGGATTGTGTCCTGCAACAGGTCAGCGGGAGAGCATTTTCCAATAGAACAGGGTCGTACCAGCGTGTTGGCGGCCGCGCGGCAGTTCGGCGCAGCTTCCTCAAAAAGCTGAGCAACGAGGTCCAGCTCCTCGAGGGACGGTTTCGTCATCTTCGAGTTGGGCGCTCGGGTTACGAGGATACACATCACAATCTACGCGTGACAGGTCAATTTAATTGGAGGAAGAGTGGAAAGGACGTACAACGGCAGACAACGCATGGGACCACGCCAGATTGACTCTATTCAATAGAAGAGGAGCGTAGTTCCTCAGCATCTTCAGAGACTGCATAATTCTCCATGCCGACCGATACGTCGCCATCACAGACGGCAGATATCTATGATGGGCCAGATCATCCGGCTGGTCTTGCAGGGCTTGAGCAAAATATACTCGATGAAGATTGAGCAGTACTAAGATTGGATTACTTTGAGCAGCATCCAAATGGAATAGAAGCCCATCATACCTGATTCTTTGGATATCAGGACCATCCACCGCTGCATATAATGAGTCGGCCTCAAGGATTCACTCCCATAGTTCACACAAGGATGGAATCGCGACGGGACAGGAAAGTCTCGGATTTTCCGGTCCAAGTCCAGGATGGCGCTGTATGCAGGGACTTTAACCCCAAACGCTGCTCTCATCACGGAATGCATAAGAGTTGCGTATTGCCATATCCACGAATGAACTAACAAAGTAAGCGGGCGGACGGATATAAAGACGTTGAACAAATAAACATACATCCCGTTTCTCTCTGGCCGTCCGCATTGATAATCTCGTCCGTATCTCTCGGGAGTGCACAATCAATATACTGAGCCGACATTGACGGAGGACGACCAAACAAAAAACTCTGCAAGCGCAAACGTGTCAGTCTAGAACCAACACATTGCGCAGATGTCGCACCGTCCATGTATCGCATGCAAACAATTGCCAGAAAATGCGACTTCGACGCTGACTGGTGTCTTCCCCAAGCTGCCAACGGGAACTGTTGAGATCTAGAATATTAACGTTAGCCGAAGGGGGGTTATCACGATCGAGATACATACGCAGACCGATCTAGGGGGCCTGAGTCAGGACGATCAGGGGAAAAGAAAGACAAACTTACGCTTTGGCCTAATCGCACAGCGCATCCTATGGTTATCCATTCGGAATTTGTCCCTAACGCTTCCCAGTCGCTGTAAGCTTCATACTCAGCAAGGTGTATCTGCAGGCAAACTTAGCAGGTGCCACGGTGGTCGAGTCCGGTAAGTGGATTACTTACCATGCCCTGAATCGCTCGAAGAGTTTGGTGGTTATTGATAGAAGATAGACCTACGGCCGCTCGGGCCAAGTAGTAATACTCTTGGGCCTCTACGGAGAACGGCGGTCGTTCTTGGTCAAATAACACCGCCAGAGCGAATACGGAAAACAGAAAGTAGAGCGTATGATGACAGGAAAGCGATGTAAATGATCTATATAGTGTGTGTCATGAGGAGGTCAACGATGCAATGGAAGTCAGACACGCACTCCGCTCTGTATATGCAAGCAAGAACTTCATCAAACAACTCTGTACGGTCCACTGTAGAGTATCTACAAATCAAATGAGAGACAATAGTAATAACGTCGTGGGAAAAACTTACAGATACTTTCCATGCTCAAGATATATTTCGCACAATCGTACCGCCTCAGAAAGCGGTGGTAGAAGACTGAAAACTTCATGCCCAAGGCTTTCGTCTAAAGGGTCGGCACAATTGGATTCTATAATTCGTTTTGATACGCGAGGAAGTACGAGTGTTGACGTTGATTGTGGTTTTGAAAGTGCCTGCAAGGAGGTTTACGAATGGCAGCGACGATATCAGAGGTGAACATACACGGAGTAGAAACTAGTAAATGAAAGCTGAGAAACACCACCAAGATAAACAGAAACAAGGATACAGACCTCAGAACGGGCTGTTTTCCCTAAAAAACTGGATTCGCCTTGACGCCCAATCGTCAACGTGCCTGCAGTATGCTTAGCATTTGTATCCTTCCCGGGTTAAGCGCTTACCAAACGCGTCGATGAAATTTTCATCTTCACTTCGCACTTGCTGAGGCTCCGTTGAAAATCCCAAGTAGGTAGATTGAGAATTGACGGAAGTAGAAGTAGGGCCAATCGTAACCGACGGACCAGCTAATCCATTTTGTGTAGGTAGCGTAGACTGGGGAGATTTTAGCTGCAATAGGTCGGCGCGCAGGAGTGGATGGGGCTCTGGGGACACTGTTGCTTGTATCATCTTGAGTGCATTTTCTAGGTCGCGAATACGTGAACAGAGGTGCTCTATTCGTTCATGGAGTTGTTCTGTATTCGCTAGAATCAACCTAAAGAGCATTAAATAGAGCAGCTGATACATGCAAGGATTCGTACCGATTTCCTTTCCCGCTAGTCAGAGATCCTACAGCCACATGTAAGCGTGCATTCAAGACGCATATACTCGCGTACCGTCCGGACATATTGCACCACAGCCTCGGCTGACACATTTCTCGCACGGAACCTAGCCCGTTAGGTCAAGGTCGTAAGAAGGGTAATGAATGGTCGCGCCTACATTCTTGTCGCAGCGCAGTTTTAGTCTCCGGCATTCCGAGCATGACGTCGGCCTTGAATGAAATGAGTATACTGTATTCTGACACAGAGACAAAGGCACGCACACACGGCCTGGTTTTCGTCGAGGCTTACTCTCCGGCTCCTTCGGCATTATTCGATTCGTTTTCGGGCGTCGGGAAGAGAGATGAAGAGGAAAACAGCGCCCAAGACTTGAATTACGAAAAAGACGCCCTGCGACGCAGTAAGTCCCTTACAAATTCGTAAACGCCCTCGAAATAGACCTGCTCAATAGATATTTTACTCCAATAGCTTGCTGGCAGCGTATCAATGTCGAGTAGTAATGCAAGGGGCATGATGTAGCAGGGTGACAAATCCGAGTGCGTCTGGAGTCCATTTTCGATCTTGTTTTCAATCCATCACCATCATCACCAGCAGCCATCACAATGGACTTTGACTTGGAATCCCTCGTGCACCTCGAACAAACGTCGGCGTTGATTTTTATACGTCGCTACGCAAGCTGAGATCTCCTTCAGTTTTTACGATTTCGGATACCAAGACGGCCTCGAGCATGGACGCATACATGGTCTTATTGAAGGACGGGCGCTAGGGCGAGAGAAAGGATTCGAGATGTGGGAAGAGCTCGGATTCTACGAAGGATTTGCAAAGACATGGAGGGCGATATATGTGAAACAAGGCAAGGAAGACAGGTCGGTCCGTGCCCCTCCCGTAGGGTACCTTATTAACCTTATACCAGCCGGGCGGGCAACCATATCCGACATCTCCTGGACCTTATTAGCCAATTTCCCAAACAAAACCCATCCTCATCGGATTCCTCATCTTCTCTTGATATTTCCCGACTTTTGCGGCAAATACGCTCACGGTATAAGGCGTTGTGTTCTACGCTGGGTGCCGCGGCATCTCTTCGAGCGGCTGACAGTGCAGATGACTCTGTGGAGCAGCCGGCTACGAGGAAGCCTTTTGTCTGGCCGTTGGAGGCACCCACACAGCAGGATCTGAGTTTCTAAAGATGATTTCTTCCCAAGTGGTTCCCAAATGGGCGCTTTTTGGCCAGCTGGATACGCATATGACACTGGGGCCCTGTTACTGAAAAGTAGGATCTGTTTTCATCATTGGCGGACCCGTCCTCATAGACAATATTATCAGAATATCACGGAAAGGGTCTTGATCGGCCATTTGCTGGGTAAGTTGCTATGTCTCCTTATTGGGTTGGGTTGTCCATATCTAAATATCGTTCAGGATTAGCAAGCTGTACAACACATGTTTTGTTTTTCTATGGGTAGTCCAGCACGAGTGCGCCTCAATCGCGATTTTGAATGCCTGGACTACGCCGTTCTTAATATAACGCCATTATTAACACCCTTCTCGTTACCATGCTTTGACCACCACCACTACGAAATGAAAGACTCGTGCATCCGTTTGCGTTTCGTTCGGGGGCCATCTGCAGTTACTTACGTCGTCCTGCAAATCCAGTATCGAAGCACCAACATTTCCGAGGAATAAACTTAAAGCTCCCAGACGGCAAGGATGAACTGTATACGTATTCAAAGAAACATGCGTTCGGCATGATAACCCTTCACCATCCATTCTGTCGTCGTCCTTCTCACCGTAGCGGCTGAAACACTCCGTGTAGGGAGCCGGAAAACCTGCAGGTTTCTACCGCGACCAAACGGCGACGCGAACCTTTGACTTGTTCAAGTTCACTCTTTGGTTCGGTTCGTCCAAGGCTTTGTTGATGGACTCTTATTAATATCAAGTGGAGTGTGTTCCTATCACTTTCGCCTGTGGGAACCATCACGAAAGTGATCATCTCGGGAATAGAGCCCCGCAAGGCTATCGTTAATACACGAACGCGAGTTCTAGGATTTGGAAGGCTATCTCTTTTCAAACTGCGATCCGCACTCTGCCACCATCAGGTCGCTCGATAACTGCTATGGAAGTGTGCCTTTCAATGCCATGCCGTTCGATGGAAGGAGTCGGAACAGTGGAAACGGTGATACATGATTTCCCGGGTGCAGCGAAAATGGACGTCGCTGAGTTATGTCAGTACGTGATGTATCCAAACACGGGCACTGTGCACAAAGGGCCAACGCTTCGTGAGTGTGCAGCATGTGTCTGGACAGCCATCATGATTAATGTCTGACACGTACGATGTTACCAACTCATAGGATATATCCAGTAACATAGAGGCATATCATGCGCCAGTCATATAATGTAAGAGGAGGAATATAGTTCATACAGAAGTACACATACGTCCAAGCCTTCAGACCTGTATACTAAAACAAAACGAGATAGAGGAAAAGTAGGGCGAAATAGTCATGGACCACGGAACATTCGAATATAGAGCTGTGAAGCGTTTAGGAACGCTCGCCACGGAGGCGCCTGGCCAAAGCGAGATCCTTGGGTTGGCTGTATTGATGAGTCAGTAAAAGTCTTTGAGTCACACGGAACCAGCACAACGTACATCGTCACACGCTTAGCATGGATGGCAGCCAAATTGGTGTCTTCGAAGAGCGAGACGAGGTATGCCTCAGCAGCTTCCTGCAGCGCCATGACAGCGGAAGATTGGAAACGGAGATCAGTCTACAGGGTTGTCAGTGGCACCTAGACCAAAGAAGAACTACGCCCCACCTTGAAGTCCTGAGCGATTTCACGGACGAGACGTTGGAAGGGCAGCTTGCGGATGAGCAACTCCGTCGACTTCTGGTACCTCCTAATTTCACGGAGGGCAACGGTACCAGGACGGAACCTGTGAGGCTTCTTCACACCACCGGTAGCGGTCTATGATAATTCACGATGTCAGCAACGACGGCATCGACGACGAGCAAGCCAGCACGCACCGCTGCGGTCTTCCTGGCTGCCTTGGTGGCAAGCTGCTTACGAGGAGCCTTTCCTGAATGTATACTCAATATCTCTTTCGATATACTATCAAAAAAAAAAAGCACCGACCTCCGGTGGACTTGCGGGCGGTTTGCTGCGGACGACGACGACGACCACGTCAGCACTGCGATAAGGGGAGCTCTGAAGAGAAATACAGACCTTGGTTCGGGCCATTTGTGCTTGAGGTCACTAGTTGTCGATGTATATGCCGATTCTTGAGGGTAGCAACAGGGGATGCTGGTGGGCGGGAAGAGAGAAAGGTAGGAATCAAACTTCCGATGTCGTTTAGAAACCCCCAACACAAAAGCCCCTCTTTCTCACGCTCGTGCCACCGGAAATCCAGCCGTTTGTACTCGGGCCTACGTTGGAACTTTGCTCTGATTTTTTTCTAGCGCTTCCCTGGCTCCATTTCTCCGATTTTTTGTACTCAACCTTCTAATGTACATATCAGGTACCCTTTGTGAATTTCCTGGATTTTTAGGACCCCGTCTTCGTGGTAAAGAAAGCTGCTTGAATTGGAGGCACTCTATCCTTGGAAGTTTCCATCTTGGGAACATGCACCGCCACATCATATATTTTCCATTACAATCTGTCTCTGTTCTGGCCTTGGCCTCGACTCTACGGGCGCATGTGTCCTGCGATTGGCACGGCTTCAGAAATTGCTGTCAACTGTCGGTACTTGGTCAAATGTCTCAATGGTTTCACCTTGCCTTCGACAGGCACATTGCGTGTCGATGATCGGTTCCGAATTCTCAGGCAATCAGTCGAAAAAACTGTTTTTTTCGGAAAATTGAAAGGATTATCTTATCTATAGAGAACTTGATAATCGTTTCATTTGTCTACGAGAGACTAGCTGAATGCCGGAAGAAAAGGTACAGTTGCAAGGATCTTCGATATACTCTGATAATGTTAGATTTTCCGGCCTTTTCTGTGCATGATTCGCATACTGGAACGACAGCCTTATTACTCAGCTGACCCACGGAACTTTTTTTTCTTCGCTCACTTAATGTTTGAGGCGCGCAACTTTCATGTTCTTCGTCTCGTAAAGATAAAAACGAGGCTCTCAAAAGAAGAACTCACATGTGGGCTTATCATGGACGATTCTTCGCTTCGTGCTCATGACATTCTCTCGTCATGTACGAGCATGTATGCCTTGATTCCGTATCCTCCGACATCTTTTCATAATACAGTCAGTCAGATGTGTACGTGAACGACGAGGTAAAGTGAATATTCCGGCAATTCGTTGAAGCGGATTCTTATGAAGTAATATTCACTGTGGGTTTTCACCTATTCTTGCGAAATCAGTCTATGGATTTGGACGTTGATCTTCAACGCTGAGGAATACTAAAGTGCTGATAGCGGCAGAAGAAGACAGTCTCCTAGGGTCGGGAGTGGGTCTTCTTGATATCTTTATATTTTTGGATGGGAAAGGGAGATAACGAATGTCGACACTACAACACCTGTGGCTTCGGTCTTCAATTGCCGCCGTGTACCGGATGTCTTCTGATGCTTCTGAATCTATCAACTACCTTTATTCTTTATTGAAGACGCGTCGGTAGCGCGAACGTGTCGAATATCCACTATTTATCCGCCTTCGGAGCCCTCTTCGACAACCTTCTATCCTTCGGTTTCCACGAACGCATCATATGCAAAGGTCACAACTTACTCCGCATCCTCCTCTTACAGTAACTTTGCGAATTCATGCCAGACTGATGTTTCTCAATTTTGGGATCAGAAAACACCGACGCCGGTTTGGTAACAATTAGTTCGCCAGTGTGGCCGAGCGGACCCTTCCCAAACTCCTCCGATAAAATGATCATTGTTCGCTAGCGTTTCTTTGAAGGATAAACAACTGAACAATTGTTCTGTTCATCTTTCCCTCCATGGCCAGGCTGCTAAGACTGATTTGTTTTGTTTGTCGGATATACTCGGACCGATCGTTGCAAGCACGTGCGGGATCAACCGTGGCTTCAACGTTGCCGTAAGTACTGTTGCGGTCAACCACGAGTATCGCAGGAACTCGCGCTGTGACAAATGCCGTCGAACGATACTCCAGCGTGCCGCTAGCTTCTTTTGAGCTTTCGTGCTTTCCCACTGCGATACACTAGCAAAAAACGACTCTACTTTCCATGTTTTGCACATCTTCACGCTACTAGTACGCTTACGGCGTTACCCAGTCATCATCGACGCCTAAACTGAAGGGTCATGCGTATTCAACTATTTGTGAACCTGGTGAGCTAAGATTTATCGTATTGGCCATCATGGCTATCTGCGGATTTTACCCACGTTTCTGACTTCAAACACTTTTAGACTCGGACGAAGTAACATGGTCGGCTCAATGGATTCGGGGGCGACCCTCGCCGCCTTACGCTCGACATACATGCACTGTCTCTCAGCCTCAGTTGATATCAAAGTACCGGAGCAATCATCTCTTCAACACCGGTTGACGTGCTTCATGGAACTCTGAGCCTCCAACCTTTTGCAGTGATGTACTCTACATTCACCTGAAGAAGCTTTCCTGACATGGTCAACCTAGCCAATGCTTCTTTACTGTATGCCAAGCAGTTATGAGAAGAGATCCCTTTCGGTATGGACATCTTGATGAAGAGACCATGGTAATGGCATGGGCCGACCTTTCAATGTATCATCGATGAGACTAGGTTCGTTCTATCCTTGGACCCATTTCTTTCGCCGTCCACGAATTATCCGCCAGGGGAAGGTTCATTCAAACGGACTGGTTCACCCGCCTTGGGTATCAATCGCCTTCCAAAGCCATCCAACAGCCCCCAGAGCATACGGATGTTCCCGCTGACTCCTTCTCCGCTGTCATAGCTAATAGTGCCTTCATTGAATGTGTTCGGCTGTACGCCCCGGAAGTTGAATGCTCGGAACATGCCCAATCCATCGTAGTCCACCTTAGAGATGTGTCTCTCCCACTATGTGGCAAAACTCATATGTGACTTATATGATTCCCTCGGGCGGGATGCTACGGACACAGTGTCTTCTCTGGGTTGCTCCGATGCGGGAAACTGTTCCGGAAGCCTGGGATATTCTCTCTAGCTCAAGGTCGATATTTTAATACCCTCCACTGTTCTCCAAGATGGATACTCCACCTTCTTTTTGGAAGTGGCCGTGAATAAAGCCTTCTACTGAGGCAATCACATCGATGACGCATTCTGCAATCCCCACCTTGGCCGGCACTTCTGCTCTTAAATCGTACGGTCTGGTTTTGACCGGATTTTTCTTGCCCTGAAACATAGCCTTCATGAGTGGCAGTTGCCCCACTGCTGTGCAGTAACAATCTCGAGGCACAGTACCAAAGCTTTCACTCAAGGTTGTGCAGTTCCTTTGTCATAAGGAACTATTCTCGATCCTGACTTCCAGTTTCAGCATTTCTTCTCAGTCATCGGACCACTCTACCTTAGCCAGCTTTCTCTGCGCCTAGATTCGGGATGTTTTCCTTATCTTTACATTGCAGCCGACCTTTCAGCGCCTGGACTTCTCAGCTTCGGAAGACATGTCGGTTATCACTAATCAGCACTTGAACCAGCTCACCCTTTGCTCTTCGCTCTACGGGGAACAGCGGACATTTCCCGCCTGCGAAATTTGGAGCTGAATTTGCCTGTAAAGCCCTAGGCTCGTATCGAAGATGGCTTCGCATATGGTGCGCTGTATTCGTAACTTGGGTCCCCTTCTTACGAGACTGTCGTGGAACCCGTCCCTGTTCTCAACGACCGTTGAGGGAAGGAAGTTTCGATCGAATGTAGATACGCCGTATGGTCTCCATTCCTGGTCTGTGGCGATGACTGGAACTCTTCTGACGGTATGGGCTTCGTAATAATGGTCTTGCTTGCATGAGATGTCTCGCTGCCCAGTCATTCCAAATTCATACCGAGAAATACATGTGGCCCACACTGGTCATATGTACGGATCATGGTGGGTCATGGTGTCTCCATCCTTCTCTATCCCATGTTCTAAACCAAGTCTTTCAAAGGTCTAGGTACTTGGCCCGGGGTAGCCAGTGATCTAATGACGACGCCTTTCTCATCGAATGGACAACCCGATAATACGACATGAAGAACCAGTTTCGGACACCTCCGTTCATGCTTGGTCGGATGAATAAATAATTCAACCTCGGATGCAACCGATGTAGACGGAGAATACAATGGGAACAGGTTGCCTCTGCAACTTCCGCTTCGTATCCGTGATGAGAATATTGCCCGAGGCTGTAGATCAGGAGAAGCGTCAATCAGTCCTGTATGGGAATAATTGTTTCTGGACAGGTCCGCAGCTACAGCTTCGATCTAGTGACACGGTAGCCCGGGCTGCAAGTACCTGTGGAAAGGAGGCCCGAAATAGATTGGTAGCCTCGTGCCGTTACTTTTTGCCACAAATCATCATCCCCATCAACATCTTTTGAGTCCTGGTATTATTGAAGCTGTCCAGAGATTTAGAACCCAACTGTACGAATCGGACGTCAAGTGGTGACGAGATTTCATTATGCGTATGAAATAGCTTACGAAAGGTACATATGTTACGACCATTTCTCCATGAAACCGCATCATGCATTACTTATCGCGGACGTACGTGTGGATCGAGAACGAAGGAAAGGTGACTCAGGCAAGTGAAACCGTATGCATTAGAACAACTACTCGCCACTGCACGCATGGATCATGACTGTTGTATAGGTATGAATGCATTCTGGCTTAATAAGGTACCACCGTCCCGAGTCGGATCAATGTACTGATAGGGCAAGCTAATCAATTACAAGAGACCACCGAGAAGAGATGTAACGTACCCAACGTGACTGGGACGTGATGGGACGAACCAACAGGAACCAGCCCATCCGTGATGGGATAGAGTTAAGGTTTGCGGTATTGGATCGGTCCCGTACCTTTGGTGGCGGGAATATAGGTACGCACGGCTGGGAAGATATTTCGAATTTCATCTTTGAGTCTTTGGAAGTATTCCAGAGACAACGGCTGCTGATTTAGGTACGCTCAACTTGGACTGTTTTCAGCCTAAGCGGCGATCATTGAAATACAGTACTAAACGAAGATAATAAAGTACCTGACTTGCTGTTGTTGTTCTTGTATCCTCTCGTATGGTCTGCCTAAGAAAGCCGAGTTTAGCAACTGACACAGCACCTTGATGAAAATGGAAGGTCTTAACCAAGACGAGAGCTACCGCAAGTACTTGGCAATTATAATACAGGGAAGATGGAATCTCTGGTCAAGTGTAGGCCCTGGCTAGCACACTAACGCGTGCTGGCATGCCAACAGACAGCATCTTCCTCGTGAGGCCCATACGTTCCCTGGGTCCAATTCACACCAATCCGGTCACCTAGTGTATTTCAAAGTAGTTTTTTGATATTTCTAAGACATACGCTAACATCAAATTTTTGACACGTTCATATGCGTAGCCGTCACAGGTCCGTTTACGCTAGCACCCAACAAGTCGTGGCAGCACTCTGGCCCAGCGTGGCGTCACGCAGTAAAATTTGATACCTTGCAAGTTAGCTTTGAACAAAAAAAAAAATGGAAGGTCACCATGTCTAATAATACGGACATAAATGTTTGTTCCACAACAAAGCGTGTGTCCGTCAAATTCGCACTAAAACGAATACCGCATTGCACCGCTCTGTGATAACAACAACTGGGGGTTCCGCTTTTTTTCTGGCCGACAATATTTCATAACTTCAAGCAAGCCACGTTTTACCCATTCATATCGACTCTATAAGCATCACCGACAACAACGCTAGGGCGCACCCCGGTCGTTAATACCAACGAACCGGTTCGATTTCGAGGAAACCCCAGAAAATTGCAAATAGCCCGGGCCTTCTACAGGTATTTGACACAGCTTCCGCGACTGGGTGCTTTTCACCCCCGCTTGGAGAGACGGGAGAAGGAGGGGAAGGAGGGAAGGAGGGAAGGGGAAGAAGAAAGACGACCGATAAATGGAATGTACTCGAATCTCGAGAACGAGAATGAAATTCGTGTACCAGATCCATGTCAATCTGTGGCGGCTAGCTCGGCCAAAGTGGGTGCCTGCAGCCTTGTGCCTTACAATCGCACTGAACGACATGAGAAATTTTAATATTGTTTGGATTGGTCTTTATGAAACAAGAGATAACGCACTGCAAAGATGGGCGATGCTCGTGCTCCATGGCCAGCCACGAGAGGTCAAAAAAGGAAATGAACACTAGATCAGTGTGCCACGTGTTTCTATCGTCCATAGGACATCTGTCATCCCGTCCTTGTTCTCTGAGTCTGTCTGGCCCGTCTCTGCTGATATGTTACGAGTTCCAGAGTTCAATTATATGGAAGTTGCACAGGATTCCAATGTTTGAATCTGCACAGAGATTGTGGCGTGGCTTCTTTTGTCTTAATCCAGCTCCAAGGCGACGCATTGAATCTACCAACACTCGTCAGATTATATTATCAAGGCTGTATTTTCTCGGGTATGGAATTTCCCCGTTTCCGTTATTTTGAAACTTTGACGTATTGCCTTCGCAGTGGAAGAAATCCCGGCTGTGTAAAACGGCCCATGCTTATGTATCTCTGATGATGTTTTCGGTGTGATAATTGTTACCGCATTCATCTATGTGGCAGAGATATCACTGTGCTCTGCCTTTTGCTCAGTGTTAATTCATCCTGTGAGTAGGGCATCTCTTCCTGTGCGCATTTCTCGGGATCATCGGGTCCGAGGGGACTAATCGGTGTCCCCGGAACACCAAAATTACATTGCTTCCGGTCATTTGTTGTCAATCCAACTGTCTCTTTATCGCAATATTTCAAGGCAACTTTTTTTCTTCCTTTTTGACACGATTATGATAGTCAGCTCTTGACTCACATGTGCGTTGACCGAGGTAGAAACTGCGCGTATTCCTTCGGCGTCAGTTCAGGTGTCCGCTAGAAGTTCTTCCTCCGCGAACTAGACTTTTCTTACAAGTTTCCCTCTGCGGGCGTATCATACGCTATCTACATGTGGCGCAGGGTACCTTACTAGGGACGTCATATGCTCATCGAAAATCCCCCATAGATCTTATCCTTCCCACCCACCAAACTTGTCGCGTGCCTACAAAAATGAATGTCGGCTTTGAAAAAAAAAACTGCAACACTAATTCTTGACATATGCCCCGCAATGAAACCCAAATTTAACGCACCCAGTGAGTGCCAATGTGACCTGAGGAACGTTCACCTGAGCAGCGGGACGGAAAAAGCTTTGAAACGCGTGTTCCTTTAGGGGGCGCATCCAAATGGCAGTCGAAGTGACGATAACAATAGGGGGATTAGAGATTTTCTGTTCCGTTTCCATAATTAAATGATCGACTCCCGAGCTGCTACTGAGCCACTACGTCCGAACTTGTTTTTCCTGAGCACCCTGAGGGTGCTGTGCTGTGCTGAGACGTGGTCTACGCGACTGAATGTGGCGTAGAATAAGAGGTATAGGTTCTCTATTGTTGTCGCCTTCGGCTGGAACTAGGCCAGTATATAACGAAAGCGGCACGAGAGATTAACTCCGCAACGCTCATGTTGATCAATTCACTCTGCTAGTCGCATGCTGGTGGTCTTTAAGTGCAACGCCGAAGTGTCCACCAATGGTAGACAAAGAGGAAGGCTAGAATGTACTATCAGGAGGGTCGCTATAGTAGCATAGAACGATACTGTGTACGTTGTTAAACATCCTAGGGATATGACGAGAAATTGAATAGAAAGCGGAAGCGGAATGCAAGAGGAAATGTTCCGCTCGGCCTTTGTGAGACCTGACAAAAAAACATCCTGCTGCACCAACTGCAGTGACGACAAGTGAAGGAGGCGTTGTTCCGGGAATATAATATATATTAAGACAAACAATAGCGACGTCGACAGTAAATATCTGGCGAAATAAAAGACGGATGGAAAACAGAGAATGATGTTTGGAGTGACGTTGGCAGGTGTTTGGGCGTTTATGTTGTGCTAAGCGGAGTAATAAATAATATAAATGAATGGGTACGGGGGGCAGTGCCGACAGATGAATATTGAATAACATAGCTTTGACGAAACGCGTCAAAAAAACAAACATACGCAGAACAGAACAGTACATTGGAGCAAGGCACCGACATCAAAGAAGAATTTCCAAACTGGGCGCCGATGGTGAGATCATTTTGGGGGGGTGGATCGGAGGATAAATCTGCAGATCTGACCGAAAGCAGCCGTGGGAACAAATTGCTGTGGGCTGGGTCGGCTCGGAGCTCAGTTCACGATCGTGGTTGTGACAGGTGCTTCCTCAGCCTGGGATGCCCAAGATAGCAGACTGGCACCAGAAAAATGGGAATGGAATGGAGAATACGTAGGTACGTACTTGAAATAGAGTATAATAGACGAGTCGGGGAGGGCAGTGGGAGGACGCGCAAGGTAAGGGCCAATCATCCGCTGGTGAGCCCGTCTGCTTTCGATCACTTCCGTGCCAAGGTCAGCCTCAAAGGTGAGTGACTCTTGATTGGAAATAGCTATAAAATGGGACTGAAATGCAGATTAGCATTCATTTACCCTTTCTTAATCCCAGATTCGCTCGATTCGTTCCTGTTCCCTTCGATTTTGGTCCTGTTTCTGGCGAGCCCGTCATACGAGGGGCTCGAAAACTCGCCATAATTGACGCAAAGGACATAAACGTCGAGAGCGCGCGCGTTGCCCTCAATTTAATCCGATTTTCCCGCAATTTTCCAACAATTTTGGCTATTCTGGGCTTATTCCGATTATTGCGTTTATTTCTGGGATTATCGAGATTGCCGACTTTTGAGTTTATTTTTCTCTTTATATTCTTGTTATATTGCCTTGGAATGGGACTTTTCCGTCCCCTGCAAGGTCTTCCGTTGCCCTCTCAGATGTCCTCCCCGGTCAGCCCTACCAGCCCTACATTTACCAACTTCTCTGCTCCTTCCCCATACTCTTCTGCCTCGTCCGTCGACGACACCCCGTTTGACACCGTGCCCAACGACCGCGACCGCGACTCTGCCGTTGTGCAGACCATGTCTTCTTACTCTTCGTACCCTTCCAACTCCCAGCAGCCTGTCTACCAGAATCAGAACGACCTCGTCTATCCCGACCAGGACCAGTACTACCCGTCGACGTCAATGATGATGCAATGGACACCGCCCGTCGCGAAAAAGCAGCAGGGCATGCAAGGCCAGTACCATTCTCAGCAGCAACAGATGCCGGCACAGCAGCTGTCCATCTTCATTCCCAACGGCCAGCAGCAACAGCACGCGCCGGTCATTCACTCGCCTGTGCCCCATCACCACAGCCAACAGGGTCGCCAATCGCAGCAGAGCCCACATCATCTACTCGACATTGATCTGGATGAATGGCATTCCCAACAGCAGCAGCACCAGTACTCGCACGCCCAGTCGCATTCACTGGCCATGGCACAGGTCCACCCGAGCCACTCATACCCGCGGGTCAAGCAGGAGGACGTCTCTGTGCTCTATCCTTTGAATGGGAACGGTACGTACGGACATGGTCAGCAGCAACAGCAGCAGACTTCATCCCATTCCCAAGGGCATATATTCGATCTCTCGACGCCCCACCAGCTGCAGGCGCTGCAGGCTCAGCATTCCCCCTCATACAACGACCTCCTCGACCCGTACTACTCGTCGCAAGGCCCGCATTCTGCCATGGTACTGCACGAGCGCTTCGTGCATCCCTCGGAGCTCTCCCCTGCCGACTCACCCGTCTCGCCGCTCGAATTTCCTCCGCGGCCCGACGAAACCGCGGACCCTGCGCAGGGTCAGACACCACAACAACAGATGGCTGTCGGCTGCGATCCGCGCTACGTCTCGGGAGAGCTCGGCGCGGTCAATGCAGGGAAGGATGACGCGCATGAAGAGGATGCAGAGGGGGATGACGATGTCGACGCAGAGGGCGAAGACGAGTACGACGATAAGGAAGGTGCCGGCGTTAAGGACGATGACGCGTATGAGGATGACGAAGCCTACGACGATGCTGACTACGACGACGACAGGGATGGAGAGTACGTACTACGTCGAGGAAGACGCATGTCCGGCGGTTCTTCGAACCGAAACCTACGTACACGCACGGGCACAGAGCGGTATAACCCGTACCAATATACCTCCCCGTCTCCTTCGGCCTATCCAGAACCCCCAAGCCAGATAGGCATCAGCACGCGTTCGAGACGCACTACTTCAAATGATTCCTCACTTGCTTCGACGGCATCGTCGTTAGACTATGCCCTTCCCTCTCATCGTCGCAGGCCTCGTCCCGCGACGAACCTCCCCGTACCCATTCCAGTGCCCAATCTCACTAAAAAGTCTCGGGGACGGCGTGTGCCCACCGTTACATCGCTGGACGACAGTCCACGACGCGATGGTGACGGAGACTTCTCTGTGGCCACTGGGAAGGGTGCTAGGGTCCATCTATGCCAGGTTCCTGGTTGTGGAAAGTGTTTCGCCCGAGGCGAACACTTGAAGAGGCATGTCCGTAGCATCCATACATATGAGAAACGCGAGTCTTCTTTCATATCTTCTTTTTGGTGATTTGGGCTGACTTGTTGCATTTCTTCCAGCGCATAAATGTCCGTACCCTGGCTGTGGAAAGGATTTTAGTCGCCACGATAATCTCGGTCAACATATGCGGGTTCATAAGGATTATCGGGGTTAATAACGCTCGTCCCCTTTCTCCCGCCTCATCTACAACTGCATCTACGTCTCGTTTATTACCAGATACCCCATAATTCATTTGGATTCGGTTTTTGGCTTAGTTCTGTGTGCCCGAGGAAATAGGATTATGCTTTCGCTCGCGATTTTTTTATGCGCGGGTTAGTCTTTATTCGTTATTCGTCTTTTCATTGTTGTTGTCATTGTACACTCTCCCCACAATCCCCAACCATCACGCATTTTTTAACATAGATAAAACAGTTATAGCGTATCATAACTTACCAACTTACTACTTAGTACTATAATCGTACGCCCTCAGTGTTTGTTTCTTATTAGTGTACACTGTATTGTGGTTATATTATCGGCAGGCTTTACGCTTGCACTTGTGTCATCAGACTTGGAGCGGAACCCCTTACTGAGACCTAAAAAGGAGCTCTTGTATTCCTTGTACCTGAGAGGGGGGGGAAACGTCAACCACAGCATACGTCGTTTGCGGCTGAATCAGGGTTACACGTGGGCAGCATAAAAAAATGCATTAACGCGGTGGTATAGTGTTACAAAAATGGTATTACATACTGCGATGAATGAAAACGCTATAGTTAGTATCGGCAGCAAGATTTTAGAGGTGAAAGACATCACTTACAGAGACGGAGAGCAATACAAGACATAGATGGTATGTGTAGAACAAGCAGGCTATGCGTCATCCGTCATGATAGCCAAAAACTCTTGCTCGCTGATCTCGCCGTCCTGGTCCAGGTCGAACTCATCTATCATTGCTTGCCTAGAGCGAAAAACGTTAGCGAACAATGGGAAAGTCAAAAAGGAATGCCAACAATTCATCGTCCTCCAGCCGGTCGCCAATCTCCTTTGCCACGCGCCTCAAATTCCTCAGACTGATCTTTCCCGTGTTGTCGTCGTCGAAAAGCTGGAAGGCGCGCCGAATCTCATCCATAGGGTCTCGTGCGAGTATCCTCTCCGTCACTGTTCACCGTAAAGCAGCCTGTCCCATCCACAGTGCCAAATCCCACTCACTTATTTTCGCAAAGTCATCAAAATCCATGAGCCCATGACCGGTCTTGTCGTTATCCCGGAGGATCTTCAACACCTCCGCCTTCTTCATATCAAACCCCAGTGCGCGCATCGCGACTTTGAGCTCATGATAATCCACACAGCCGTCCTTGTCTGTGTCGAACAGTTCGAAGGCCTCTTTGATTTCCTGTTTTTGCTCGTCGGAGAGCTCGGGGCGGCTGTGGGTGCGCCGTTTGGCTTTTTGCACGGCATTGGAAGCTCCGTACATGGTTGGGGAGGAGAAGAACGCGTTTCGAGGCAGCTTAATAGGCGCGTTGGAGGAGGGAGGTGACGATGAGGACAAATTTGGACCATTGTTCCCCTAATGCGGAGCTGGAATTTGGGAGATCCCGAAGTCGGCATGCATTGTTTTGCCGAGGTCCGATGTGAACTCCGCATTGTGCTGGGAACACGGCATGGAATGGCCCGCGAACTGTTTTGCGCATTAGAGCCGCGGACTCTTGCTTTGTTGTTTTTCTTCCGAGTCAAAAAGGGTTATGAGTATTACCTGATTCAAGGAAGTATGAGCAAAGGCCCACGCCACTTTCATTTCCGTCCGTGTCTTGAATGTTTGACCTGTTACTTTGCATCGAACTCTATCGACGAACTGGTGGTTCAATGGTTCACCTGGCTGACTTGTTTCAAGGCTTTCCCATAACGGTTACATGGACACATTTACCTAAACGCCACCGCAATACGCATGCATGCACACTTGTAGCCGTCTCTCTTGAATGGTGAATGACAAGTAAGTACTACTACCAGTGATCCAGCGGAACGATTCGGATATCCCTTTGTTGCAACCATAGCGACAGAAATTCCAAGTCAAGACCCTTCTGGAACAGCACGGGTACCGTGACCGTTTCCCTTCGCGACCCTTCCCACTTTCCCCTCAAATGACATCGCGGAACCGCGGATGATCTGCCCACGATTTGGGGGTGCACAGTGGCGTTTTTGCATTAGTAACTTGCTCAGATAAATAATTATGAAAATACATGAGGCCTACGTTCAGGTCCATAGAGTTGGGACAGGAACATAATAGGCAAGTTGAAGCTATGTGATGACGGGTGCATTGGTAGGGCTATCGGGAAGAACATTCAACAGCGGGGAACCTGATGAAGATCCTTAAGGGAAGTTCCCATCCCTGCGAATACAAAGAGCAGGACGAATGTCGGGATTTCTTTTAGCGCATCACACTCTGACAAGACAATTAGCTGGTAAAATTGGTCAAAGTATCCTGACCTACGCCCGCGGATATCATGCACGCTCCAGGTCCAGCCCTGCTGCAGAAGAAGACTTGACGTCTCGTTCAAAAAGAGTTTAGCACATCCGTAATATAGCCCTGGCGCTGTGTCCCTGAGAAACAAAAAAAAAATATTACTGGCGTTAACGTTGGTCTCGCCCGCCAGTCCGACGTAATTCAGTGTGACAGTCTGTGGACTTGAAAATGAAAGTGGACCTCCCCCCCCCTCCCCCCCGAGTTAGTTTGGTAGCACTGAGCAACTTTGCCATTTCGGGGATTGACCCATTAGCGAGTGCCAGGTTGGAAGTACGTTCTCCGTTTATTTCTGAAGAGAGATACTTAGCAGGGTGACATCGACGCGATTGAACAGATCGACAGCGAAACAAATCGATAAATAGCCCCAGTGCCAAATAGATCGTTCCAAATATCATATAGAGTGTTAGCCGTCCACTCTACTAGCCAGTAGTTGGGGAATGAATAAATTCGTCTGGCCAAGTTAGGCGACCCTATGGGCTTCCGCATACGGAATACGCGTATATCCGTAAAATCCGGTATGTGTATCACAAACAAAAGATTACTACCGCACCTGAATATTCTAGACAGAGACACATACACTTCACCTCCAGCATACTCCGTTACTCTGAAACTCAGTTGGAACAGAAGTAAAAAAAAAAAAAAAAGGTGCACATTATCCAATAAGAAGCCCCCAAAATGCCTCACCGCTGATTGGCCGAATCGGCAATTCGCGTTCCGCGTCTTCCCACGATCCTAGAGTTCCCGAAGGCCACACAGAGGCATTTTCCCTGCAAACCAAAAAAGCCCAACGGTCCGCATCAATTTCCTTCGTCATGCAAGCTGCCCTTCGTCTAGCACGCCAGCAACGTCGATGCCTCGTGACGACCGCGAACCCTGCTCACGTCCTCGCAGGCTCTACGAGCGCCGCCGTGCCCAAGCGACCCCTCATTCCGCTGTCCAACGTCGAGGCCCAATGGGACAAACTGACCTCGGAGGAGAGATCGTCGGTGCACGACCAGCTCGAGGTGCTGATGAAGAAGGACTGGAAAGAGCTGTCAATTGATGAGAAGAAGGCTGGTGCGTCCCGTCCTGGTCTAGAGCTGGAGGGGCTCGTCGTCTCATTTATTTTTTTGCTATGAATAGCTTACTACGTTTCGTTTGGCCCTCATGGACCCCGTACACCTTCGAGCAAGCCTGGAGAGAACTTCAAGGTCTTCTTGGGTACCGCGGCCCTCCTCGGCGTCACTGGTATCTTGTTCATAGGTATTCGAGCTCTCGGTATGTTTTTTTTCTTCTTCGCATATATACCTCAAGTTTTTGATTCTTTTCGTCGCAGCACCTGCGCCTCCCAAGACTATCAACAAGGAGTGGGAGACTGCGATGAACGAACGCGGCTTGGAGCAAAAGATGAACCCTATCACTGGTACGTCGCCGCTACGGTCGTCTTGCAGTCAGCCTGACCTTCTTGTAGGTATATCATCGGAGGGATACAAGGGGAAGGGTTTCGTCGTGTCGAAATAGATATCCGAGACAAGTCACGACAACTAAACAATTGCCCGTTTCCTCTCGAACTTTCAGAATTGGATAAAACTTTGATATTTAAGTTGGGAGTTGGACGATAATTGCCTCAAGATAGCTAACGTCACCATCCCGATATTTCCCTTTCAATGCCACCCCTCACATTTCAATTTGGCTGCCGGCAAAATCTATTTGTGTTGGCGCGATTCTAACGTTTGTATGGCTTCAGTAATCGTGACCGCGGCATTGCAAGTCTTGCCAGTACTGCCTTTTCCTCCAGTTTTAGATGCCAGCACACCCAAGGCACGAGGCATTCATACGGTGATTGATGTACGGCGGCCGGTCCGCGTCTGCGTTTATTTTGCTCAAAATGTGACCGTGGTCTGGCGTCGTTCGTCGCTGACACAGCACGTGAGTTGATTTCTAGCCCACGGACCGCCAGCCTTGCGTGGTCGTGCGATTCTCCTGCTCAATATGTCTCCTATATGCTCTGTAACTAACCTTTTAGACTTTCAAGATCTCTTTGACACGCCACCCGTCCTCGTGGCGTCTGATGATGTGCTGAGAATGTCTATTCTAACTTGTAGTGGTGAGCAGATTTGATTTTCCCCCCCCGATTTTGATTGACATCCTGGTACGGGGTACTTGGTCACAATATTGCGGGGTGGAGAATCAGCTGTCGAGTTTGGACACATTTTGTTCGTCTACTTGACCCTGATCTCTTCTTGTGACTTTTGATAAGTTTGCTCGTTTGAAAACCCTTTTTTACCGATGTGATAGGCTACACTAAACTGGTTTGAACCTTTCATCTGATGAGAACTGTTGATTGAGCATCTTCAAGGAACGTTCTTGGTTTTGCATGATATTGTACCGTTGCGAGACGCTGGGAATGGGCCTGCTTCAAGGTGATGGCTACGTATGACTTTATGTTCTGCCTTTGATCTGCTCCGAGGAATGTATCTAGTCAGCGTGCACGCACTTTCATCATCGCGTTCCTCAGTTTCTCCTCCTCGGTGCAACAAAACGACTGAAGACGGTACTTTGTGTATGCATATGGCTCCAAGGCCTCACCCTGTTCGTTCATCACTTTTGATGCGAGAATACCAAAGGAGGTCTTGGTCGAGCCCCCATCTTTCTGATACCTCCCGAGTGGTATGAAGCCAAGGCATTCGCAGTCAACGGTGGAGGAAAGACCTCTTTTGATCGGGGAAGTGGGTCTGGTATGGATGCGAGTGATTGTTTTTTGAACCCTAAATTGTAGGCGTCTGATTTGACAAGTTCCTCAAGGATCTATGCTCTGAGAAAACATGTGCAGATGCATGACCATACAACAGATCTTCCACTTCGGAACGAACGCGTCCGGGTTATTGCTGTATTTCAGCCATCGTAGGCGCTGCGATAAGCAGCTACTGACCGTGTTAACCTTGCATATTGCCTTCAGGCGCTGACGGAGTACCTTCTGATTTGTCACACGGGGATAGCAGACAAGTGGCGGTCTCGGAGCTCGGTCCCGACCGAAAGCGTTTCCGTTCGCTTCCCCCAACAGTGACCATACCTCCAGATTCAACGTATCGAGTGTGTTTCGAACTTGGTATTCGTCCTTGTCCTGCCAACTGCGTGGCGCTCTAGCCCAGAATATTCATTTCATTATTCTGTCAAACTGGTAATAAATGGGCTTGTCATGTCGACTTTGCATTTGGCCATCGCCTGCGTTCTCCCCGGATATATCTTTCGGCCCATGTCATGCATGTTTCTCCCTTCTGAGCGCTCACCCCAGATCAATGATTGATCCTTTTAGGCTAGGCAGGCCTCGTTCTTTGCTCGTCCGGGGATATCGAATCGATAAGTTTTCAAACAGCACTCGTCAAAAGAGTTGCATATTAGAGGTTCGTCAATTGCCGTAGATTGCAATAATCAGTAAATGCGTCTCGCCTCAGGCACCACCTCGGGAGATACTGCCCTTCGTCTTTGTGCAGACAAAATGCTCTGCTGACCCTTAAATCAAATAATTTGAAAATTGGGATGCCTTCTCTTTGTTTCTGTTGTTTGTGAGTCTTGATCACCAGCTCATCAAAGCAGCGTAATCACATCATGGCTGATGTTGTTTCTTCTAAAACCTGCACTAAGCGGAGTGCAGGGAACGCTCTGATGAGCGGTGTTCGAATTTTGGTCCCTACTTCGGTTTATAACAGAGGTGTCCTTCTTCGGTCCCGTCTTGTTCAGCTAACCGTTTCAAAGATGGCCACTGGCACAATCCAAACAGACCGTGTCCGCGTCGCCCTTCTCTTCAAGCGAAAAGAAGGGCTTACGCTCGAGGAATTCTACCAGCATTGGTTCGAGGGTCTCTCGAAAATGCTCCTCTCGTCTCCGATCTTCATAGATAACGTGCTCAAATACGAACAAGTGAGTTGTTACCGAGTTCATCCCCCCCCCCCCCCCCAGGAATGCCCCCCGTCTGATTGACATGGGAAGTTACGTATTGACAACGAAACTGCGGCAATGCTGAAGACTGTGGGTTTCGAGCCGCCGGAGGAGTGGGATGGGATGGCTTTGCTGGAAGCAGAAAGCTTCGAGAAGATATTCGCTGTAAGTTTCTATTCCCGGTCGAGATAAGGAAACGTCATCTTACGTACTGCGAAGGTATTTCAGTCGGAAGAGTACAAGACGGTTATTGGTCCTTACGAGGACCAATTTTTGCAAAGAAAGAACGTTCAGATCTTTCCCTTGAGATTTGCTGTGTTCTTGGATAAGACCTTGTCAAACTAATCGTATCTGGGATTGGATATAACCTGTATTTATTGTTAGTCCATTTTTTCCAATTACTTTCTAGTGAAGACTGTATAGCGCTCAATATTGCATGATGGGCGAATATGTGGAAAGTCATAAAGTGTCGTCTGGAATACAAGATGAATTATTTCCCCAAAACCAACTGGTACGTAACCCTAATGCGCAAAATTAATGCCCCGAGTGTTCACTATTAATAATATCGTCAGACGTTTCCCGGCTCTGTCTTAATTACACCAACCTACAAGCCTTGGTCTTTTGGAGTATCCGAGTCATCTGAGAGAGCCATGCTGGCATTCTTCTGGTTGCGAGGATCTCTCATCTCATGGCTCTCATACTCGACACTTATGAACACCTGTTGATTCGCATGAAGGTTGAACTAAAGTGATACAAGGAAATACTTACCCCCTGTGATCGAGGTGGGATACGACCCTACAAAAAGGCGACCATGTTGAGAGGACGGGAGTTACTATTGAGAAAGTACGCACCTCGTTGCTATTCCAGGGCATTGCCAGAGGGCCCGATTCGTCCGCGATATCCTGAGTGTGGGATCGCCGCTAAGCAAAAATCATCTACAGTGAGAACCAACACTTATGACAGACGTTGCATTACGCACGGAATTAAGACTCGAAAGCGCTGGACATCCTTAGCGTTGCGAAATTAATAGCTTTAGACAGGCATACCTGAGTTCGTATACAGTTTGGGTAAGATGAATGCGACACCTGGGAGGGGGAAATTAGAGTGGTTGAACACAACGAAAATCGGAGAGCGCGCACAAAGATAGTAAGGCTGCCTCTGTTGGAAGCATGAGCAGGAAGGTATTGAAAAAGAAAAAACAATTGTGGGACATGCCTTCACGCCGAGAATTAAACCTAGGTCAACTATGGCGACGGTCGCAGTGAGAAGCCCTATTGATTATATTCAGCCTTGTGGTGCAGGCGACAGAGAAATATGGTACTTGCCATTCTGCATAGTCACTAACGATTCGGATGCTTCACCGTAAAGTAAAACTGAATTGAACAAGAGACTCACGTCGAATAATTCTATTCAAGACGCGATTAGTCCGCCGGATAGAACCTTTTGCTCGCTGCAAACACATGGTGATAACGACCGCAATGATGAGGTCCCCGAGTGCAGCTGGCATGAGCCACACGAGAGAGGGCGTGTCCAGTTTATTACGGAGCTCGGTCCAGTCAACCGAGTCGATGACTAAAAAGCCGATTATACTTGTCGCTATACCGCCGGCCGAGGATGTCAATGCGCACATAAGAATTATGCCGACGTAGTAATAGTTCCTACGATCGGGACACTTTGATTAGAAACCGACGCGCTGACCGTTTGGAAGATGCACAAACGTACTTGGTCAACAGCCAGATCTTCCAGGCAAAAAAACTTTGAACCATTCCTGCCATGACACCCGCCAGAAGCGGGTCAGTTGTGGCGGTCCAGTCGGCTGTGTGAAAAGCTGTAGGCGTTCAATTGCAGGCCCCAAGAAGTCACCTACCTACCTTTGGTAAATGCGACAAGGTTCCCAAAATTATTGATCAGGAGTTTATAAACCCTACGAATCAGTCACAACTTGGAACATGTTAGCTGTGCTGCTATGTCCGTACCACATAACCACAAAAATCGAGTTGAGCACGTCCAACGCAAAGAGAACTATGACGAAGACCTTTAGCCAGATATTGTCCCTTGAAATTCAAATCAGATAATGACATAGGAAAGGAAGATTCAACAAACTTCGGATAGCGGTCAAGGTAAATGTATAACTGCACGAACATGGCACCCAATAGAAGGATGCTCAAAAATACCGCTAGAGAAAGACGCGTTGTTTATCCCAACCGTCCCATGAAAGACATCGTAAATTTACTTACATACAACGACACCACCGAACGGGTCTGAAATTACACTGCTCATATCTGAGGGTAAAGGGGGGACGAAGAGTGGGCAAGGGAGGTAGCCGATTCAAACGCAATAATATAGCTCATCTGCTGAACCCACTGAAAGTGCACTGATCAGGGGAAGAGATAATAAGTCTGAAACTTAGCACAGCACGGGGTCCAGGACAAAGGTGAGGTTGCATGCTGAACTTTAAAAAAATAAGGCTAGATAAAGGTCTTGTTCAAGAGTCAAGCCCCGAATTTGAAATATGACCTGATATTGCCGCGGCCTCTAGCCGCCGGCCCTCATCTTCTCAAATTCTGAAGGACTTTTAGCGCAGAATAGGCTTTGTTTCAACATCTGTCTCTAAATACTACAGCGCGAATACCATCTCAGCGTCTATAATTCACGGAATATCTGAGACGGCTACTATTATATCGTACATCCTGCTGTATAATATAATAACACACAGAAAGAAAGGACCAACTAAGACAAGAAGACATTCGGGGCTCTGAGAGGCAAGAGTCAAGTAGGTTCTCGGAATCAACTCAGGGAGACTCACATGGTCCAACACTCCCACCTTTGGGTAGATCCTCTGAAGTGACAGTATCTGCATCATGATGGTCGGAGTCCTGGCGGTTCCCATACCCCATGTTGACGAACATCTACGCAGATTAGGTGATTAGTTCTAGGTCCCTGCTAATGCAATCTGGAGACTTACTTCTTCTGGTCGTGTAGTGAGTGGAGAGACGCGACCCTACCATCCGAGGGTGAGATGAAGGAGATTAAATGTTCATTTGGGACAAACGCACCGGACTACTGCCCCAGAAGCCAGATACCATACTCAGAGACGCTGCATCATCCTCTACATCGTTGTTGCGAACGTGGCGCTGATCATCCATGAGTGAGCACTATGAAACATGTCTCATTGCGGCGTCAATACTTACAGCATTGAGACTGGACATGGCTGCAGGATTGTCAGTCGTCGAGCGACTACCACCAATAGGGGACAAGGCAATGCTTACCAGAGTTTGTATACAGTTTGGGTAGAATAAAAGCGACGACTAAGGGGGGGAAGAGATCAAACTAAGCTAATATATGACCGCTGCGGTCGAAAGAGTGCGTACAGAGATAATATGGCGTATCCTGAAGTCTAAACGTCAGCGGAAACCGCACGTACGATCAATTGATGCGTACCTTGATGGCAAGAATTAGAACAAGGTCAATCACTGCGACAGTTGCCGTGAGGAGACCTAGGACTCAATGAGGATAACCATACGTCTTCTGAACTTAACTGCACTTGCCGTTTTGCATGGTGACTTACCATATCATTAGTGCTGTGCCTCACAAAATATAAGAAAAAAGACTCACGGCGAATAACTCTGTTCAAGACCCGGTTCGTCCGTTTGAATGGACCTTTGGCACGTTGCAAGTACACAGTTATGATGGTAGCGATGATAAGATCGCATACCGCCGCCGGGATCAGCCATACCAAAGCTGGGGTATCTAGTTTGATTCGTAGTTCAACCCAATTCACGGTGTCCAAGACCATGAACGCTATGGTACTGGTAGCGATGCCTCCAGCGGAGGATGCCAGCGCGAATGCGCCTATGGCGATGAAGAAGAAGTAGTTTCTGATAGCACGATGAGCGTCCGAGCAACGACAAGTTGACTGGAAACTCACTTGGTTAAGACCCATATTTTCCAAGCAAAGAAGAACTGAACCATCCCAGACATGATACCGGAAAGGAGAGGGTCTGTTGCGATGGTCCAATCAGCTGTGGAAGACAGATACTCAGAAATGGGGGCGTCGTCGATGGAGGGGGTGGTTACCTTTGCTGAAGGCTGCGATATTCCCAAAGTTAAGGATTAGCATTTTGTAGACCCTTCAGAGAACTTAGACAACTATCACTTCTGCGAATTGTGAAGGGTTATTGCGTACCATGCAAGCACGAAGACAGAATTCAGAATGTCCAAGGCGAACAAAACCAGGACAAATAATTTGATCCACAGGCGATCTCTTGAGAGAAAAATGAGCGTACGCGAACAAGAGATAAAGAATGAACTGACTTTGGGTAATGGTCAAAGTAGATGAACAGCTGCACGAACATCGCTCCCAAGAGGAGGATGCTCACAAATACCGCTACGGAACAGAGTCACCTTTGTTGTATGATATATGAACAAGGACAATCACAGATGAGAACGCCACCAAAGGGGTCCGAAATCAGACTGCCCATACTCGACGATGGAAGGGGGTTACATCAGACAACAGCGTGTCCTCACGGCTATTAAAGGACTGTGCAAGGATGCCACATTAAGTATCGGTGACGATCAAGCTGTAAATACGTTTTGAGACCTGAATGTCATTTGACGGAGAGAAAAATGTCGGATCCAAGACACGAGCCCTTGTCAATTATTGTTTATGAGACAGGATGGCCGGTCCGGGCGGCGTTCCGGTATTCTTTGGATCACCGAAAGCACGAGCCGCGGCATCTACCGCGGCAAAGATTTGCTCTATTCAGCTTCACCCGCTAAGCCGCAGCCGTAGGCTCCCCCAATAATACGTCCGTGCATCGATATTTGAATAGCATTGAGTCCCAAATAGAGGGACACATATACACTCTTCATTCGGTGCAACGGCTGCATTCACTAGTCTGTATTTCTTCCCCCCTAAATAATACCTGTTTTGGTCTTTTTTTTTTCAGTCAAGACATGAAAGCGAAAAGACTCACCATAAGTGGATTTTCTCTGCGCTGTCATTACCAAATGTTACGGGTGTTGACAGGCTGGCCATTTTCTTCTGGAATGGAATTACCATGTCCAATCTACTTGGAGGAATCGCATTCCAGTCCTGATTTGTTGATTCCGGCGGAAGTTGTACCGCAGAGCCGAAAGCACGGCTTTCTCCACTGAATAAGTACCGTAGCGTTCACAATTGCAACCAACTGTGTTAGATTCCATGAAGGACGGCGGAGACGTGGTCTCCAAACGATGAACCCCTCTATCAAAGAACGTCCGAGTCCCGTAGCCTAGAGGAAGCTCAGTTAGCACTCAGGAAACATCTGAAGTCGTAGAGATAAATGAAATCAGGGTTGAGATGCAAGCGTGTGGTTTATCTCATACCACCTCCACTGCAGCAAAGCTCCGCACGTCGCGTTGCCGCCTGAACCATCGTTTGAAGCAGAAATGGCGCACAATTGCAACGTAATGTGAGACTCTGCCTTTGCCAGCGCGCCGTAAATCTCGAGGTCCATGCCAGCCAACTAACAAGAGTCAAAAATGTCGGTCCAGCCTTACAATAAACATCCCAGAAAATGTGTGAGGATGCATTGGGAATTTAGACATGTTTGGGCTCAGGCGGTCACAAACGTGGGTTCTTTGACCTACCAGTACGAGGCTCCGCCCTTTACTAGAACATCATGGAGAGGAACTATAGAAGGCGACGTTTACCTATCAGATCCAGCTTGGTGGTCTGCTCCACTTTGGCACCGATGAGGTAATCAATGACTGCCAAGAAATGGAAATCAGGAGCCACGGAAATAAAATGCCGACCCGACGGGCGGCTCGGGCGGTCTCCTATCTGACCACAAATAGCCTTGCTCCTGCCGGTATTTAGTATGACGCGCCTCTTCATTCACTTGCTATAGAGAGACAGGCATAGAATTCGCTGAATGGGAACTTGCCTCAGGCCTGGCACCCTTCGCTAAAACCCGGAATACTCCGTGTTGGAAGGATAGCAAGCACAAGAAGTGAGTGAGTCAAAGCCGCTATTGAAGGGAAAAGCATTGCCGGAAGGTAAACTCCAAAAATATTTGAACTCTTATATAATTGTCGCTTCGATTCGCTTTTCGGAAAAACCGTGTCCTGTTTTAGAGTGGTGGACGGGTTGAAGCACCGACGCCATGTTGAGAAGCGAGAAATGGTGGCAGTCGTCGAAGCAGTAATGACACCTTGAACGTAAAGAGGGCCGGGGTAAACGAGAAAATCAGGTCTGCGCATCTGCTTGTCTCGGGACAGTCACGATCACGTGTACCTAATGACCTTGCCCCAGCTTGGAGTACAGACTCGCCACCGTTAGTTCTAGTATGTCTTCTGCTGGATTTTTGGGGTTAGAAGAGTTTGATCCTGGGTCTGCAGTTCAAGTATGGCGGCGATTGGTATCTAGGTACCTATGGCGAAGCGTGAAAAAAGGTTCAAAGACTTACACAGATTCCAACAGTCTACTGGAAGCTCTCTCGCATCGTATACATAATATAGATTTGCGACAAACGTCAGACGCATACGGTATTGTAACTTAAATAGATTGCCAATAATCACATGAAGATATCGTAAAACAGATCGTTATCTATTGCACCGTCGACTGGTGCTCAAGGGTCTTGTTATCGATGGATATACCTGTGAACAAGCAGATCAGCAAGAGAATCAGGAGAATATCCAAATGAAAATACTTACTTTGCGTAGCATTGTTCGTCTTGTAAATCCCAATGAGACGTTGACTGAGCTCGAACATATCATTCCTGCACGGCCTAGGTATTAATTATCACGAAAAACAGTAAAAAAAAATAGCTACCCACCGAAGAGAGATAATGATGAACTGCGCATTCTTCGTCCGGTCTTTGATATAATTAGCCACGATAGACACATTACGGAAGTCAAGGGCGGCATCAATTTCGTCCATGAAATACAGAGGCGTAGGCTAAAACATACTGTTAGCCAATCCTCAAACTTGCAACTAGCAACATACCTTGAATACGTGAAGAGCGAACACCAAGGCAAGCGAACTCAGCGTCTTCTCGCCGCCAGACAAGTTGGATATGTTCTTCCAGCTCTTCTTCGGAGGCATGACGCTGAAAATGATGCCCTCGGAGAAAGGATCCATGCTATCCACCAGCTCTAGCTCGGCGTTGCCTCCAAGAGTGATCATCTAGAGTTTATTCGAGGTGAATAAAAGGCCGGAAACAGAAGGTGGAAACATTCACCTGGTACATCTCTTTCAACTTTAAAGATATCATATTGAACCCCGCCATAAACTCGTCGAGCCGCTGCTTCCGTAGACGATCATACTCAGCCTTCTGCTTATCACGTTCATGGGTAACCATTTCGACGTCGCTGGCACGAGTGAAGAACTCCTCCTCCTTCGCTTTATAATCATCTAGAACACCTAGATTGGGCTGGGGTTTCGAGAGTTTCTCTACGGCGAACGTTAGTCAGTATAGATCCAACAGATTCCATTGTACTTACCCTCAAGCAACTGGATATCAGCAACCATATCCCGCTTCCGGAATTGGCATAACTCCTCGTTGCTGTAGATGTGAAGCTGGGTCCTGGGATCTTCTTCACCATCGTCGCCACCTTCGGGATCAGATTTAACACTGTGACCACGGCTCTGGCGGCTTGAGGTTGGCTGACGGGACCCTTCGCGACTTTCATCGGCTTTGCTGTCGCCTTCCTGGCTTTCGTCATCCTCCTCGTCGTCATCGTCATAATCACTGGAACAAATATAAGAATTCTCCACAATAAGAAATAATGAACAGCGAACTCGATTTCTTCCAACTGAAGTTCGTCATGCTTCTCCTGCCAATGAATGATCAACTTTTCATTCTCCTGGAAGGCCTCTTTTGCAGCTTGAGCCTTGTGTTTCAGTTCGGCCTGCGAACGAAATTTGTTCTTCAGCATCGATAGGAAACCTGATGAAACAAAGATCACACCTCTCGTTGAATAAAGCTCTGGACCAATTCAAGCGTCTCATCTAGCTCCCCTTTAAGTTTCTGAAGGTCCTCCGCCATAGTCTCTTCAGCATCTTTGGCTTTTGCGACCTTGGCACTCAGGTCAGTCACATACGCTCTCACTTCTTGGAGCTCTGAGTCCAATTTCTCCAGCTCCTCCTCGGCTTCTTTCTGCGAAACAAGGTTGGAATCGAGGGATGCCGTCAGCTTAGCAACGTCGTTCTGCGCTTTCTTCTTGGCAACCTCCGCTTTGGTAATCTCATCGTTTGCAAGACCGAGATGAAGCTTAATGCCGTCAACCTTGGAGCGCTGAGCGAGAAGTTTCGCTCCTCCTATCTCAAGAATTTGCTTTTCGAGATCTTTGATAGCAGTTTCGATCGTGCTTGACCGCTCTTGCAACTTTTTGAGATCCGCAGTGTAGGTAGCGATGTCTTGTTCAAGCTTAGCGATGCGAGTCACATCGCCAGCATCAGGTTTACTCTGAGTCCTTGAAACGTATCCTTGTCAAGATCATATCTAGTCGGATCAGAAAACATACGCACTTCAGCTCTCGCACACGTTTCTCAGCATCAGCTATACGCTTCTTCCCATTCTCGATATCCATACCCAACTTCTCGAACGACAAATCAATCTCTGGTCCAACCTTAAGCAGCCGATCACGTTCAGCCTCTGCTTCACGGCTTTCTTGGGTGGCGAGCTCCAGTTGTTTCCTCGCTTCTTCGCTTTCACGTTCGTAGTTTTTGAGAACCTCCGGACGGACTGCGTCGGCAGCAAACTTCGAGCTCATGCCGCCTCGGGCTGGCTGGCCTCCTCCTCCCATAGTACCACTCATATCAATGAGCTGACCAGCCAGAGTAACCACGCGGTATCGCCTGTTACCAAAGGCTATGCGGTTGGCCTGTTCCATATCCTTGGCTACAAGTGTCTCACCCACGCCCTTGTAAAACGCTACGGCGAATTTCGGGTCCTTGGGAGTAATGAGGTCGAATAGCCTCGGCACATTCTCAGGTGTCGGCTTTTTGCTCATGTCAGGCTTGCCAAGTTTCTCCAGAACCAAGATTGAAGTACGACCCGCATTTTGCGACCGCAGATGCTCGATACAAGCTTGGCCTTGCTCGACTTTGTCGACGACCATGTAGTTCAAATTACCGCAGGCTGTGGTGACAGCAACGTCATACTTGTCGTCCGCGATCTTGCCCAGGTTTCCTAGTCGGCCCTACAGTAATACAGTGAACAAGGATGCAGAAGGGAAAAGAAACATCCTATCTCACATGGAATCCCTGAACGCGTCCTTGCTCCGAAAATCGGGTGAGACATTCGAGTACTCGATTTTGCGTCCGACTTTCGGCTTGAGATGATTTAGCTTCGTCAACTTTTTGACGGGTAGACGTTGCCTTGGTTCGGCAGGACTGGATATTAGCTTGGGCATCCTAAGAAGAAAGTTAGATGGATTATTAGTGGCATAGGCGAACATACCTGATGACGTTTTTCCCCAGCTCGAAGCTCATCCTGTGCCTGAGCCTTACGTTGACGCAACTGTCCTTGTTCTTGAACCTTGTTTGGGAAATGATATCAGCGAAAGTCTAGGATGAACGGTCACCATACCTTCGCAGTTTGATCCGTGTGCAATTCCGCCAAAGCGTTTTCTGCATCCTCCCTTAGGCCCTTGATACGTTCTGCCTTCTGTACAAGGGCATCCCGCTCGCTCGTTGCAACGTCAATTTCGGCTTGTTTAGCATTGAGTTTGGTCGTCCAAGGTTGGAGTTCCTTCTGCTTGGCCTCAATCTGATCGTGGAAAACCTGGGTCTTGTCTAGGAATCACAGATTCCGTAAATAACTCGAGGAAAAGACTGAAAAAAGGCCACACCTTTGAGGCCTTCGGTAATGTTTTCAAGAACTTTTTCCTCCTCGAGCAAAGACGCCTCATACTTCTCCACGTTGCTCTTCTCCCTCTTCATCTTCTGGGTACTGTCCTCAATAGCACGACTTGCGCTGGTCTTTGCAGTAGTTTCCTAGAGCGACATTTTAGGAGTCAAGAGTCACAGGGAGGCTTCTACGCACCTCTGTGATAGTCTTCGTCAACTTCTTTAATTTGGTATTTGCATGCTTCCTCCGCTCCTTAAGACCGATCTCGCGTTTTTCTTGGTCCTGTAGATCCTGGTTTGCAGCGGCAGCCGCTTTTTGGACTTCCTTCAAGGGAGTAAAAACCATATTGCGACAAGACGACAGAGATAACCTACCGCATATGCCTCCTCACGTTCCTTGTAGTGTGTCTGAAGTTGTTCCATATGTTTACGGTCGTTGGCATTGCGTTCAGTTTCAACGAGTACTGCCGCGTCGCATTTGTCCTAAGGCGCGTGTTCACATTCAGATGTCGTAAAAGAGTCGGTCAAAGCGCTCACCATTTCGGCGCGTAAAGCCCCTTCTTTGCCGAATGCCTGGGCCAGATACCATTGCCACAACCTCGATTGAGCCCGGATATGCTCGTTCATGAGTTTCTTCCAAGCTATTGCATCCTTCCGCTTCTCATCCAAGGAATTCTTTTCTTTCTCAACAATCCGGAGGCGATTCATCTTGTCTGACCGCTTCTCTTGCAGTTCATCCACCTTTTGAAGAGCCTCGTCGATGTTCTCCTTATATTTAGAAGTACCTATGATATCCTCAAGATATTCGAGAAGTCCCTCTTCGTGCTCTGTGCCTTTGGGCTTCATCTGAGCAATCGACTCGACCTCACCCTGCCAATAAAAAACATGAGTTACGTATTCACCTATAAACGCCGAAAACGGACCTGAAGAATCAGGAATCGATTATGGTCCAGGTCGATGCCCCGGCCTTGGAGTAAAGACCTAACCTCTTTGAAGTTACTGGCCCGTCCATTAATTCTGTAGACACTGTTGTTCGTCTTGAATGCTTGACGACTAACAACAAGGTCGGTATGAGGCACAACTTCATAGTTGTCAGGGCCGGGCTATGTAAATTGTTAGGCAAGTCTTCCTCCTCAACTTGAAACACATCACGTACCAAATCTATAATATCGCGGAAATGAACTTCAACGCTGCATTCATCTAAATCTGGGTACCGATCCGAGTTATGAATAAGCTCCGAGAGCTTCCCTTGCCTCATTTTCGTTGCGCGATATCCAAAGACGAAAAGAAGGGCATCGATAGTGTTGGATTTTCCAGAACCATTAGGGCCCACAATCGAAGAGAAAGACTGAACAGGGGACGTTAGAGCTGGAAAAAGTTGCTCGCGAAGCCGAAACAAACCTTGTGAAAGGGTCCAATTTCCTGCCGGCCAGCGTAACTCTTGAAATTTACCAAGGCCAATTTGTGAATGACAAGACGTTTCTGTGGACCCTCGGGCTCCTCTAGCTGTGTTGCTGGAGCCCGAGATGCCGGAGGGACTCTGGAGATCTGGTCCAAGAGAGATCCTTCTGCCTCAGTAGACCTCGCTCCCGCAAGCACGCTAGGAACTTCACGAGACGATAATGGCTTCTCGGTTGTGTTTTCTTCAACTTCGGGCCGCTGAGATGGGTTAGGGGAGCTGACTCGCGCAGGCTTCACATCATCATCATCATCCTCCTCCTCATCATCCTCTTCCTCCTCATCCTCTTCCTCGGCTATGTCTTCGACAGTCGGCTTTGAAGAACGTCGAGAGGACAATCGATTACCTCTGGACTTCTGACTGTGATCCTCAGCTGCGGGCGAGTCCATTGCATACCCATCATCGCGGTCTTCCTCAGCGTGGGAGGCACGACGAGATTGACGCGACGCTGGCTTAGTGGATTTCGTGGATGATTTGACCACAGGCTTCACATCTTCTTCTTCGCTGTCGGCAGCAACCGACTCAGATGCTCGGGAGCGCGAAACCCTCGTAGGCGCGCGAGACGGTGGCTTGACACGGGAGCCTCGAGTTGTCCTGCGAGCCGGCTGATCAACCACCATCTTCGCACTTTCACTTTTCTTCGCCAAACCAACCCCAGCCCTGGCTCTACGTTTCGGCTGCTCCTCTTCAGTCTCCTCTCCCGATGAATGCTCCAGTGATGGCCGGGATTTCTTTATTGGTGGCGGATCGGAATCATTCATTTCATCCTCTGCTTCTGGAACGTCTTGAAGAGAGCTTCTAGCATGAATGGAAGAACGAAACTTGGTGGATGGGCGCGCAGATGTGCTCCTACGAGATCTGGATGATTGATTCTCCTTCTCCTCGCCGTCTACACGGACAACTTCGGTGGGCCTTTTGCGCTTCAATGGTGCCGGTTCGGTCTTGACAACAGACTCTACGGACGCCCGGGTGCGAGCAGAGCGTCGGGGAGGCATGTGCCTTTGATGGTGGTCGTGGGTGGTGTTGTTCGTTGATTTTGCATTTTCGACGCGTCCGTCGACGTCACACACCACGCGACATGTTACAGTCACGGGAACTCAGACAATTCGGGAAACACGACTGCCGGATGACAGCACTAAAGCATTCCAACTACGGCAACAGGTCAGATACCTCTATGTTCTAGTCTATCTAATCAGATGTTGTACGTGAATTGAGTTTGTTAATACAAGGGACCTAAAAGATACTACCAGAGAGCCGTTAGTATTGCAGGCGGTGATGGGTCGAAAGGGACCCACCATCAGAGCAATATATGGATCTCACACCTTCTTTTCCTTGGTAGCATCTCTCCAGATCCCCGCAGCATCTTTCTTGCGCACAGTGAAACAAGCAATACCCATGTAGTTCGTGATGTCGTTGATGACCAGTACACAGAAACGAGCGTAGGCAAAAAGAGATATAGCCAAGGTTCCGTAGACAAACCAAGCCGTACTTCCATGTGAAGACTGGATGATGGACGGCCTGTTGAAGAGAGATGTCAAGGGCGAACGGAGAGTAGAAGATCAAGTAGCGGTGTTACCTGCCGAACAATCGAGGCAAATTCGCGTCTACGGCCCCGATAATACTCCATATCCACATCCAGTCCCAGATGGGGAATGGTGTACTCGTAACATGGGCCAGGATCATTCGTCCTACTTGATGGGCGAACTGAAGACCCCAAGCACACAAGAAGGGTACAAACAGGCTCGAGTTGATAATGGCGGAACTATGGTATGCAGGGTATGAGAGCCAGGCTACTTGAATAGTAGCGGCAATTGGGTATGGTAATAGAAACAGTAGCGGCCGAAGGGTTGACTTCCCGACTGACTTCATCGCTCGTCGGACATTAAGGTAACTAGACCGCATCAGATCCGGTAAATGCAGAAAAGAACAACAAACCTAGAAACGATGTTGAACGCCAGGCCGAAGGCAGCGAACACCATGAATGTTTCATTAAGTCCAATGTTAGGTATCTTGGAAAACGGAAGAAGGTGCTCAAGATGCAAAAATGCTAGAAGGCCCTGGTCCCAGAACGACGGTCCTGCATTGAACTATGAGAGCTGCGACAACCCAGCAGATGTGGACTTACCAAAGAGGCCCGTTATGATGTAAATGGTAACGATCATCAAGATGCCTTCAACCGGGCCAGAGAAAACACCAAGGAAAAGTTGGCCTGACGCGAATCAGATGAATTTGAGCAGCGGGCGACATGCGCTTACCAGTATGGTACTCTTCCCAAGTAGTCAAATAGAAGTTAGCCAGTGTTGCAACTTGGGATGCAACAGTCCACCACGAGCGTCCCAGATTCATGGCCTGGGCGCAAATGATGACTTCCAACTGGCAACAACTTCAAAAAGGGGTAAAGGCGGCGGTCTACGATCTTACCGTGGTATTGAGAGCATCACAGCCTACAGAAGATGAGAATCACTCAAAACAGATGCAGTTGGAAGCGTACCGTGATCGAACATCTCTCCCAGTGGACCTGCCATTCCAGTTCTTCGCGCTTGTTTTCTGACTCGATATTGAGTTTGAGTGCGATCCAAAGGGCCAGACATACCCATCAATAGCATCAAAGCTCTGATAAAGGAAGAGACCTATCCCCCATCTGGAATGATAATCAGCATGAAAAGCTGGGAAGGAAATAGCACTTGCGTAAAATATATCCAGGATGGTGGAGCAGTGGCACCACCCTTTTCTGTCAAATAAGCAGGATCATAATATAGCATCGTTAAAAAGTTCATGAAGACTATGCATAGTCCGGAGAGCGTAATCTAGAATAGTCGTTATATTTAGATAGTCAAAAAAAAACTGAAAATTACTGACCGTGTTTGGCGCAATAGTGGTAGGCCACAGCGTGACAAACCAGTTCCAGAATGGGTTCAAAACATATCGAGAAACCAAAGATCTGTACCAGCATCAGAATGGATTCAGAAGGAGGTTGACCAAGACACAAACTTGTCTACACCCTTGTACGCATATTTTTTCAAGTTTTCAAGCGACTGTTGAGGAAGGTATCCCATATCAATGCGCCTCTTCTAGCATGTACCGGGTATTTTGGAGGCGCAGAGATCCTAGACGTGTGACACAAACGACAGTAGTTGGATGACAGTCAGTGGAAGATGAAAAAAAATCACGCCAATCAGATTGTTTATTTCGGTGGTTATAGGTATCTACCTTGATTCGGTCCGGACATCCGACGAACGTTGCTAGCCTTTCTCAGGTTTTATCTTCCTCCAGTGCGGGCCGATTGGCTGTCCCCGCCGTCGTCCCTGCGTCCACTGGCAAAACTACTCCCGTAATCCACCTCGCTTCTTTGCTAGATAAATAAAGAATAGCATATCCGACATCCCAAGCATTTCCTTCAATTTTCATGAGATTTTGGTCAATGCGTGCCTTTCGCAGCTCTTCAGTCATCCCACGTCCACGAACCTTCTCACCACAGAAAGTGAGTGCAGGCATAGTATATAATTCGGAACATGCACCATAGGCGTAAAGACCATGCCCTGAAATAATATATACTGAGTAATGGCGGTATGTGCATTGAAATCAGAAAGCTTACTGGGGCGACGCAATTAACTCTAACATTGCTCTTTAGCCTAACAGCATTGTTCAGGTTGAGTCTGCTCACCGAATCATCTCGGGTCCATGATGAGCGGCCATGGCACGTGTCAGCTGGACAACAGCCCCCTTGGATGTGGGATAAAGAACTCCAGGAATTCCACCCTTCACTAATTGATAGGAAGCTGCGTCAGACTCTGCCCAACAACAGATGGAAGATGGCGTTACAGCCGGATACGGAAGACATATTCACAATCGAGCCGCGCCCGACCTTTCGCATCTCAGGAATGGCATAACGAGACATGAGCACCATGCTGGTGACCTATATGGATTTCATATCGAACTCACGCAGATCGGTGAATTGAGAGGCAACCTACGTTAGTTCTCAAGTCCCGATCCCAAGCCTCCAAATCCACGTCCACGACAGTTCCATGGGGGCCCCAAACACCCACTTTATCGAGTCAGCTGCTTCCCGCATTCAATATATTGACTATACTCACCAATATTTACCAGTATATGTACGGCTCCAAAAAGATCTACCGTGCGAGCCACGGCAGCTTTACACGATTCTTCATTCGTCACATCGCACTGAATCACTTCCGATACGCCGCCTTCCGCTGTAATCATTTGCTTCGTTTCCTCTGCCCATTCAAGATTGAAATCAAGCAGAGCAACTTTGGCACCTTGTCGCGCAAGGAGAATGGCTGTAGCGCGTCCGTTACCTATTTCACCTAGTCTTCGTGTGAATATCGCTTATTCAAACATGCGAGTGATTCTGTTTGCCTGGCATTCGGGAACCAGCCCCAGTAACGATTGCGACCTTGGATATGCTGTGGTCAGGTCTGGGCGGAAAGTAGCCTGAGGTCAAGAAGTGCTACGTACATCACCATGAAGCTGGAAAGCAAGCGGAGGCTTCGAGTTTTGTTCGTCGGCCATGAGAGGACGGAAGAGAGGAGTCCAAAGAGCATATTGAGGACGATAGCTATGTGAGAGACCGTCAGGAAGACCCAGTCATGGGATCAGTCATAGTAATGCAAAAGGCCCGGTCACCCTGCAAGTTGGTGTGCAAGCACGCTGATTATTCGTCAGGCCACCACCATCAGAAACGCTAGAAGTTGCTGGAGGAATCACAGGACGACACATTCCTTCATCTCGGACCGTGGACCGTCTCATATCTATACGTATAACCAAAAAAAATGGCTTCGTGACCATATCATCTTATTGGCGTCGATGCTCATAAAATCTACTTGACAGTAAACATGGCGGTCATTAGAGGACGTATCGGAAATCCTTGATGTATATTTATATGAGAATGAAGATAGAAAGGGAGTGGGCATACCGTGTTCTCCCATTCCGTCTTGTCCTGCATCCCGGCTTCCTTCGACTTCGCGATATCCGGAGGACCGTAGATACGATCACGACGCTTGTTGAACCCGAGCATGCTAAATCAATCATAATCAGGAGAAAAAAAGCTATGCACAGAAAAGCGAACAGACTCACTAAATGAACAGTACGACTTGGCATACAAGTTTGATCTAGGACGGCTAAATGCATGGCACCATCAAGTAAAGAAACGATATTTACGGAGTAACCGGCTAAAAGCCCAGCAGTAGCGGATTGCTGATGCAACGCAAAGTGAGCAAGGTATCGCGCGGAGAAAGGTGAATGGCTAACGAAGAAAGGTGCCTGGGACTGTTTGCTGAATGAAGGCCAGCGTAAGTATTTGTGTCGAGAAGAATTAGACATAAACGCTCACACAACAAATGGCCCTGCAACGTTTCCAAAACAGTACGCGGTGCTATCCATGTTTAGGGAAGTATACAGCGATCTCAATGAGGTTCTTACAAGATAGCGGCGGAGGCCAAAGTCTACGCAAAAGCATTATGAGCACGCGGCATCAATTAACTAGTGCACCTTACTCGATGCGTGTATCCACCCATGTTAGACGACACCATAACCAGACCAACAGACTACAGAAGCCATAGTAGTTATATATTCGCTAGTGTTTATGACACTCACGAATCCGACGGACTGGCAATTGACTAGCCAAAACGATACTAGGCGTTGCCACACATGTTCACGGGGCAGATACGCCATGCAGGCAGCTGACACTACGCAAATGATGTTGGCAGCTGTAGCAGCCATGAGACGCGCTGAAAATTAGGTCAACTACTAGACGATCGTGCGATTGAAGGACGTTTTACAGTTGCGAACGTTCAAGGTAATAACACCTCCAACGATTAGAGCTGCGATTTGTACCATATCACCTACGCTAAGAGGTGACTTCAATAGGATATTCAGATATACACTCAGTTCCCTACCTTTTGAGAACGGTTGTCTTCGTCGCTGAAAATCGCAAGTGACGAAACATCCGCAACGACAAAAGGCGTACATACTAGAAAATCCCATGTCCTTACTACGGAAGATATATTAGCAGTATCCCCTTCATCCATACACGCATACTCACATGATGATCGACGAAAAATTGCTGGATGTGAAGGCTCTCAGCAGATGTCACGCGTCTAGAAACAAATAGTTATCACCTGACAACGCCATTCGGTATCGCAGCGGCGAATACGGAAATAAAGAGAATAATGATCTTCGGATCTGTGGTAGAGACTAATATCTGTTCTTTCTTGAACTTCCGATTTTTGATACCAAGTTGATTGCCGGCGACACGCTGTACGGCGAGGACGCGGTACTCGGGACTGAAGAAATGCGCAGATGCCTAAACCTCCAATGACAGATACTTTCATAGTCAGAAGATAGTAACATACCGGGGAGTCGGGAAGCAAAAAGAAAACGGCTACGGCCCATGCCATAGTCACGGAACCTAGGATGTAGAAACTACGAAGTGTGAGGAAATTCTGACATGAGCTGAAGATACCTACATGTACTGCCATTTCTCTGGACCGGCATGACTATCACTAATCGCAGAGATTCCCGCTGGAAATGTATGGTCTTGAGCAATGATTGCGGACTAGAATGAATGTTACGTACTAGACACACTAAGTACAATACTTAGATCTTGCGTTAGTAGACGTTGCATATTTTGAAAACGCACTAGCTTCCGATCACGCCACCCCAACCTTGAGTTCGAATAAAGACATTGGAGCGAATGTTACATTAAAGGATTAACTCACCGAGACCAGAATACCCTGAAGCACGATAATGAATAGGGAACTTGAACACGGGCGTCAATGAAAAGGAAACATACAGATGAATTGACGGAGAGGAAGCTCTTGCTGGTGATTATCAGCGCATGAATTGCCTTAAGCGAATCCTTACTCTCGTATACCACCATCCTCTTTCAGTGACATGAATGAGGAGCCAGATGTAAGTAATTGTCAAGAAAGCCACATACGTCATTAGAGTCAAGCAAGGTGACACGAATGCCTCAAATATGCCCAAGAAAAACCGATTTATCATGGCAGTTTTAAAGTTCGTGCACCACACCACTGCAGATAAGTCAGGTATCAAATTCGTCATGAATAGGCAAGTTTTATCTTTACTAGTAAGGACACACAAACCCCAGATAAAGACCGCGCCTGATAAGACTCGTTGGGCAGGATATTTGCCAATGAGAATCTGCGCCGGATATCTGACAGGTAATGCATTCGCAAGGCGGGCATTAGAGGCGATATGACTTACTGAGCAATCGCATAACCGAAATACACCCTGAAAAGCATCAAGACGCATTGAAATGACAAAGAAATCACTATATACATGCTTCCCAGCCAACTGCATCGGAGTGTCAGTTAAATCACACGCCCAAGATGAGTTTACACGTACTTGAATTGATCTCCGCGAAGCTTCAAGTCTGTCTGAAAGCCAAATAGATTGGCATAATTGAGCGCAGTTTTCTGAGAAGCCAATTATCGACGTATCAGCTACCTGTATTTATAAAAGCGACGGCGACCATACGTCCAGAAACTGCAGAGTCTGAGTGATCAAGAATATCGGGAGAATAATAAGGTCTATCCTCCACCGAATGCTCCTGTTCTGCGAAGATGTAATCTCGCTATTGAGGCCCTCCTTGTAGGTTGTATATCCGACGTTGTTTGCTTCGTCAACTTCTTCGATGGGCTCTGGGATATCAACATGGCGGACTTCACCCTTTTCTTTGTCGGTATCAGCGGAATAAGACGATTCCGTGACCATAGATGTCAAGCGTTGGAGGGTCATAGTTTCAGCCATGATTGATGAAGGAGTACGCCTCCGTCCGGCTGCGTTTATTATACCTTGCTTTAAGCACACGAGAAGCATCAGAAGACTCGTTGAGTAGTGTTGGAGTTGATGTCAGAGAATACAGAAAAACAGCAGACCCCTTGGGATGCTTTACAAGGAAGAAGGAACCCACGACAGCCGGAGGTGATGCACAGAAATATCTGAGCCGGGCCGTAGATGCATTGAAAAGCTGCCACTGGATAGGAACTAAACTGTGCCTCGCATGCTATGACCGATCCAGTTCTTGCCGGTCCTCCAGGCGATTGTTGTTTGAATTGTTTCCCCCATGAAGGTACACCCCAAGGCAAATGGGTTCGAATTACAGATATCGAAACATACATCTCGAAGCCAGTGCGCGAAAGGGATACAAATCAAGTCATCATGTATTTTCCTGACGTCTGGGGAATCGATATATTCGTGAATGGGCAGCTTTTGGTCGACTACTTCGCTAGTCAGGGTCAGTTCAAGGTGGTCCAATGACAAGACGGTTCGGCTGACAAATCACCAAATCCTAGGATTTACCGTTCTCGCTTTGGACTACTTCAGAGGGGTGAGCTAGCGATAGTTCTCTTCTTGCTGCATTGTACTTATATTTCTGATTAGGACTCCATACAAAGGCACCGTAACAATCGTCATGACCGCACCACCAATCCGCAGTTCGACTATGAAGCATGGAAGCAAAAACATATGGCCTTTGCTGAAAGCAATGTACCGAAATGGATCGACGCGGTAGTTGAACACTTCGGTACGAGCCCATTTTTGTAACAAGAGGGGTGCGCTCTCATGTTGGCAGGTGGTCCTGACACGAAATATGCAGCTGTCGGCTATTGCTTCGGGGCCCCGTATGTTATGGATGGCCTTACAGAGGGCTCACTATTCTGTCAGTTTGCTGAAATACCGCTGGAGGGGTATCTGGGACAGTTTTTGATATCTTAATTTGAAAGGCGCCGGAGCTTTTGCACATCCTGCGTTTCTCAGTGAAAGCCATTTCTTTGCATGCGCCAGTGAGTCTCTTAGTGTATGACGCGGAAATCTTTCATCGATTGTTCGCAGAACCTCTCCTGTTATCTTGTTCCGAGGTAGACCATACCTTTCCTGCTGAGTCGCGACATAGGGCAGAGGCTATTCTTAAGGAGAAGCAAACACCTTACCATCTTCAGCTGTTTTCAAGAGTAGAGCATGGATTTGCTCTCCGTGGAGACATTTCTGATCCATACCAAAGTGAGTGGTATTCCCTTTCAATATCCATATGTATTCATGAATAAAATAGGATGGGTCAAGGAGGAGAGTGCTGATGCCATTGTCCGGTGGTTCCACTTCTGGATGAAATAACGAAGTAATGATTGAGGACGGCGTGCAGTTATGTTTATTTCACGAAACTAATATGACTCTTCGTCCGAAACGGTCTCGCTCACCGATTTCTTACAACGAAATCAGAAGTCGACCAAGGCGCTTGTGGTAACTAATACGTCGATCATTTACTCTACGTCTACCATGATTCTCATCACGAGCGCGAGTATCCGCTCTCAGCCTCCGATCGTCTTTCTGCAACTGAATCTTAAATGGCTCCCTGTGGGTTGTGGCCACAAGTGTGCCATGAAGAACGTCAAACCGTCTATCGTTTTATTGACCGTAAAGAACGGAAGAACCCTTCATACGTGAAACACTCAAACGAAGCATCTATAGATTTTCAAGGTCTGGGAGGTGCTCCAAGAGTATGTGTCTCACGATCTCTAGACATTAAAGCTTATTCAAGTCCAGGCAGGTGCAATTCGGAGAACTACTGAATGTTTTACAGGCCGTTCACATCTTCGTTAACTTCGAAACAGTTCTGGGCAATCATAACATGCATCCCTGTAGTAATGGATACATATTCGAATACATTCACTTATCTATTTGATTTTCTTTCCTTTTTTGGTACAATGCACCATTCTGCACATCTCAGCTTTTAACCACAACACTGATGTGAGTATCTTCTATATCTACCTCTGTTTGATTACATTTACTCATTATCTATGTAGTAATGTTACAATGTCCTATTCTAGTGCCCATTCTCTTCTGAACTCTTTCTCATTCATCATATTCATGCATCTATCTTGTTAAGTCCAACAGGTTATGGGCCCTGCTACCAGCATGTCCATGACAACTGAAATAAAGCTAGTCAGCACAACAAAACTTGCAGATGATGGATCAAACTGGATAGCATTTGAAGAGAAGCTCACCAACAAGTTCCTGGATAAGAGCCTTAGCTGGCATCTCTGAGGAACAACTCACAAACCCCTGTACCCTGTTGAGCACAAGGGAAACTTCTACTGGTCCTCCAACACTGCATTTTTAATCTCAACTCCAAATACACAGCAAGCTATGGCAGTTTAACCAGATGTTGCTATGATGGCAGGTAAGCTCAAGGTGAATATCACTGAGCTACACAACATTTGTGCTCACTGAAGTCATACCACCCTTCACTGCATGTATGTTAATGACTATATTGAAGAAATCAAGCTTGATCTTAACTCTAAACTGGAATTTTGTGAGACCTGTGTAAAGGTCAAAGCAAAGTGCAAGCCATTTCCCAAACAAGGCCAATATGAATATGTCAAAAATAGTAGTGACAAGGTCATTGGAGATCTAATGGGCCCAATATCTGTCATATCACTTGGAGGAGCTCACTACATCTGCATGTTCTGTGACCTACATACCCATGAATCAAAATCCAAATATCTATCAAAGAAATCAGGTACTTTTAGGTCATACAAATGTTACAAGATATGGACCAAGATCCACCAAGATGTAGAGGTCATCAAGATCCTTGGTACAGATCAAGGGGGAGAATTCACTAGTGATTAGTTTGGTCAGCATCTCAAATCAAAGAGAACCATTCAGCATCTTACTGTGCATGATTCTCTTTAGTCAAATGGGATTGCCAAATGTTCAAACAGCCATCTGATGCACACAACCAGAGCTTTCTTAATCAGTTCAGGGTTACCAAAATACCTCTGAGCTGAAGCTCACCAGCATGCTGAATGGATCTACAACTGCACCTCAACAAAAGCAATCCCATCAGAGAAAATCCTATTTGAGATAGCAACTGGCAGAAAGTCTAACATCTCAGGTCTTTGCCTATGAGGATGTCAATGCTGGATCTGAGTGAAGATACCAGAAAAGCTTAGAGAGCACACTATTGAAGCTTGTTTTGTGGGTATTGATACCAAAGCCAAGGGCTGGAGGATTTATCTACTTCAACAAAAATGATCTGACTCCAAAACCATTCATAGTTGAGGGAGAGGATGAAGATACCAACTCTACTGTCTCAAAGTCATCAACTGCTTCTCAACTCTTTGAAAATCTGACAGATGAACCACAAAAAAAAATGTTGGAATTAATAAAATAGATGCATGAATGTGGTGAACAAGAAAGAGTTCAGAAAAGAATGAGCACTAGAATAGAACATCATAACATTACTACATAGATAATGAGTAAATGTAATCAAACAGAGGTAAATATAGAAGATACTCACATCTCAGCATTGTGGTTAAAAGCTGAGATGTGCAGAATAGTGTGTCATATCAAAAAAGAAAAGAAAATCAAATAGATAAGTGAACATGTTTGTATTATACTAATTCTACATCTAACACACTCTCTCAAAATGTATATGATTCACTTACACAATGTCTAACACCTCTGCAAACTTCTTGAACTTTGGGTGAGCCAATGGCTTTGTAAGGATGTCAGCAATCATGTCATCAGTTGGGCAATACAGCAACTTGATATGGCCTTGCTCAACAGTTTGCCAGATAAAATGGTATTGGACTCCAAAATGCACTTTCTATTGCCAAGGATTCAGTATTCCATGAACAAATGAAGCACATTGGAGTCTGATACCATTTCATCTGGCAAACTGTTGAGCAAGGCCATATCAAGTTGCTGTATTGCCCAACTGATAACATGATTGCTGACATCCTTACAAAGCCATTGGCTCACCCAAAGTTCAAGAAGTTTGCAGAGGCATTAGATGTCATGTAAGCGAACCATATATGTTTCGAGGGGGAGTGTTAGATGTAGAATTATTACAATACGAACACATTCACTTACCTATTTGATTTTCTTTCCTTTTTGGGTATGATGCACCATTCTGCACATCTTAGCTTTTAACCACAATGCCGAGATTAACGTTACGATGTCCTATTCTAGCGCCCGTTCTCTTCTGAAATCTTTCTCGTTCACCATGTCCGTGCACCTACCTCGTTAACTCCAACATCAATCATCTATTTAACTCGCACCAATCGTATGTTCTAAGAATCGTAGTCTATTATGCAACGACGTCTCCATGTCGCCACCTTTGGGTACAGTCTCTCACAGAACCTGGTTTTTGTGAAGCGCGTAGAAATGTGAATCAGGACGTTGCAGTAAATCTTTTGGTGACCCCATCTCTACGACACGGCCGTTATCAAGGACCATCACTTTATCATAATCGACAATAGTAGCTAACCCGAGTATCAAATCAATTCAGAAAATGAAGAAGATGATGACTCACAGATGCGATGGGCAACGGAAATGACTGTAGCTTCCCGCAAACTATTGTGTAACACAGATAGCAGCCGCTGGTCAGTAGAAGTATCCATACTACAAAGGGATCATTCTAGGAAAGCGTGTACTGGCGATGGTTGTTAGCTCACCTCGAAGATGCCTCATCAAAGACCACGATTTTGCGCTTTTGCAAGAGAACCCGTGCTATGCAGAGGAGTTGACGCTGAAAACGTGCTTCAACAGCGGAATGCGTACAAAGTCCGAACAAGCCTACCTCTCCGGCGGAAAATTGAAGCCCATCAGCCGAGACCATAGCATCGAGTTGACCTTCGAGACCTTCGACTAGCTTGCGCATGCCGACTAGCTCAAGGGTTTCCCATATCTGTTCATCTTCCACTTCCATAGAACATCCAAGAGTCAAATTGTCTCGCATCTTTGCATACAATAAGAAAGGATCTTGTGAGACGGTGCTAGGATGCCAAAGTTAATGCTTGGTGGGTGTAAGAAACGGTATGACGGTACCTGATGGCCGACCGTAACATCTCAATAGGTACGGTCGCTAGGTCAATACCATCTATGAAGATCTGGCCGGTGCAAAGTCCCGTAGTGCCAAGCCCTTGGAGCAGAGCGAAAACAGTGCTGCTTTTACCACTCCTATTATAATTGTCAGCAGCAGACAGCGTGTCAAGAGGAACAATTTACCCTGTGCGTCCACAAATACCTAGCTTTTCGCCACCCTGAACTGTAAAGCTAATGTTATGAAGAACAGGATCCAGGTTTTCTCTACATCAAAATGAGACATCAGCAACGTCCGACTTGTATTAAAAGGAAATCTACTGACCCGTATCGTAGACCCACATCACGGAATTCGATGGAACCGAAAACGGGCCATTTAGAGCCAGGCGGCTGTCTTCTTTCGTCTGAGAACGATTCAGGTTGAAGGCCGTCCAACTCGAAGAGCCGTTCTACTGAGACGATTCCATTCTCAACGCGGGTATAAGCCAATAGTAAGTTGATTAGACTTTGCGCAAGGCTGACTAGCTGGGAGAGCGCAACACCCAGGTAACCTCCGGATGTAGAGCCGCGCAACCCAACCGCAAGACCCGCAATGGCAATGGCTACACAAGCCGTGAGCAGGTTCAACGAAGTGCGTCTTTCGAATGATTAGACCAAAAATGGCTTGTCTATAAGATGAAGAGCTTACAAAAATCGGATTCCTGCGTAACGGTAATACATTGGAACCTGTGAACGATCGAGATGGTATATGCTCATGTCCTTGAAGAGCTTCTCCGAACGGAACGCCCGAATCGTTATCAGGCCAGACAAGGTTACGGTAAACGCGGTGTACAGCGGCGTTTTGGAGCTTAACGTCAAGCGTTGTAGTTGTCTTGAGGTAGCCTGGGAAATGAAATTCAAAATGAAGAATGTTTCCAAGACCACGTGTCCGCGTCCCTACCAGATATACTTTCTGCAGACCCCAATAGATAACACCTAAGAGTGGGACAGATATCGCGAGCCAAGGTACCTACAAGAAATTTAGCTTGGGTCACAACGATGGAATCTTTCAACTCACAGCAATAAGAATGAGGATCACAGCTCCCACTAAATCGATATAATAAACACGAGGTTGATATCTCTGAAATGCCACATAACGCACCAACGTAAACGGCGGTGAAAGTAAAGTCCTGTAGAGCCCTTGGAAAGGCGAAGTCGGCTATGAACATATCACTTGACCATCGGTTCTGCAACTTCGCCAAAGGTGTGCGTTGGAAGTATGTGACTGGAGCAGCGAGCACGGCTGACAATTGCTGAGCGTGAATGATCAAGGAGGCGCGGGGCACCGTAACTTGAGTGTACATCCACATGGTCATGAATGATGTCAAGAAGCAAGTTACGGCAAACGCGGCATAGCCTCCAAGCCAGGGCCCGTGCGAAGTGGTATTACTCTCGGACCACTCTTTGAGTAGGATCTAAATAAGCACGTCAGATACTATACAGTAGAACGAGCCAATAGAACCATCCACCTGCAAGCCAATCTGCATCGCTGTGTAGATTATAAGACACGTCAAGCAGAGTGCTAGCCTATTCCAGCCGCACTGAAACAGTAAATCTGAGCATACATGCCAAGCCTGGCGTAAAGAGTCACCCACTGCTTTCATGTAGAATCCATATGTCCCCCAGGATGTTGAACCACGAACACCCTTCTCTTCTTCATCAACCTTTCTTTCGGCTGTTTGGCTTGGCTTTTTGACCTCTTGCTCTTTAGTGGGTACATTGCTAGCCTTTGCTTCTTCCTTGACTTCCGCCTCCTCGTCTTCGACCTTTTGCTGTCCGATGTATTGAGCAACATCAAGGTCTCTGTCATGTAGTTCGGAAAGTCTGCCCTCCGCCACGAGCGCACCAGAGTCAAGAATGACTATATGGTCGGCCGATGCGAGGTGTTGCACTGCGTCCGGCATAAACAACTGAAGACAGACGCCGGTAAGGTTGACGTACGATTGTGCGTGACGAGCACGACTGTCTTCCCCTTTCCCCGCAACAAGCCATCTTCACCGAGCAGCCGTGTGAATACAGAAACCGCTGTGTGGGAATCCTAAAACCAAAGTTACAAATATCACACGAGCGCCATTGGGATAACTTACCAGAGCCGAGAAACAATCATCGAGAAGAGTGATATCACATTTGGCGTACACAGCTCTTGCTAAGGACTATCGTTTGATGAATACGGTATCCACAAAAAGGTGGTACCACTCACTACGCGCTGCTTTTGTCCACCGCTAATGGAACCAGGAGATATCTCGGTCATATCACCATTAGCCATACGCGCCAAATCAGGGCGTAGCGCGCAAGCATCCACCACCGTCTCATACCACTGTGGATTGAATTCGTTGTCCAGAACAATGTTCGAACGCACAGTCGTGGGCCATACAAATGCCTCTTGAGGTGCATATGCTATCCGGCCTTGGGGTAGAACGCTGGAGCCTGCGCCTTCTATGAAATATGTCTCTCCAAGAAGAGTTTTGAGGAGAATCGATTTTCCCTGATTCCAAAAAATATATATTTATAACTACCGGCGGAATGAGATATAAAGAACTTACGGCACCGACAGGTCCTACGACCATGCTCAAGCTGTTGATATCGAATGATATATTGCAGTCTGATATCAAGGCCTTTCCATCCTTTCCTGCAGCAATCGTTGCGTGCGACAGCATCATTCGGGAAGCACCGTAGGCGTTGAGAGAAATATCACTCTGACGTTTGAGGTCGCTTTTTTCATCATCTGTGAAGTTTGATTCTGACAAGATGTCTTGCTCGGTGAGACTAGTCTTTTCAGGGAGTGACCTGTTCAGTGAGATATTAGTAGGTGTTCCAATGGTTTTTAGCCTGACGTACAAAAATACGGCTATTCGTTTCATGCTGGCAAATGATGCGAGTAAAAGCGGGAAGCAGTTACCAACAGTGCTGATTGGCAAAGTAACAAGATTCTGCGACCTTTTCGTCAGTATCAATCTGTTAAGCTGGTGAAAATACTCACAACCACAGTCAATATAGTGAATAGGGTTTCTGGATAAAGATCCTCCGACTTTATTCCAACGAAGGTCCCTAAAGCGGCGATGCCGGCGAAATTGATCGTCGCAGATGATAAGACGCCTACGATGACAAGGCGTGCACTGTGAAAACAGGTACATTGAAAAAGAGCGCAAGGAAGTAACGGACGCAAATCCTCACTAAAATGTCTTGAGAAAGCCTATTTCTCTGATTCTGACAGGTTCAATCCACTTTGGCATCGTTGGTTCGACGGCAAGAAGTTTTACTGGAATAATTTGCGACATGACTGATGTCTGAAAAATATTGACAACAAGACGCGCATCGATAAAACGACACCATTACATACCAGAACCTTTAGCCTATCCTGAGTGCTTCCCATCCAACGTTTTTGAGCTTTAGCGACGTGGTTTCCGATATGGCTTGTGATGACGAAGAATCCGACCATAATCACGATGGGTGGAATCATCGCAAAAGAAGCCTGAATAAATTAGACAAGGAAATCTACGGACCGACACTGGTATACCTTGAACCATAAAATAACAGCTGCCACTGCTATTGAAATAAACGCACTCCATAGTTCGTGGAAGAACGCAATTCCTTCGCATACACGCTCGACATCGACGGACCTAATAAAGATGACGTCATCAACAAGAAAACAAATAAGGCAAGAAGGCGCACATGTAGGTTACCGCAGTACCACGACCCTCACTTTCTGCTACCGAGGCCGAAAGTCGCATTGACTTGTCAAATATGACGCCGACTAAAGCTGCGCGATATCGGACGACCATTGTGTACACCTTATCCCAGTAAACGGCAGTGGATGATGCTATGGCAAGGTATACGATGGCATATGCACCAACTAAGCCCCAGCCATGAGCCGGGTCGTCGCGCGCACCATTCGAATTGGTGTACGAGTCTACAAAAGCGAGCATCGACTCTACAAGGAATGGCTGCGTAAATGTTGTGGCTATCAGAATGCATTTGGGCACTACTGGCGCGAGGAATTGGGAAAGGAACGCTCTCATGGAAGGAATGAATATCGGAGTACGAGCGGCGCCTTTTGAGCGGGAAAGGGCCTTGGTCAGTGCTGCATTTGCCGGTACACCAGACAGGATGGGTGGAAGACCGAAGGCGACCAAGTCATCGAGGTCGAAGGCTCTTTTGAATCCTCCAATGAGAAGTGGAAAGAGATACACGAAAAAGAGCCTTGACAGTATCGAGGAGGTTGTTTCTAGGGCCGTGGGCTGGATGGCGTCAGTATTATTCCAGTCGATATGCAAGAATTCTCACTTTATTGGCTTCCCGCAGGAATCTTCGCTTCTGAGCAAGCTCAACGACGAGGTAACACGTCCGCGCGACAAATGACACGACAAATAGCGCAAAGAATTTTGCATGAAGGACTCCGGCGGTAACATACGTTCGCAACTGGGTTGCGGCAAAGAGCACAGAGAGAAAGAGATATAGTCCAATGAGAGTGCTAGGAGCGAAGCAGCGAGTGTGATGAAGGTAGGAAACAACCGACAGGCAAATCTGTGCTGACATAAGTTGATTAGATTCTTCCGGGCTCTGCACACTCACCGCCGCAACGAGTTCAAGCGCGTATCCAACTGTAGCCCATTTTCCCCAGCCATCTCGTGGCACATACGCAAGAGTCGCTGCGAGGACTGCCACCAGGATGGCGCCTAGAACAAGTTTCACTGCCGAGAGGAGGTCGATTGTGCGGCGAGTAACTTGAGGAGATCGCACGAGGCTGACAGCATGAAATGTACCACAGAAGATGAATATTGCTGCAGGAAGGATCGACATGAATCTAAAACACAGTGAGCTTGTTTTCCTTCTTTAACCCTACAAAACTAACCTGAACTGGAAGCCCAGCGTAAGATCCATGTGCCTGCATGGTGAAGCAGGTCCAAAGGAGTCTTCAGCGCATATCTCTTCCATGATGGCAGAAAAAGAGTGCTGCAAGATAACTATGCTGCGAAAGTTGGGAGTTTGTAGAAATTTCCTCCGGGTGGATTCTCTGATAAGATGCCAAGATTATCTGATAAGGCAGAGGTACTATCTGATTTGATGCCACATGTCTTCTACAACGCCGCCAACTGATCCGCGTTTTTGTCCAGTTCGCCCATTCGTCATTGCCTACTCAATACGCTTAGGGCAACACTAAATAAAAAGGTCCTTCTGGTGACCGGACGATGACACTTGATTCATGACTTCGTTCAAGAGCTACGTTTTCCATCCCCTCCCTGACCTCGGCTCGCTACGTCGTCTTCCGTCATCAGGACCATGTAGCATCGCCTACAAGATCTCTCCTGGCCTTTCCAAACGCCTTATCTCTCCCGATGGACGCCTCTCACCAACTGCACAATCTCAGCTTCGTGCCTCCTTTGCCAACATGCTAATGCGATACCTGGATCGTCAGGACTATCTCTTCGCAGAAACGTCTGTTACATATTTACAAGATCCTGAAGGCGTCCTATTGCGCCCCATCCGTGCCCGACTGGAGCTAGAGATCGCGCCGACGTGGAATAGTTTCGTCCGGATGCTTACCACGCAAGCTGATAGTGTCGACGAAGAAATGTGTTTAGATGACGCACGACTAGAATTGGGTATCGTCGATGAACAGAATCCAGTTCGCGCGGTTTTTGTGTGGAATGTCCGAGACGTCGGAGATGACGCCTTTTTGCCAAATGGCATTATTTTTGGAGCCCACATCGACAGTTTTTCCGTGGTAATTGATCTCCTCGCAGACAGCGCGTTGATATGCGCCTCTACCATCGAAAATCTCGCTGCTCAAGTTAGCGTAACCCTCGATGCCATCATCAGCTTCCCCGATTCCCCTCCAAAGACGCCCGAGGATGTCATGCCTCCGCCATTACTTTCATGCGCGCCACGGACATGTGATTTAGACCATGAACACCTTGTCCTTGAATGGTTGTTCGACCATGCGTCAAAGCGTCCGGATGCCGTAGCCCACGAAATCTATGCTTCCATGGATAAACCCCCGTTCCTGCTGACCTACGGCGAGTATAACCGGCAGAGCAACATTCTCGCCCGCTGGTTAATCGCGAACGGTATCCATCTGGAGGACAAGGTAGCTCTATGTAGCCCGAGAACGCACAATTTCTATGTCATCATGGCTGCTATTTTGAAAGCTGGGGGTTGTTACGTTTCGGTATGTGCCAATTGAGCAAACATAATGCCTCTAACACTCTTTATTTTAGATCGACCCAGAGTTACCAATCGAGCGAAAGCGTTTCATTGTAGAAGACAGTGGTGCGCGTCGAGTCTTTTCTGCTCCTGAAGATACGTCCATCTTTGGCGACGCGGCAGTCCCTATAACAACGGCTTTCATGGATCAGCTGGAATCCGACTTCAACGATAGCAATATTTGTCTTGCGACACTCTCTTCTCTGGCCTATCTTCTCTATACATCTGGTACTTGAAAATAGTTGATCCGTAACATCATCAACTCATATCTTTTCAGGTACTACTGGAAACCCTAAGGGTTGCCTTTTAACTCACCGAGGACTGTATTGGGCCATGGATGCCTTCTGCGCTCTACCGAAACTCGTCACGAATCCTGATACCGACAAACGTTTGGCTTTAGCATGTAAGTCCCTCTTCGAGGGTGTATCTTTCATCGTTAACATAACGAGCAGCCACCGCATTCGACGTCCACATCTCCGAAATTGTGCAAAGTTGGTGCCTCGGCACGCGGTTGGTCAGCGCGCCACGTTTTGAGCTTTTAACCCAGTTGCGTCGGCACATCATCTCAATTGGTGTGACGCACATCGGTATGGTGCCAAGCATGATCGAAGCCTTGCTGGAGAGTCCGGACGGGTTACCCATAAAGTATCTCGTTTCAGGGGGCGAGAAAATCACAGATTCGGTCAGTCGAATTCTGCTCGTTTATCAGACTTATCTTAACGATTGTTTTCTAGCTACTGAAGAAATGGTCTGCGAGACCTGATTTGGTTCTTGCTAACTTTTATGGGTGGGCACCTGCAATGACCGGGTTTGTGACCAGATGCTAAATTACCCTTTAGTCCGACAGAAGTCACGATTGGCTGCACTTCAAGGCAGATAGGCATGAATGATCGCAAAGAAAACATCGGAAGAGCTTTTCCCTCATGCTCCGCGTATGTCGTTGATCGTGATCTGAATGTGGTACCGTTGGGATGTCCAGGAGAGCTGGTCATAAGCGGGCCTCTCGTTGCGCGCGGTAGGACGCTTTTCCATACTCGTCTAGGCCCTTATTGACGTGCTACAGGTTATCACAACCTCCCTGACGTAACATCGAAGGTGTTTATTGATTATCCTAGTCCGGGATGTAAGGCGTACCGTACGGGTGATCTAGGTAAATCGCGTCCTCGCGTAATCTATATCTCATTGACGTTACTCAGTTCGCATGATGCCGGATCACTCCATCGAAATCATGGGTCGTATCGATAGCCAAGTTAAATACCGTGGGGTACGCATCGAAACGGAAGGGATATCTTCCATACTCCAGGCTGCCGGCGATGACAAGCTCGCCGTTTCGACTTTCATCACGACCCATCCTGCAGTGGGCGCACAGGAGCTCCTCGTCAGCTTCTTCGCCTTGGGTAATGATGTCTCTGTTGTCGACCGTCGTTCCTCTATTCCTTCGTTGGTTCAGACAGAAGAAGCGAAGACGCTGGTACAAACCCTGAAAGCGGCCGTTCAGGTACAGCTTCCGGCTTATATGCGACCAGCGTATATTCTTCCTGTTGAGTTCATACCACTGAGCTTGAATGGGAAGACGGATACCAAGGTTCTGGAGCGTATTTTGCGCAGCTTGGATATGCAGGCGTTGTTGGGGAATTAGGGGCAGTAAGTATGTGAGAAAAGCGATTTAGTACCAAACTAAAGCAACCTAAATATTACAACCGTTTATTTCATCCCGTATTTATGTCTAGACTGTCAAGGATTTCCATGCTCAGAAAGCATCCGATGGAGATGAAGTACATGCCATCAATTAATTGTGTCCCAATATCAGTTCTGAAAGAGGTGTCAAGAAGGAAAGAAGGAAGGGGAAGAGAGATGTACTGTTTTTGTCCAAATGAGTCCGGGCCGGCAGTCTGGTCTCAACTACGACAATCACTTCATGAACGTTCGGATGTTCTACAGCCCAGCAGCAACAGACTAGTCTAGATTCCAATCACCCAAACTTGGGCTCGCGAGGGAAATGGGGGCGCAGGAATGAACGAGTATATCAATTACTCGCTGGCGTAGCTTGATCTACCCATTGGCAGGTTCGGTCAGCATCGAGCGAGAGGAGGGAATTCAGCCGTGGTGCGTCAATCTCAGCTGCAATGTTGACCCATCACGCAGAGAGCAGACTGATGCCCTCAGCCGGCTGGCAACAACTTCTTGTCCAAGCGCGCGCCTCTTCTCTAACGCAAAAATACTGCCAGTTACCGACGTCTTCGACCGCAAACACCGTATTGGAGACCACTAGCCTTCACGCTGGCTGCCGTACACAAGGGTGAAGTAAGTACAAGAGGATATGTATCGGCCTCAGGCCAGGGCAACGTAATCATTATCAAAGGAGCTCTAGCGCTTCATACATCCTCTCGTATTCGAAAAACGTTTACATCGTCGTTCGCCTCTCCCTGTATCGAGCATACGGGTAGAATTGGCGATGATTCAGCCATTCCTCAACGATATGCTGGTTCATGTCAGATCTGAAGTAGATGACCTGCGACCAGAACTGGATATCACCAACGTTCTGCATATTTTGCGCAGCTTGGATACGCGGGATCTGTTACGTAGGGGAATTAGGGCGATAAGTCGGTTATTTAATCATTGCCAGAAACCCAACTTAGTACCGAACTCGAGGTATCAAAACACTATTCAGAATCATCCCGTATTTCTATCTAGACCATCAACGACTCTGCACTGCCAATAAGAGCACCGGTGACACCGTCCAGACGAGCAGCGACGGTGTCCAAAGTCCCGCCTAACCCGTCCTTGTCTTTGAAGATCAGTTCGGTGTTCTCCGATAAAAGAACCAGGATATTCGCGGGATTACTTCTTAACCGATTCCAGGGTAACGTCCTACTTCTCCCTGCCATCGGAGAACAAAGGAAAGTTGTGATACGCAGGCCCGAAAATATGGGACATAGTATTTGTTCAACGGCCGACCACTGAAATCACATCTGAGCCTCGGCCTTGTACGGCTCCGCCGTTTCCAGACCGTAAGGGCCGCCTACCTCGCTTGCGTCACTGAGAGTCTCGTCGACAATGATATGACTACCATGCAGACTCATCACGGTGTGTGTAGGATTATAAATGACTTCAGTGCCAGACTCCCCTGAGATAAGCCAAGACAGCAAACAGAGGCCTTCGGCCCCCTACTTATACATGTACAAATACGACGTACCGTGAATCCCAATCCATTTAGTTCCCTCTCCGTCGTTAAGGTTGTTACGCCTCTCGTTCGCTGACATACCGTTCTCTTTCGCCTCCTCCATCTTTCTTTGACCCACCCACCTACTCCCTTCAGTGTTTGGTGTTGCCGGATTTTGGTCCTTCCGCTCTCTGGTTCACCGAGCGCCCGGGACTGGAGACTTTGCGACGGGGTCCCGACTCTGGGACCCCCGCAAGTCAGCCCAGATCCTCACGCCGCGACCATCTCAGGCCGATTGACTCCAGTTTTTACTTTCGCCAAGTCCCAAGTCCCAGACACACCAACCGGATACAGCAGTATACGGGCACATACGATACCTATTTATCCCTCCCAAGCGACACTTGGCTTATCCACTGGCAAGATCAATTTCATGTTATTTCCTGCTTAAGCTATATTGAACTTGAGGCAGTGTTCAGGTCGTCGGACCGCCGGAGCGTCTTCATCATCGAAAGGGCCTGGAAACAGCGCCCTACTCCCTCGGCTCTTCATTCAGAATGAATGAAGCGAAAGGTCCAGGGATATCCGTCCAGTGCTCACAGCGTTGATACGACGACGAGGCCAGGACGGAGTTAGCGGAGCTGTGGCCCACCTCGCTCTAAATTTAGTTGTTCATGTGATCATCAACGACACGGCTATCCGCGATATCTGCCAGTTTTCAGTTTCTTCTATACCCCCGCACCGCGTTCAGTCAGCTTTCCTCTTCAGAGAGGGCAAATTTATTGAGATATCTGGCCTGGAAGTACTAGAAATTTATCTCTGCCGAGCTATATGGTTCCTACGCGCCTAGGTGTGGCTGTTATTCCCGGCACTATGGCAACTCTCCACTGGCATGGTCGCACGAGTATATATACCTATCCTCGGCCTTTGTGGTGGGATTTAACTCACTCTTGAGCTCAAGCAACGCGAAAAGACCTGAACAAGTACGTCTTTCTTATTTTCACTTTTGTTGATTCACGATATTTGCGGTGTCATTTCTTAGCCCTTGCTGGACAAGGATAACGAACGGTATCTTTACGAGTAATCACGACCAACCACGATTATATCAACAATTAATGGCTTCAAAGGCCATCCAGAGGGCTGCTGGGAGGACAACGCCTACTATGAAAGGCTTAACGTCCCCCACATCCATTCTGAAACGGCCACCACCTCTAGTCTTGTCACCAAACCCATTCCCATTCGCAACAAGCGCTACGGTGGTCGTTTCGCCAAGCCTAAAGTCGCCACACGTCCATTTTCCTCCATCCGCTTCCCTCACCTCAACCTTCGCCACCCATTCGCCAGATTCTTACGATCGCACGGCTATTATCGTATCCCCTAACTTCCTTGAGCTTCCTGGTCGAGGAGATAGGGTATATTCGCCGACCTTGGAAGCTTCCGGATCCCACGATAAAGTGCTTACATCGCCTTTGGAGGACGGGCCATTCCAAGGGGACATCGGTCTCGATCCTCCAAGGCGATCTAAACGCAGATCAATCCTTAGGCAACTAGATGTACCGCAACGATCTCCCGTCAACCTCGCGAAGGCTCTGAAGACCTACCCGCGTTCTCCCTACCCAACGGCTAATTTTATCGGTCTTGATGTCGATGCAGAAGACTCAGACGCTGGAGCACCTCGTCCCCAGAGAAGCAGCTCTGTTTGTGGAGTAGTGACTCTTTTTGACACAGGGAAGAGAGGTAGGAAGGAGCCCCGCTCGCCATCTTCCACGTCTCTTCTCTCATCTCCATTGGATGGGGAGTTTATTCTTAGCCAGCCGTCGACGTCGCTTCGTCAAGAGTTCTGGCAGTCTGTCTCATTGAGCGAAGAACAGGGACACGATGTGGCGTCGACACCTAGGGCCTCCGAACTGCCATTCGTGTTCGCAACGCAGGACGGGCAGTTATGGTCCCCAGGCATTCCCAGGCATGGTGACCACTTGATCACTACTCCGACTGTAACCGATAATAAGGCATTGTCGAGAGTCATGTCTCCCAAGCCAGATGATCCCTTTGCTGCGTTCCCTTCCTTCTCTTCTGTACTTTTGTCTAGTGGGGCGAACGGTGGTGTCATTACTTATCCTCCGCCTGTGATAACTGTGTCGGAGAAAAGGCCTCGGGCATTGGCGAACGAATGACGAACGTCGAAGTAATGTACTATCAATTGTTTTGTTGTTTTGTGCGTGTTAACGCATGCTGTCTGTATGATTGAATCCTGGGTAATCGTTGCATGTCATGTGTTCGAAAAATTGGTTCCGTCTCTGACGTCAGAAACTGTCTCGTCCAAGTTGAAAGTGGTCTGCAGTGCAGTTTCATGTAAGTGTAAGACGCAGGCGCAACTGATGTGGAACCTCGACAGTCTCTTGGCAAGTCTCTTCTATTTCAGCCTTCTTCGTATAAAGCCTGTGTCCATGGAGCTACCCACTTGTTAGGGAACTGTGCTACCTTCCAGCCACTTGTGGTACGCATTCCCTTGCCTTTCCCTTCTTCTCTCACTCATCATGACCGGACTGGCTTGCCAGACTAGATCGTTGTGCAGCTCATGATGCCCCGTTCTATCCTAAAGCGACAGTCAACAGCGTCCGATGCCGGATCTGGTACTAGGTCTTTACGATTGGCCCCCTATTGGCCCCGCTCACGTCGTCCCCGCGTGCATTTTCCCCCAACATCAGTGATATCCTCTACCCATCTAACTCACTCGCGAAGAGCGTACAACCGCAAGCCGATTGTCGTATCCCCCAACTTATGCGAATTACCGGGGCGCGACGAGCGAGTCTATACCTGCACTTCTCCTCCTCCTAAATTTGGTGTCGTGTCCTCCTCGTCCAAGAGGAGGTGCCTCCGCCCTGCTGCGTACAAGGCGTGCGAACCAGAATCAGAGCTTCCATCATTGACGCTCGGTATCTCCGAGCTCTCCCTGTCAGAATCGCCAGCGCCCGAGGAAGAGTCCAATGGCTCTGGTCCTGACTCCCCCGACATACCTCCCATCACAATGCATGCGCCCGTCCCACGTTGCCCAAGGAAGTTTAACCAAATCTTGTCGTTTTTTGCTCGTGAGAAGTCGGACCCGGACTCTGGGGTATTGCCCCGGGATAAGACACCGGCGCAGAATCCGCGGAATACGACGCAAAGTGCTTTTCGAGAGCCGGAGCCTGACGGCTGTCTCGGCGGTTTTTAGATAATATGTTAAATTCGTTGGACGGTTTCTATTATTCTCGCAGTCAACAGTATTCCAATTCTAGTTTTGATCAGGACAAATTTTAGCCGCCCGTCGGCTTCCAAATCTAATCCGGATTTGGAAGTACCGATCGGAATTCATGTACCCAGATATATGCATCTTTTCTTGACTCGTATCGGCCGTTTTCATCGATTACCACCACTGTCGTTAGTATTACGCTCGGGGATTCGGACGAACATGACTCTCGCCGATGAAATTGCAGAACACACGGCGCTTTTCAACAGTCTTCGCCTGCAAAATGCCGATCCAGCAGAAATAGAGGCAGCAAAACGGAAATTGGGAGAGCTGAAGAAGGCGCAGGGGGTGCTAAATGCAAAAGAGAGAGAGAAGAAAGGCGATTTGGCCGAGGGCGAGAAGAAGAAAGACAGGATATTATTGAAGACGCCAAAGGTCACTCACTCCCTTTCCGTTATGGATCGTACTGTGTGATGCTTAAATTTTCCGTAGGGAACAAGAGACTACGGCCCGTCGGAAATGTTTTGCCGTCTCCACATTGAGCGCATCGTCAAGGACGCGTTCGCTCTCTTTGGCGGAAGCTGCCTCGACACGCCCGTTTTCGAACGCAAGGACGTCCTGACTGGAAAATACGGCGAAGACTCCAAGTTGATTTTTGATCTCATGGACCAGGGTGGGGAGCAGCTCGCGTTGAGGTATGATCATACCGTACCTCTTGCGCGGTGGCTCGCGATGACCGGTGGAGGCGGGCAAGGCAAAGTGTGGCAGGTGGGCAAAGTGTATCGGAGAGACCAGCCGGTGATGTCCAAGGGACGGATGCGAGAGTTCATGCAGGCCGTGAGTTCATTGGCCCTGTTCCTTCTTCTGATGTGGCATCTATATCTCATTCCAGGATTTCGATATCTCCGGGACGTTCGATCCAATGATTCCAGACGCCGAAATTGTCAGTCTTCTGAGCACGATTTTGAACAACTTGGATCTTGGTGAATACACGATCAAGGTGTGTGTTTCTCGTCTGCCGAGAGGGAAATGGCACTCATTATCGAACAGATGAACCATAGGAAAATCCTTGACGGCATCTTCACCGTATGTGGTGTGCCGGAAGACAAAATTCGGACGATATCTTCCGCTGTAGATAAATTGGATAAGGTACGTGTTTCAAGCATCCAATCTTCTTTCTATGCTTCATTCCTATACAGCTTCCTTGGGTTGAAGTGAAAAAAGAAATGACAGATGAGAAAGGTCTGGATCCCACTGTCGCAGATAAAATTGGAGAGTATGTCAAGCACAAAGGTAAATGTCGTTCTCTCTGTGCCAGGCCATAAATTAAACCTTTGCAGGTGGTCCGGAGCTTTTGGACATCCTTACATCAGACGCGACACTAATGGCGAACAAGAATGCCAAGGAGGGCATAGAGGACATGGCTCTTCTGTTTACCTTCCTCAAAGCATATAAAGTGCTTGACAAAGTGAAAAATATTGTCCTCTTGAAACCACGTACCCCCACTGACGCTTTCTTTACAGATCTCCTTCGATCTCTCACTCGCCCGTGGTTTAGATTACTACACAGGACTCATCTACGAAGCTATCGTCGAAGGTTCAGCGCCACCGGGGTTCAAAGCCGCCGACGCTTCTGCGGATTCAACACCTGTACCGAAACCGAAACCAAAGTCGAAACCAAAAGACGCAGGAGAAGATGAAGAGGTAGATGAATCGCAAATAGGCGTGGGGTCCATCGCTGCGGGAGGCCGGTATGATAATCTTGTGGGCCAGTTTGCATCGGCAGCGGCGTCCGAGAGCAAGAGCAGCAAAAAGAGCGCGGCGAGCACACCTTGCATTGGCGTGAGCATTGGTATGGACCGGATATTTGCGCTGCTGTGGCCGAAGTGGGTTGGCCTGGGGGGGAGGTGCAAGGATACCATGGTGTATGTTATGGCTGCGGGTGATGGGTTGCTTGAAGAGAGGATGGAGCTAGTAAGGGACCTTCGGGCGGAAGGAATAAAGGTTAGACCTGTTTGCCCGTTACAATGTCGAGCCAAACTGATTAGGTGGGACCTTCTGGATTAGACCGACTTTTTGGCGAAGAAGAAGCCGAAGCTCCCTGTGCAGTTTGCTGCCGGAGAGAAAGATGAGGTGCCGTTTGCGGTTATCCTGGGGGGCGACGAGTTGAAGGAAGGCCTTGTCACTGTTAAAGAGCAGAGATGGGAGTTCAGAGATGGGGCCAAGGTCAAGGTCGAGAGCGCAGATAAGGGGGCAAAGGTGAGGCGGGACGAGCTGGTTGCGTGGTTGAAAAGCAGTGATGTTTGGAAGACATGGGCGTAGTGCTTTGTTGATTGCAGTCGGGCGTACGATATATAGATTAGATGCTGGAATATTAATGGCACGTTTGGATATTGGCGCAGTTGTGTGTTCAGCAGCATATACATTACCGCGGCTTGAGTCATAATTGCGAAGATATAAGTAAAAGCAATAAGAACCACGATGCTCCTTAGCATGTGTTCCATCATGCAAAGCCCTTCTCTAACTGATGTCTTCAATAACTTGCGACTCGGAGCCACCATGGCCCAGTACGCCAATGATATGACTGGTTTCCCCGTCAATGACCTCAAAAAAAAGTTTTTTTGGCCATTGTCCAAGCCCCCAAACACGCAGTAGCGTTCCACGCTCGCGTCTCTGATAGTAGGAATAGCGTACCTTCCGCTCTGAAGGAGCGTGTCAAAGTCGTCTCGACTCGGCAATGTGACGTACCCGTACCATAGACGACAGCGCAAAACGGCGTACATAACGATGCTGCGTCGATTTTCATTATCAGGTCGCTCCGATAGCGGGCGGTGTGCGCTTGTTGAATCTTCAATTCCGGTTCTGGCAGGCGTCACAAAGAGACTACACAGGTGATTCGGGGGCTACTTCCGTTCAGTTGGATATAGGGTATGGGGAGACGAAGAAACAGGCATTTATACAAAGTTCAAGCCAGCGGCTGTAGCACTACAAGCCCATTACAGTCATGTCAATCTGATCTCGAAAATCTTTCATCACTTTGTCCATTCTATGTTCAGAGGCACCTATGTCAACTATTCAATAGAAACACTTGGAAGATAACCACATGATGTATCTCGGAAATACGCCTCTCGATCTCCTGTGCTAGCATCTTCCCAAGCAGACGAACGTGGTGAGCTGCGACCTTGGCCCACTCCTGGTCACGGCATTCTGCAATACTCTCCACGATGGCGTTCTGAATGATACCCTCATCCAGAGCGATATCTGGCCAAGGTCGCTGCGACACCTGCGTGCACACTAAATCCAGATAGTCATCCAACCAACCGTGAACCGAGTACACAGTCCTTGGTTTCGTCTCAATTAAACAAGGTCCTTCCTGCTGACACCATGGACACGCTACAGGCCTCCCATACGACCTTATTAATAATCCTTGTTGTAAAAGAGGTTCCGAATAGCGTTCCAACCATAATATCCCTGTAAATTTAGATGTTCCTCTAACGTTCATACCCTGCACAGCCTTTGTACAGTTTCTGCGATAGGCCCGGAGACGCAAATACTGCAGGGCATTCATATATTTGAACTCCTCATGCTCAACTTCTGGTTCCAGAGGTACAGCGAGCGAGTTCCTCGCGGCTTTTTCGCCCAACTTTTTCCATCCATTAGCGGCTGCCACTGAAAAAACCTGTAATGACTGTTCTTTGATCATGGATGACGCCAGGACGGCCCGGACGAATCGCTCGAACGCGTTATCGATACAGTACTTGTCCAGCACCATTCCCACCTTCATGAACTGCCCGACAGTCGTTATTTTAGGGATGCTATACGGATAGCAGAAGAAGAGCACGGTCCTGAATGTGCTGCTGTCTTCTTTGACTTCCAGCACAGGAAGGCCATCCCTTTCCTCGGTGTGATGGCTCGCCTCCAACACGTTTCGGAAGAAAGATGAAGGCGATTTCAGCGACAAGAGCACCTTGACGACGAAGAAATCAACGTTGTCTGCTGTACGAATCACTAGATCTGCAAAATTGGAAGGGTCGTTGAAGGGAGGATCAGCGATGCTAATGGCGGGCGGCTCGGTGGTATCCATCAATGGGGGAAGATGCGTGTGAAAGAAAGAAAGGGCATCATCCCATGGTATGCACATTCCAGGCGAGTATGTAGTTAGATTGCCCTTCAACAAGCTAATTATAATAGAGTGGTCTCCAGACTCGATTATGCCGGACACGAGCTAAAACCTTTGTCGAACTAAGTATAACATACACGCTTAGCTATACAACCTGAGACATCATGCTGGCAACTGGGAGATGACTTTAAAAAAAGAAATCTCAACTTATACCCCCCTTAGATAGAACGAGGAGAAGCAACCAAAGACGCGTGTATGCTGGAGAAGCCGTACTGCTACCACTGGCACGTTCAACTCCTTCCTTAGCACCGCTGGTCGCCGTCACTTTTTTCTCTCTTCAACTTGCTCACAAGTCCCCAGACCCATATTTCCTTAGTTCAGACTTGGTTGATCTTCTTCTTCCTTTCCTTGCGCTCACTCACAAGCTACCTATTTCAAGTGGGACATCAATTTTCTATGTCACCGTTATTCAGCGCTCTTTCCCATCATGAACCGATGCTATGCGAACGTCAATTCCTGTACAAAAGCTTACTGCTATCAGGGAAGTAATTCTTCATAGCTCTTCGTCGTCATGATTATATTCAGGGACGATGCGACTTGACGTTGAAACGGGAGATGGGCCGGCCTCCGGGAGACGTGAAACCTGTTGTTGCTGTATCAGATGGTACATCACGACAGATTAGAAATCCTGTTCGGGATGAGCATCACACTATGCATGACAACCTCATCCTGGTACTTAAAGCATGGTGCGTAATCACAGCCCGTAGAGCTGGCTCTCCTACAAATTTCCAATGCGTTTCAATTACAGGTTCTTGTTCGTAGTGTTTACTCTCTTCTGTCTCCATACAAGGTGAGCCGTGATTCATGTATTTGCTGTCTTTGCTTTGCGCCCACTAACCTTACACTTCAGATCGATTTACGCTGATGAAAAGAAGAGCGAAGGAATTCTACTCAACGACTTCTTCAGTGAACATCAAATAACTTCCGGCAGCGACGAATACAACCGGCTGCTCAATGTAGCCATTCAGAAAGTAATGACGGGAGTTCGAATCCAGTTACAGCTAAAAGAGAAGTTGTACGTGCCTTCTTAACTCTTTCGTTGCGCTCAATGACAATCACCTACATAGGTACAGTAGATTTACCTGTCAGAACTTCCTGTTTCTCGTTGACGAGTCCACAAGAAATATTGTGGGCGTGACCATCCTAGCCCCAAGCGAGGACGTCAGGGACTTGGATAAACGAACTCTAAATGTAGGTCTTCGATAATCCATTCGGCTATCATCGTGACTGAGACACTGGCTCTTAGAACAAAGTGAAAAGAGTACAGACTCTCGTGGATATTCTCCTCCGTCAATGCACTTCGGACGGATAAGGGACGGGACTATACTAGAAAGTCTGTAGTTCTACTAGCCAAATGATAGCCTCACCAAGTTCGACATTCAGTTCTAGTTCTAATATAGTCGTATCTTGTGAATGTCGCAAAATAAGCGCGAATCCATCTTCCGAGTAGCGTTCCCCGTCGCACTCAAATCAATAATCGACATCATCTCAGCCAGATTTGATTGAGAACTTGTCGTATGGAAAGTCTGTACCGTATCTTACTACCATGACAATCATCGAGGGGCGGTATGACAGTAATCCCATGGCCTAAGGCGCTATCGGGTCTTTGGTTTTTCACGTTCTTACTGGTTAAAACATCTCTGTAGTAAGAGACCTTCTTCGACGGCAACTATATTCATCGAATCTTCCTGTCACAGGTACATTCGCAAGGTAGTCAATAACTTCATCTTTCTCTATCACTTGCACATTACTGATGAGAAATTATGGAGAGGGACGTTTAGTATTAGGTATACGTTTCTAAAACTATTGAACATTTGGAGGCCATTGTCGCAGGTTGTCATCATTGTACTCTATGTATGTACCTTGGCCGTTGTAGTCATACACATAATGCCATGCACCGGAGACCCAATACAGAGTCAGAGTCCTGCCATTGTAAGTGACCTCCTCGGTCTGGACGTCGCTCAGTTCAGAGGTTCCTCCACTGTTATCACTGTGATGGGGTGAGTTCCCTCCTTGGCTTCCCTGCTGGCTTACTTGTCGACTTGGCACATACGAGTCGCGCATTGCTTCGGAAATCGCAAGAGTGTCTTCGTATATCGCATATATTGTTGTATCAACACGCTGAGTCAGGCCAGAATCGGTTTTAATCTGAGCTGCAGTGGCTCTCGCTACGGATTCCTTGGCCTTGAGATATTCAACGAGCCTAACCCAAGTGTCTTGGTCGTATTTGCTTTTATAGACCTTGGGGCGACTGGGATTATTCTGCCTCGAAATTGCAAGCCTAGTCACGGCACCTTTCTGCAAGTGAATACTGAATAAACGGGAAGTATAAACTGAGGTGACAATCAACATACGGCCGAGTTGACATCTCCCCTAACAAGGTACAGATTCTTATTCGGATTATTGACATACTTGCTGATAGTTGTTACTCTAGCCGCAGAGATACCTGGATTGGTACAGTACGGATTTAAACTGTATGATGAGGTCTGCAACTCGGTAAAATGGTCTAAGAAAAAATATATTTAAGTACAGGGGTCGAGGCACTGCAAATCGGACATACCACAGTGATAGCCCCCTGCGTCCTGATCCTCATACTGTGCCATTTCCTGGTCGTACTGCACATCTTCTCTCTGCTCAGTAGAACTCGAGTGGTAAGAATAATCCTCTTGCGATGCACTTTTCCCTTTTCTTCTCCCTCCGGAGCTCGATTGACTACTATTTTCCGTATCGGATCCTGATTTCGATTTCGTGGAACCCCGCACTCGTTTCTGGGCACCAAGTCAATAGGGTGAGCAAGGAGGATAAACAAGCTCTCACAAAGAGGTTGGGTGGATAGTGCTTGGTACAATCGCTATGCGAAGCATCTCGTATCGGAACACCGCAGATCGAGACATCGCGTTTCTGGAGTAGGTGATACTCTTCGCGGCGAAGCGTAAGGCCATGTATCTGTGTAGAATCTAGACGAAATGTTAAACTGAAACGAGGAGGCTGACCGTTGTTTCTCGTCGTAAGACCTAAGTACAATAAATGGGTTTACTCTGCAATCCCAAGCCAGAGAACGGACTTACTGCAGCATCATCTCTACCTAATGGAGGAGCACTGTATACGGCCAGCGCGTGAAGAGAAAGAAGCACAAAAGGGAGAGATAGCATATCTTCTTACCGGCCAGCGGCAAATGAAGGAAAGACGCATTCGACTTCAAAAAGGAATATAATTTATACCCATTGCACGAATAACATGGTCTGTTAGTATATGCTAGGGAATCAACTTGTTCACTAGACAACTCACAGGATAGATTCGCTAACTCATTGCTACGAGTATGGATCACGAAGGAACAATTGAGGTTTGACCCTGGGTCCGAGTCAACGCATAAGCAAGTGCAGCGATGACAACCATAACAACTTGACATGCTCCGTAGGCATGACGAGCTCTCCAACAAGCATTTCAACATCGAAATTTTACCTTGCGGAAAGCTGCGGAAGTATGATCTGTGTATATATTTCCGTGTTTATACAAGCAGTCACCGACCGACGGCGTACGTAGCAAAGACAATCTTGAATTTACCCAGCCAAGTGTTAACGCACAATCCAACCAAAAAAGCGGGAGAAGGTTGCTTACCTACTGGCCTAGTATGCGTGTGTTGGGACAATGTTTCACAACATGTGACCAAAACGGCAACCAAGCGCTCCCACAGCATCAATCCCAGAGCCATTAACGCAGTTCGTTTCCACTTGATTCAAATCTGCCGAATACAATGCATCACGTCAAGGCTGTGGAAAGGAAAAGGGGGCGCTGGAAACATGAGAGGTAGGTTGCTTTCTGTATCCTTTCTTGGTAATAAGCGAAGTCTTCAGACGCCATGTTCTCTTCGAATGCGCTCATGCTCCTTGCGATCAATGTCGGGATGATACTACACCTACAAGGTCGGTTATGAAAACGTTGGGAATGTCAACAAGCACGTACCGAATCCCAGGTAAATGCAGATCATTGGTAGCGGTAATCAGTTTTGCTCGCAGAGCGCTGATGCGTTGCCAGACGACTTGAAATTTTCAGGCTGGCGGAACTACAAGCAAAGAGACCTGTGTAACGTTGAAGAATTGCTGAGGAGCAAAATGTTGATTTGAATGGAAAGTGATCGGGTGACAGGGGTGTAGGACCATCTCATCTCATCATTACACGGCACGATACCTGTGGACGTCGTGACTGTTGTCGCCTTGTATGAACAGCACTGCGTTGGCGCCTATATTGCTAGGATTCTCAATAAACTGGCCTTATCACATAGGAAGGTGTATGCACTGAATGTTGCAGAGAGTACCCACCTTAGTCCCTCGGAGATGCTGGAATATTGATGGTAGATTCGAATACTGGTGCGGTAGTGTGTTCATCGGCAAATATATTCAAGTGTACAATATTCCTCCTTATAGTCTTTGCGAATTCTCAAGTAGTTCTACCATCGGCGCGTTAAATACCTTGGCCCAGTCTACGAAAGTGGTAACGCGTGTAAGAAACATCTAGTCGTCATCTGACCCTGATTCTGATCCTGATCCAACGTCGTCGTCATCTGCAGAGACATATAGTGAGCAGGTCAAGAACCTTTGGAAGTGAAATGCTCACCACTGGCAATATCGTCCTGAGATATGCTCGCTTGTGCTTGAGCCTTTCTAAACAAAGCTCGTACTTCTGTATCTTTGGTCGATACCAGATCGAGCGCCGTTTCACCAAACTTATCTCGTATACTGGGAGATGTAAGCGAAAGCCGATGAAACGAAGATAACATAACACACGAAGTGTTGGCACCAGCCTCAAGGAGGCTGTTTACTACATGCTTCCTTAGCTCAGGGTGCTCAAGCTTGACTGCCAGATGCAAGGGTGTCGCCTTCTCGATACGGTTAATGGGGTCAACGTCGCAGTCTTCATGAGATAGTATATGTTCAAGCACATCTGTGGAACCGTTGGACACGCTTCTCTTTCGTCAGCGGCGCGCAGAAGGGCAGAAGATGAAGACCCTACGCGAGATGTAGGGCTGGATCTCTAATTAGCATCGATTATTATGCAGATAGCCAGCCGACGCACCAGTATTCCCAAGTCCATCCTGGAAGTTAATGTCGAATCCGCCCTCGGAGAACACTTCCATCATCAGTTCTTCGTTGTCTGACCTTGCGGCCGCCAAGAGTCGCTCATCTGCGACCAATCATGAACGTAACATGTTATATTGGCAAAGGAAACGTACTGTTGCTGGCGCCACCATTCAAATCTGCCATGGCTTGATGATGTCAATATAGAGTCAATGTAATGTTGAAAGATGGAAAACAATCAAGACGGGCGAGCGGACCGCTGGGCCTACTTTGGATCAATTTCTGTGTGAAAATCAATCCCATGAAATTAGTTCAAGATCGATTTGCCTAAATGGGAAGACCCTGTTCTCCATCCCTCCACCATGTCTTCAAATAGTACGGTCTTAGACGCGTTCGAATTTGAAGACGACTCATCTGAAAGGTACGCACAGTAGATGTAGACTATTTTCTGCCTGAGGCTTATTTTTTTTCAGTCGTGGGGAGGTTATTGCAGTAGGAGTTGCCTCTACTATACTTCTCACATACGAAAACGGCCAGCGAGTCGCTGTCAAGTCGGCAACTACCAGCCGTCGGTTCGCAAAGGAGCCTCATGATATTAAAAAAGAATGCCGCATCCTCTCTCAGTTATCTTATGTCAATGTAAGTTATCAAGTGACATGTTAGCGCCGCACTCACCGCAAAAATAGATAATCCCAGTGTTATGGTCAAGAGATGATCCACATGAACACATGCTCGAAATATGCATGCCTTTCATTCCTTACTCGCTCGAAAATCTTCTTGCTATCCCATCGTTTACTCCTTCTGACATGGGCAGCCAATTTTACACCATAAGCCGCTCAATAATATTCCAGACCTTATCGGCGCTTGCATACCTTCATTCATCGCCACATAAAATTGCGCACCGTGATATAAAGCCTTCTAATGTCCTCCTGACCGCCTCGGGGTGCGTCCAGCTAATTGACTTTGGCGTATCGTACGCACCAGATCCACATGCGGAGGATATTTGGCACGAAGAAAAAGACCGAATGTATTTCGAGGTGTCTACTGGGTATATGTCCTCCTCCAGCCACTGCCTTTCCCTGACTGACATACGAGCTCAACCAGTCCGTATCGCGCACCAGAACTTCTTTTCGGCGCGAGGACGTATGATCCTTATGCCGCAGACATGTGGAGCCTAGGGTGTACTTTTGCCGAGTTTTTCACACAACTTCTTCCCGAAGAGAACGACGACGAGTACGACTATCCCCCCGAACTATGTGACACGAACTCTACGTTCGTCCGGAAATCCCTTTTCGACGGAACAAGAGGCGAGATCGGCTTGGCATGGAGTATCTTCAAAATTATGGGTACTCCCACTGAAGATTCATGGCCTGTAGGTCATCCTTCCCAACATTATCTGCTACCCCTCGATAACGATGGTCGGATCCGGTCTAGACGTTCAACCAGCTTCCAGATGCTTCGCGTGTGCAATTCACGGTCGTGCCTCCGGTACCTCTAGACAGCGTTTTACCACATCTTCCTCATGATCAGACTCCGTATGAACTCAATCTCTTGCAGTCATTCCTCATATATCCCCCCTCCGCAAGAATCACTGCCATAGACGCTATCGCCCATGCCTGCTTTACGGATAGCGTACTAATACCGCCAGAAATACAACAAGCCGGCACTAATTGCGTGCATCAAACGAAGGACGGGAAGACGATTGGGGGAATGCTGGAAGAAGTATTCACCAATAGTTGACATCGGCTTCCCCAGACCTCCTACTACCGCCAGTTATGACCTTTCACGAATATTCATCCAAGAACATTAGATGTGTCAATGTATATTATGGCGTCTAGTTGAATGATGTTTGTATCCGTACTATTACATTATGCAAAGGAGTGTGTAATAATTAAGACCATGGATTTGAGCTGTAGTCCGTCCCGCCCGTGTTCTTTCTCCTTCCTACATGGGTGGGTATACTCCAGGGGTCACCGACGTCGGCAGGAGATGCCGTAGTTATAGATCCGTCCACATCACCGAAAGATAGCGCCCCCGCATCAGGTGGCGTAGCCAGTGATGACGCAAATGGATTCTGACTGAGCGACGCAGCCGAAGTTGAATAGGTAGGAAGAGTATAGCTGTAGTTGTTGAATGAAGATAGTGTTGTAGTACGTGACGGAGGGCCTGACCAGCTATCATTAACACCGAATGACGACGGAGGTGGAGATTGCGAGTATGAAGGTGGACTGAACGGCAGTGAAGCATGTGGTGATCTGGAAGGCTCATCTTCGACATCTGAGTCATTCGCATCGTTAAATGACATGGATCGGGAGAATACAGAGCTCATCTCGTCCTTTTGCGGTGGAGAAGGGCTACGCGACGTGCTTGGACCTGGAGTAAGGGAAGGCCATCTTTTGGCCTGAGGCATGGATTCGGTGCGGTTAGTTGGCGGTGGAATGGGTGGTGCGGCGATCGGTGCAGATGACACTGCCTGTTCAGGATGTTCGGAGCTTTCTATCATCTCTTTGATGGCGGCAAAATCGAATCCAGCATGAATAGGAATGTCCGGTCCGGGGGATGCTGTGTCTCTTTGAGGCGTTGAAGGGGGCGACGCTACGGGTGTGGAAGAATCTATTCGCGGTGGGAGGTCATTGTCAACGGAACCTGCAGGCATTGATGCTGGTCCCGATGGTTTCCTCGAATATGACGAAGGTCCACCCGGCGGTCTTGATACATGTTGGAGTTTTGAAGTTTTTGACTTCCTCGAAAACCATCCCTTCTTCTTCGACGTATCCTCTTCCCGTACAACTACCCGATCTTCAGTGAATTCGGGTTCCTATGGCAGGAGCAGGTCACATTTGAGCAACAAGACAGGAATTAAGCAACGGATCACGTACCTCAGGCTCATCGAAATAATCTGCCGATACCGGGAAACCCAACTGATCCAAAATCAAAGGCATAAAAGTTCTGTAACTCATATGCCCTGAAATTTTGTCGGTCACATCCACATTCTCCAACCCTGGGACACCATCTACAGGTCTCAGTCCGGCAACCGTTCCGACTCCCCCACTCGTAGCTCGAAAGAGATAGTTGAGCACCCAATCGTTCCGTGCGAAAGCGTTGACGTATCGGCCTGACACTACCGACCTCGTCTCACACCAAGTCTTAGATGATGCGGTGACCGTTGTTCCGAGAATGAAGACATCCTGGACGATGCCAAACGCCTTCTGTTTGACCAGTTCAACAAGGGCATAGAATATGACGCGAGCGCCAAGAGAGTAACCGATGAGAGTCATGGGGCGAACACCTAGATGTCGCTGCATCAAAACATCTGCTAGGACACTGCCAGCTGCCTTGGCTCTGTCAAGGGCATTATTCCAGGGATTATCGATGAGATAGCCGAGCTTGGTGAGAACTAATGTGCCTTTAGAAATCGAACAAGAAGTAATCCAAGAGACACACTGATTGGCCATTGAAGGGCACTCATTAAGGCGGTCATGACGGTTGCCTGTAACACCGTTGCTCCGATTTGGCTGAGAACTTCGCCTGTAAGGATCTTCAAAGCGCTTCCAGTCTCTCGAATCATTTCAGGTTCCCAGAGAACACTGAAGACATCGCCAACAATGGGATCCAACACACTGAAAGGTAGTCGAGGGTCATCTAGGGCGCCGTTCAAAAATCTAATATCGATAAGAACACAATTGATAACATAGAAGACTTCACCAACCCTGGAACTGTGATGATGCAGTTCACCCGCTTGTTATTATGCAAAGGAAGCAGATCGAACGTTCGAACTTGTTGTGTCCGGTTAATCATCCCTCGAACGGCAATGCCACTGCCCGTTAGTACACCACCAGTCGTGATAACGGCTGCACCTCCGGCCCCGGCAAGAAAACCTGTTGTCCCTGTTATCCCAATGGTACTGAACGCTGCACCTAGACCCACTCCTATGACTGGAGCCAAAAGCCCTGCAGATAGACCAATGACTAGTCCACCTCCCAGCGTAGCAAGACCCAGCATCATGTACCGCTTCTTTCTATTAGCCTTTCTGCGGCTGTCAATGATATCCTCATTTTCCATTCTCTCCACGTCCTCTTGGATTTCCAACGCCTCAGTCACACGACTCTCGAACTTGACAACATCCAGCCATCCGAGACCAAGCTTAAGTGCAACATTTTCGAGGAGAACGCGTGAACGAGCATCATAAACGCTATCGGCGATGAGGATCAGAAACAGATCGCATAGGACCGTCCATCGAATGTCGAGAGTGACCCTTTCGTCAGCCGAGGAGAGGGTGGTGGATACACCGGGTATTGCAATTGTGGAGGTATCTTCAAGGACTTTGGCGGTCGTCTGAAAAGTAGGCTTAGTAGAAGCGGACGGTGTGAGAGGAGGGTCGTCATGGGTATCAGGATGGTCTTCGGGCTCTTCCTCGTGAGACGCCCGCCGACGAGCTGCGTCAGGATCGTACTCTGGATTAGCGACGGTATGCGTTGTCATGAGAGCCGGGACGAGATCCATAGGTAGTACGCCATGTTCGCCGAGACTCTCAATCATCTTTTGCTCTGTGCATGCTCGCTTAGCTGAGAAAGAGTCCTAGGAAAAGAATGGCTGTTTACCTTGAGTCTCAAGCTCCATATGATAATATAACCGACCCATTATTTTCATCGCCCAGAGCTCCATGTTTGCTACCGCCGCCTTGAGCTCCTTGCGTCGTACCACCTTCATCGCCTGGGCCATTTCACGGCTCGTCAGTGAGCAGAGTCCAACGTACGCTATACGTTGTGCTTCCGTGAGCAGATTCTTGGTCGCTTGCATCTGGCTGAGCGGGGTCATAGCCTTGTCTTCATCGAACAGGTACCGGGTCCGTAGGTGCACGTCGTCATTATCATCCTCCTCCCTTACCCGTAATCTCGTGTATTCGCTTTCATTGTGGTCTATCTTCGACCGCCATTCGTTCCCGAGGTCATCTACGTCAATGTTGCCGATGGCATTGGCGGCGTTGGTGCCCTTGACTGAGGGTACATAGTGGTATCGCTTTTGGTCTTCTTCATCAAGCCCGCCCTTGAGCTCGTCCTCCCGGATAACAGGCATATCCTGCCATCCCTCGTCGTCATCGTCGAAAACATTAACAGGTGCAGGGGCCGTCGTCACTGGCATAATGAAAGAGCAGAATCAGACACATGCCAAATTCAGCGAGGTCGTCATTTATCGCCTTACTTTTTTCGTCCTCGCCATCGCGTGCTGCTTTTATGGATTTCATGCCCTGGCGCCGACACAACAGCATAGTCGTGGAATAATATACTGGACACCTCTCAAGCGATGATAGTGAGTCTCGAATCGGAAGAGGTGCGTATCGAAGGCCTCGAGAGTGATTATATGCTACAGTACGTGCACAATCCTCACGCAGAACGTGAAGATAGTGAGAGAGCAAAACGACTCTCAGCGGCAACGATGGTGATGAAAACTTCAGTGTTCTTCGTGCAGTCCGTAATGTCTTTAACGACGAAGGAGTGTCGCGAATGGAAGATGACGAAGGCGTTTACGGAGCCCGTTCGTTCCATCTGTTTCCTCTCCTTGCACTATCCGCTGACACCTTGTAGGATATCTATGAAGCAGACACGCAAACGGTGTATGCTTCCACCTGATTGTCCAAAGACAAGCCTATCGTATTGTCAAATATAGACACCACGATGTTACGGAAAGGTAAATCTCAGCATAGAATATCCGTGTATACGCCGAGGCGCATTTATACCATCTCGCCACCAGAACACAATATTATTGCGGGCAAAAGGTTTCCCCAAAGTCTCGAAAAGTCTTGAGACACATAGCAAGTACGCTGGTCTTTCCTCATGAGCAATGCACTTTACTGGCATTATCCAAAGTTGGGGGTTTAACTGAATTACTACTACATGCGGTGGCTTTGCTCTGTTTCTGAAAAAACTATCAGCTAATTCATCGCGTGTTCCTTCTCATATCAATTCCCGTGGAAAACTGCTTGCGAATATGCCATTGTACCAAAGTATGAAAATAAGGAGACTCTTCTGGTCCTTACAATGCAACTTTGTGGCCGCCCTCACCCCGGACGGACAGCTGCGCTTTTCCCCCGTATAATTCTTTTAATTTCACTATTCAAGCTCTCCATTGTTGGCCTATCACCTGGTTCATGAGACCAGCACCGCATCACCACGGCCCACAATTCATCTGAGATTTCTGGCGGCCGGCTAGGACGTTGCTTTCGACGCACTATCCGATTCACAAAAGCGAAATCATTCGGAATGTTGGGTAGAGGGGGCAGTCCTGTGTACAGCTAATTCTTTCGTCAGTGTTTATGACGGGCTGCACCACAACGTACTTGGCATATGAGCATAGCAAATGAATATACGTCGCTCTCAGGTGTTGGGCGGGCGCTTGCTAGATGAAAATCCTCGGGAATCAGCCGTTCTGGCGCCATCCATCTGGTAGTGCCAACAGCTGAACCGTGGTCTTCTACTCGGAGTAAGCACCGATCAATATAGTTGTTGTCTAGTCTTACCTCCACTATAGCAATAGTATTCGTTATCAATGAACGAGGAAATCCCGAAGTCCGCAAGGCGAGCCTTTTTCTTCGCATCAACAAGTATGTTTTCCTACTTAATTTGATCAGTCAGAACTCGAAAAAGAGTTTATAACCAACAGCTTTAATGTCTCCGTGTGCGACACCATGCGCATGTATCCAAGTAATTGCACTCGCTACTTGGGATACCTGAAAACGGATGTCACCAAATCAGCGAGGAACTTAGGTTACGACTCAGCAACTGAGGATTCACCAGCAGGGCTTTCCCGTGGGTATCTATAGACTCTTCTGAAATGTATTTCAAAAGAGTACCGTGAGGCATCCACTCGCTGACAAGCCAAATTTCAGATGCCCCCAATGGAGACGATCCACCTGACTGCGAGTCAAGCATTTGTTGCGCCCATTCCGGCTTGGTCTTAATATCAACTGCACCAAAGAACGGAACGATGTAATCTGATCCAGTACGCCACATTTCGCGCCAGGTCCACGTTTCGAACGCAAATTTCTTATCCAGGTGAGACTCATATAGGAAGATAGCATCAACAATCACTAACCTCGTCCCAACGAGACTGGAATTTCTTGACAGTCACCGTCTTGGTCTCACCATAAATCCGACACGTCCCTCGGTAAATAACGGCAGAACCACCCTCAGAGATTGGTGATGGAATGATATCTTTGATGGCCTCGGGGCGTATCAAGAGCTCATTTACGAGCTGATCTGTTCCTCCGAATTTGGTCAGTGCAATTTCGATCAACTTCCGACTGTCATCGTAGGACACATTATTCCAATGGCTGAGCTGTGTAGCTTCAAGTCACATAGCACACAAGTCTAGGAAAGGAGAACATACCCGAAGCAAGCTGACCGCTGCCCTCGACTTATGTCCTGGAGATACGGTGGCCATTTCGTCGGAAGAGCAGAAACGCTGTGCACTCTGGAGAACGCTACTTGCCCATGCGCGTCTGTCATCACCGAGTAATTGGAAATAGGCAATTACAATTCCGAAAGACTTCACCTTTTGAGCTTCCCTTGCCAATCATCTCGCATGCTGTTTTCAGAATTACATGATTGATCTGCTAAGAGATGGATTTTGTCCCATATTATCTGCTCGAATATGATCCAACGTAGGGTTTCCCAAGTCGCCCACGTTTCAAAGCTTTTATATGCTGATTCAATTCGGGTAAAGATGTTGTGCTTCTCGTCAACGAATCTGCCTTCTTTTGCGCTTTCAACTGAAGGATCTAATGCAGCGCCGATCTCTACGAGACGGGCTTTAGAACTTGAAGAGATAAGAGGTGACTGTACAGAATATACATAAGCATCCTACGAAATCCTGACATTGATTACGCACGTCCATGTTTTTCAGGTTAAGAACGGCATTTCTCGTATGTTTCTCTTCTCCTTCCTGAAGGCCAGCCTGGAGGACCACTTGTGCAAGAGAAAGTACATCACCTGCCCACCGTTCACTGAAGCCGCGATTAGCGCGCATACCAAAGTGCTGGAAGAAAGTAGAAGCTTACTCTTTTTCTTTCGTCCTGCTCAGTGCCGATATCGTATTCCAAATTATTGGTTCAGATGAAAGCCACCAAAGCGGACCTTTATCTGCAGCACTCGTGCAGATTTTCTGCGTCTGTTCCAATGCCTTTGATATGCTTTTGAATGTATTCCAATTTGGCATCTTAGCATCACCAAGGTTTTTTGCCGCCTGGTTGAGTTGGCGGGAGTATCTATAGTATGCCTTCGTCATTTGACTCTAGCACAAATTATGTAACTCAGAAGTGGTCAGGCCTGGTATTTGGTATGTATACAACGTACCTGTCCAAGCTGCAGACATTCTATCACGTTCAAAAGGGTCCCGAGCTCTGTCTCCGCGTGTCGGATACGGGATATTATTTTATTTTCTGCGTCGATCCTTCCTTGCGGTTTATTGCTGACATTGGGTACACGTAGTTCACGTGTTATTGATGAAACCTTTTGCGTATTATCTAAGGGAGATTTGGGTTTCGCCGCCCAATCTGTATGAGGTCCTCTTGTCTTATACACAGACTTGTTCAATCTATCTTCCAGCCGTTGTAGTAACTGGTTAGCAAAATCCTAGTGTATCCAACATTGAGAGATGATAGCACTTAGATGGATGAACTGGTGGTACTTGACCGAATACGAAGACGTCTGAATTGGGAGCTTCGAGTCTGGCTTTCATGCTCTTGAGCCGCTCTCGAGCATGGCGTTCTCTAGCATCATACATCGAGCTTCGGCGATGACAAGAATGGATGTTGGTGTTTGGAGGTAAGGGGAAGCCTAAGGGAGGGTGTATATGACAAAAGAACAGGTGTAGCTCCAGCAAGGCTGTAGGGCAGGCTTGTTGGATCAGATGATGACTTATAAAGACGTGCCCATTAGAACATCAATCAATCAATTATGGTCGTTTATTTTTGTAGCTGTGTCAACGGGAAAGAAGCCAAAAAAACCCGACTGCGAGCAACGAGCGCCTATTTCACAATTCGATCTAAACACCGCGCCGTTCACGCATGGCTAAAGCAACAGCTGCCATCGTGGGTCTGTCATGTTTGTCTTGTGCCCAGCACTTCTCAACCCAAGACCAAACTCGATCCGGCACATCTAACGAGATCACACCGTCCAAGGTGCCATGCATAGGACGCGCAGGTCGCACTTTCTTCTCCAGTTGGATTAGGAGAGCGCCAAACGCAGTGCCCGAAAAAGGACCTTTACCTCGATAGACCTAAAAAATATACATTTTTCAGAACGTGAAAAGGAAACGGGAAGGGGTGGGAACCTGTACCTCGTAACAAAGGCACGCAAAAGCGTAGACATCTGAGGCCTTCGAGACGCACATATCCTCATCATCCACATCACCGCATGCCAGAAGTTCAGGAGCTTTATGTCCAGGAATACCACTTCCCGACCTCGGAGCTGATCTGGTAATGACACTCAAAGCAGCAAGGCCAAAGTCTGCGATCTGAGCGTGGTACTCATTATCAATAAGCACGTTGGACTACAAAGCAGTGTCAAAGCAGAGACACTGTTACATTGAAAACAGTGACTTACTCCATATAGATCACCATGGACAATGCCAGTATCATGCAGGTATGTCAATCCTTCAGCGACTTCAGTGAGCTTGATCACATCAAGTTATGTACTGAATATCAATGACATATGAGCAGCGGTACTTACAAGGCGTTCGCAATCCAATGCTTCAGGACCGGTTTGTTCCCGGAATTTCATTATGGAGCCATGAGATCTATAAGGCAAAACAATGCTAAGATGTGGTGAGAAGGATACTTGATCTATCCCAAGGACAGGAAGGATATTTTTGTGATGAGCAGTGCACCACAGAAAGGCCTCCTGGCAAAAGCGCTAGAGAAGTGTAGCTGCAGTCAAAGCTGCACACGATAACAACAAGTCCTCTCACCTTCATAAGTAATCCTGGATTTTCACGGAAGTCATCGACCCAGAAGCGCAGGACCTTGAGAACAACATCGGTGCCGTTATATCGTGCACGATAGATCCTAGCATTTCCTCCTTCATTGAACACCTGGTCTTCATGGTCCTCTGATGTGATCAGAAAGTTACGTGGCAAGATATTGCTGTTGCAAGCAAGCTCTCGCAAAAGCCTGCAGCATCTCTGATGAACTCTCAGATCATATCGGTCGAGGAGCACTCGACCACTGACAAGCTTAACAAACAGTTAGTGTAATACTCATGAAGGGAGTCTGTGAAGCAAGAACAAACTTGAAAAAATAGGTCGAGCATCTGCACTGCGTTGTGTCCTGTTAATGAGGCGAAAGAGCAGCTGAGCTCACGTGAGCAACATATATTCATGGCAGACTGGCACAGGGCATCCATGTCAGATGCTATCTCAAGTACTGGCATGAATGTGAGATGTATTTGAGAAGATGAAAAGCAGTTGGGAATTACCTGAGGAGGCCAAATCTGCTGCTTGCTGCATTGTCCGCGAGATGGTGGTGTCTTGCTGTTGAGATATTTTTATATTCCCGACACAAGTTACTGTGTTCTTGTAGGCTGTTCTTTGTATTGATTTTGATGCTTCCTGGAAGTAAAGAAGGACCATGAGTTCGTGAATAAGAAGAGGGTCATCAGTAATTTGACAGCACCGACCTCGCCCGCACATCCCGAGCCAAAGCCATTGGAGATTGAACGAAGACTTGTTGATCGACAAAGTAGTATAGACTGGCAAGCGGTCCCTATCCTAGCCTTGGGCAGTGACCTACGTTGCAAGGATGTTGGTAAGCTGAGTTGACAAGTTGACAAGTTGACAACGTTCAAGGGTGAAACAAGGGTTGCAACGTTGAAGAGTCGTACCTTCCACCTTCTTCTCGAGATTGAGAAATGTACGCCAAGAAAGTGTTCAGTTGGGCTCCCAAATTGCTAACAGTGACAGATTCGGACAAAATCGTCGACTTTGTTATGCCGGGCCGCGACCCTTGGGATTTGAAAATTTTCCACTCTATTGCCTCCACCAATGTGGATAATGAATTATGAACAGCAGGGTCATGATACTGACTTCACTAGACTGCAGCGTGTTATGATACTCCGTCTTGAAAGGTAATTCTCGTCGCTCCATCATATTTATCGAAGCTGACTTGCTTGACACCGTCTTTCTTTGAAGCTTAACATTGTCGCACAGACCGTTTCAAGTTCGTTTGTTCGAAAGTCTGTTGGTGATTAGGGACTAGGATTCCACTGATAACTAATAAGTTGCCCTCTTCATGTCGCCGGTCAATGTGACATCGAAGTTTGTGATGGGAAGACTTGTATGGGTTAAAGAATACGATCATCCGTGGTGCTCAAACGTGAGAACGTGCTGGCTTGTCTGTCGAATTGCTGGCCGCTAAATGAGATCACCAGGTGCCCAAAGCCTCCTGGCTTATATCTTCCGGATCTTTGAATCGCATCTGCCTCAGGCACCTAGCCTCTTTTGGGTGGATGTTCCCTCCAGAAATTAAGCACCAGTTGCTGTGGACTTGCAGATAAATGGGCCAAGTGCGCTGAAAAAATTCCCCTATGTTCTGCCTGACATGTGGCTGTTATTCCGGAGCTATGTTATGAGACATCACGGTCATCTTGCGTTTTGTCCGACTCTGGCGGGTTACACGGTGATCAGGAGTGAAATCGCACGACCCCCGGCCATCACCCGATCGACTTGGCTGCTTGGCTGTAACTAAACCCTACCCTCACTCTCACTCTCACCATCTCGCAGGATTATACAGACTTTCACGAAAATGTTATTTGATATACCAGCAGAATTGACAGAGCATATCATAAAACAGGTATGCATCTGATTTTGTGGACTATCTCACTATCTGAAACCTCTTCAGTTGAATAGCCGTTGCGATCTCGTACGTTTGGGGTCAACATGCAGGCAGGCGCGCGCCGCATGCCAGCCGCGAATCTTCCTTAATCTGAAGGTTCGAGTCGGTTGTCAATCTCAAAACGACCGAAACATGTCCCTTCTCAAAAGTCTTTCACGAGGAAAGACAGACGTAGCAAAATACGTGCATAAATTATCTATCTTCACAATCTTCTCACGCCGCTACGACTCCCGCCGTTCTGAGTTGTCAGATGCCTACAACAGGACGGCTCGTACGAAGGCGCGTGGATTGGAAAAGATGATGAAGCTCATTGTTCGTGTGATCCCGCAGTTTGTCTCCCTGGAATATTTTCAGTGTGTGATCTCACACTCGTCGTATGCTCTCATCTGATGATTCTTTCTCAGCTGTGATTTGGAGCCTTCAGGAGGTTACAAGCTTACCGATGTCGACATTATCGTTCGAGCTCTGGCGGGCCTATCACACCTTGCTAGTTTGAGCCTTGATTTTGGCCATGGCCCCTTCCTCTTGGTCCCGCCTTATCTCACTAGGACCTCTTTGAGCCAATTCAAAACCCTTCATTCTGTGGAGATATGGGGAGAAGCCAGTTCCTATGAGACTGTCCTCGGTCCGCTGCTTGCTAATAATCCTGAACTGACTCGCGTAACCATCTTCGGTAGCGGATCCGCACTCGTGACATCACTGGGTGAGATCCAGGCCCTGTACGACATTCCCGTTCTCCCTATTACCAGTATTTGCATTGGGTGTTCGCTCGACGCTACCATCCCGCAATTCCTTCCTCACCTTCGCCATCTCCGCATCGCAGGTACCAACGGTTTTGGCATACCACCCGACTTTTGGATAGCACTCATCCATAGGGGGATCGCGCTTATCACCTTAGTCACTAATATCACAACGGATGCCCTTATGGCGTACCTCGAGTCCTACTCTGGTCTAGAGGTGCTTTCGTTGTCTCCGGTGAACGATCATCACGCGGAGGCGTTCTATCAACGCGTTCTCATGCAGCATGCCTATACTTTGAGAAAGCTCTCCATCGAGATCGAGTCAGTGGGGAGATGGTGTGTTGGTCCGCGTGCTTTCGAGATGATATCCCAGTGCACGGGTCTAGTCGAGCTGAACATGCCCGTCTACGTGAACGGGGTTGTGTATAATACCCAAAAAACGGCAGTGAGTATCTCACAAACCCGGTCCTGAAATCAATGCTTATGCTGAACGAAGGTGGACCTTCAACACCTTCTTACCCGTTTGCCAAATTTGCGACAGCTTTATATGCGGGGCCCAAAGCCGACCCATGAGTTCACGGGCTTGTTTATCCAGAGTGCCATCAGTCATTTCCGCATGGATAGGCCGCTAGAAATGGAAGTTTCAACGGATTTATGGGTTTATCGAGCCAAAAAGGAAGATGCTTTCCATGTTCTGCGGTGTGTCGGGACGTGGAAAGCGACATGTTTGCCATGGAATTTATGGTAGAAAGTTGCCAATCTTGCCGAATCGATTTAGATCACCGGTTTGTTACCCGAGATAAGATGACCAAAATCCTGACTCTTCCCGGGGTTATGCCATTCATGAGTGCCGTTCAATCTCGCTACACTCAAGGTGGGAGGTGCCTCTGTCCCCTCGAAATCCGTTCTAAACGCTATCCCAGGATACCATCGGCATCCACCCATCCAACTTTGGCATTCTGCCTAAAACGGCGCTCCTGAGCTCAACAAAAAGTACGCTAATCGGGTGCTGCACGACGTGGGACTGTGTGCATGGGTCTTTAGCTCTACAGAGGCTGGCAAAGGGAAGACTTGGTATGGAGACGGATTCAGACTGCATTATAAATGTCCGTCAATTGCACCAGCAGGATAACAAAAACTTGAGAATTGTGCAGGTTGGTCGTCTTCAGACCGTTCATATCCGAAGTGGTACTCGCAACGGTGAAGTCCTCGAAAGCTGAATCTATCTGGTGTACGTTCCATTCTGTACCAGTCCTCATCTTGACTTAATCGGTATGATAGTAACGACGGGATTGTCATACATATCATTGATGTACCTCCTCCAACCTTCGGCATTTGACCTGAACAAGCGGGTACCAGATTCTGAGCTCATCATTTCCTCTGAGCTGCTTGATGCCGGTGTCGCGTCGAGGATGCACATTGATGCTGGGTGTGTCGTACGGAGGCGGATGAGTTTATGACGGCGAAGCTGGGCCACCAAAGGCGACTGAAGGATTCCTGGTGAAGCAAGAATCGAAGAGAGCACTGTATCAGATCGTGGTGTGTTTTCCTCCTTGTTTTCTTTCTGAGCCGGCTACTAACGCGATGGCCAGTGTTCGATAGCGGAGTCAGGCCTCGACAACGTGTCATGGAGGAATGCGTTTCAAAAAGAAGCAGAAGGTGATGTGGTCGTGGAGTAACGACCGGTATGTTCATATATACTCCTTCCCTTATATTTCCATCATCTGACTTGAAGAAAACTAGACCTTGACCGTGTTTAATGATGGAGCACGACGACTTCAGGCTACAGTTTGCAAAAATAGCCTTGTGTTCTTTCGCAATGATGGGATCTCGCTAAACCCGTCGGCATGCCTTGGATTATGCTCAACGCTGACAGAATAAAGGTCATTGGCACAGCCGATAACAACGATATGCACGGACTAGCCACCAGTGTTTTCATGCCAAGGGAGACTCGGGGCGTCTCGTAGTACTCTGGCTGTTTACATCGACACTTATGGCAATGATAGAGGGGATGCGGGTACAACCTTGATAGGGAGATGGACGAGGAGATCCTCGAAAGGGGATGTGCTCATATTTACAACTTCAGGTTCACCCAAGTGAAGAGAGTATCGATTCATCGTCGTACAGAATTTTTGTATTCTAAATCGGTATCCTGAATGGAGAATCGGTCTGGTCTGGTCGACTCTGCGAAATAGAAAATAACAGAGGGATGGATGGTAGGTTGGGTAAAATACGCCTCGGACTCTTTTTCCGCGTCCAAAATCCCCTTGGGGTCTGTCAGATTAGAGAGATCCCGCCCGACCGGCAAACAGACATATATCTTGCGACAGTACGATTTTGAATCTGGAATGAAGGGATAGTGACGCCTCGCACTGGTTTGAGGCCTTGGAAATACCCTCTCGGTGGTGATGGATATATCTAAACCTTCGAGTTCACTCTTTGGAGCCGAGCAACCGCCATGTTCTCAGCAGGATTCCAGCGCCTGAGATCGTCATGGGCTGGTCACAACGAAATTTAATCTCTAGGTATCTCAACCTGGGCAGGAGGGTATCTCAATAGGTGGGGTCACGTGAGTGTCCATTTCTGGATTCTAACACGCTGAATATCCGAGTCAGCTTGAGAGGAGTGAGCCTGGTAGGGCATAGCTCGACATTATCAGTGAGCACAGGGATATCTAGGGAATCCTGAAGGGAAAGCTTCCGGAATCCAGATTGGACATCTCCAGCATCGAAGCAACGGACGCCTTCGTAGATTTCGGACACTCCAACGTGGTGTCCATAATACCTCAGGTGTCTGTCTCCTGTCTGTCATATGTGTGTCTGAACGCCACTGATTTGTGCTTTCGTCATACTAATCTCCGAATCTTTAGGCTCTGGTTCAAATAGGCTCTTCGCCTGTTGCCATTGTCAGTTTTTCCAATACCTGAAATCGTGTCGCTTTACGACTCTATTGATCCTGTTGTTTGCATCTCAGCGATCTGAACAGCGGCGCTCATGACACTAGGCTGTAACCCGAGATTCAACATGTTCTCGAAGCCTCAGCACGGGACGGTCGAGATGGCGCAGGGTTTCGGCTCCCGGTGACGCCTATCAACCACCAATCATGTCGAAGCTATTTCGCATGAGCAGAAAAGTTGCCAACGCAACTACGCAACCCTGTTCTTCCTACCGAGCATCTCTAGACTGCGGCGGGTTGACTTCGGACCTCTGCCTCTTGAAGCAAGCAATGTTCTCGCTTTCGAACTCCGAGGTTCACGGTATAGACACTACAGTCACATCTTGTCCTTGATCCAGATTCGCGCACCTCTGGTGGAGCGTCTACATTGATAGGGATGCTGCATTCTATCTACTGGAGAAAATGGTATCTTTTTTGTTCCAGCTTTCGCGTTGTCATGCGTGGGTGCCGATTGGATCCACCTGCTCCTCTCCACAGATACTCCGCCTGGTAACCACTACTTGTGTGCATATAAAGACTGTCAAAGGCAAATGGAAATGCTAATATCCTTTCTCTCATTCGCTGCCTCTTGCCTTCTTTGCGGATCCCCGCCCAGGTTATACTACTCTCTTTTACTCGTCCAATACTTCAATTCCGTCTCATTGGCTATGTTCTCGCGGCGTACCTTTGTGACTTCTGTCGCGGTGCTATTGGGCATCCGAGGAGCTGCTGGCCAGTCTGCCTCTGCTTACACCGACCCAACAACGGGAATGACCTTCCAGGCATTGCAAGATTCATCGACGGGATTTGTCCTTGGAATCGCACTGCCAGAAACCATTGGTACTGATTTCATTGGTCAGATGGTAAGCTTTGGGTTTTTTGGCTCTAATAATTAGTGTTTAAATTCTTCCTTCCCCTTCTCTGAACAGGTGTTTGCTCTGACCGACGGAGCAGGATGGGGAGGTGCTAGCTTTAATGGTGCCATGACCGAGAGTCTGCTTCTCGTGGCTTGGCCGAATGGGGATGAAGTTATGGCATCTTTCCGAGAGGCAACGTTCGTGTCCTATCATTCTGTAACTGCTAGGCTATTCATTTGACAAATTTGTCTTACAGTGAGTACTCTACACCACCTGTTTACAACGGCAGTGACGTCACACTCTCTACCGTTGCCGACGGCACATACATCAACGATACCCATCTCTCCTTGACCTTCCTTTGTGGAGGCTGCATCGTTGGAGACGACCTCACTTTCTCCAGCAATGACACCAGCGCTGTCTTGGGCTGGGCATATTCAACCTCAAGCCCTTCAGACGTTACCGACGAAAGCACCGATTTGGTGTACCACAGTGCTGGATATGGAGAGTTTGGGCTGGGGATTGCCGATGCTCAGACGTCTGAGTATGAGACTTGGGCCGCCCTTGCTGTCGGGGATGATTCTGGAAGCAGTTCGTCTGCGGTTTCTTCCACGCCGGTGCCGGTTTCTTCTGTGACGGCCGCTGCGACTTCAACCATCGTAGCGTCGTCCTCCACCAGGAGTGCTGCCTCTGACGCGTCGTCTTCTGCGACCAGCGAAGCCACCATCACGACGACCAAAGTAGCTAGTACAACTTTGGCATCAGTGGGCACGACAACTACGAGCGCGGACTCGTCAACCATTACAGATGCCAATGTCTGTATGAATAGTATGTTTATGTTATCATTCCCCATTTTTCCGACGTGCTTAACGAACCGAAATTAGACTATAATAGCTGCATTGCTGCTAGTCAGCCGGATCCGGACTGGGAGGGATGTGGTGCGACGAAGGATTCTTGCTTGGCGAATGCAACATACGTTCGGACAAGGAGGTCGAGTAGTCTGGGACGCCGGTTGTAGGGGTAGCTTCGCAGGCACACTAAAAAATCCTTCAGGAATTTGCCGCATATGATATCCTCAACATGCCAGTCATGGAATGTTCTATCAGAAATTCTTGTGTTGGTCCTTTCATGTCCTTTGATGCACCGGTGAAACTTTACGTGGGCGTTGGAACAGTGGCGGCCCGATACCGGAGTGAAGTTGCTCTCGGCTGGGCTGTATCTAGGCTTATTGAACGCGTCTCCGAGCCATGTCCTATTTTTTTTTCTCCCCACTTTCTTCAGTATCAAGGGAAATGTGCGTCCTTCGGAACAACTTGCTTCTAATTGACACAGTCTAATATATGGATTCTTGAATTCCTGATTCCGATGGGCTCGGCTGAACTCTGCATGAAAGTCTGGAGATGCGAACTCTGGCCAGTGGCCAGCCTGAGTGGCTGGGTGATCCGATAATGGAAACGTCATTACATACTGTTCCGACATTCATGAGTCGTTGGGGGGCCGTTGCAGCTCTGGCGCCTTTATATATCTGGTGCAATGACCCGACATTCCAAACTCGACGATCAGCGCCTTTCTAACAAGGTCAACTGGCGATAAAAATCAAGAGCCTGACAGGAACTTTTACTTGTGCTTTTCCCGGTACGTATTCTTCCACATGCCTGATGTACTAATACCTACAATATTTCAGGTTATGGATGATTCCTATCCGACAACGAGCTCCCGACGGCCCAGCTCGTCACTCAATGTCCCAAATGAAATTTTAACAACAATTTTCTCGGTTGTAGTCCATTCTGCTCCAGCTTCAGAGCATCCTCGAGTCCTTTCTTGTATCTCCCTTGTCTGTCGCGACTGGTGCGCAGTCGTCGCCGACTCCTCGGAACTCTGGACCACAGTGTACATGTCCCACATCACCGACCTCCCGACCGCTCAACTATTCTTCGAGCGTTCAACTCCCCGTTTACTCGATGTCATACTCAAGTTTGACTTTTACGTCAACTGGTCCATCAGTGCTAAGATCGCGGAAGTCACAATGCCGTATCTTCATCGGTTTCGAACTCTCAATGTCGAGTTCGATAATCCGGACACGTATCTTGCTTTTTCCAACCTCTATCGCACCACTGCTTCATCCCCACCCTATTTGAGCAGCCTTCGCCTCCATTATACCGGAAGGACTTGGAGTTTCGCGATGATACCCAACGTCCCTCTACTTTCCTCTGCGAATAACATCGTTTTCCTTGACCTTCACCGTCTCCCAGTGAACGTAGTATCCCACTACTCCGGCCTCACCATGCTTTCCTTATACCGCATCTTTCTGGGTCACGCGCGCTTGCGAGATCTGTTTCTCGCGTCCCCGTCACTCGAAACGCTCATCCTCGCAGCGTTACACACATTCGACGGGCCCAACACCAGCTCAGACCTTCCTCCCATCGATGCGTCCTCCCTGCGATCCCTAGCCCTCAGCATGGACAGCTCGCATCGCGATTCGTGTGTATCCGGCCGGTGTGTCATATCCTGCCTTCACATGCCGAATCTCCAGAGTTTGGAGGTATACGGGCGATGCAGGTCTACCGCCGTAGGTTTAGGGGCGCACTTTGGTGACCTCCCAAAGCTGCGGAAGCTCCGGCTGCAGCACCTCGTGTGCTCTGATCACGATGGGCCCTTCTTCCGATCCCTTAAGCGATTGGAGCTTGTGGACGCGGATCTAGGAGGGAGGTGTTTCCCTCTTCCGTCGTTATCATCGTTGCTGTATGATTTGGATGGGGGAGGAACCCATTATGAATGGTTGGCAGATACTTGTCATCGGCCAGGACCTCCGTTACGCGTTCAGATAACGGATTCCAAGATAAACCAGTGGGTACAGGGTGAAGGGGGCTGGGATGAGCATGCTATTGTCGAAATCTGCCCTCGGATGTCGGTCAAGGGGATGTTCGACTGGGCGATTCTTGAATGTGACAGGGAATATAGGGACACTGAATCTGACTGGTTTGATTCGTCCTCTGATTCTGACTCTTCTTGATTCATGTCTGGATTTATGATGTATTTCTGCCCTAATTACACTTGGTAAATTTTATGCAGATACATACGTGACTACTAGTGATTCGTTGAACGACAGAGCCTGTCTAAGTAAACGAATGTTACACCTTGGCATTGAAGAATTGGCCATCAATGATGGCTAAGGACATGTCAGGCAGCTGTAAATTGTCCATACATAGTACTAGCATGGAATTGAGACTGCCATCTCAGTATGAAGCCTGTGAGGGTCCTCGATTTCCATACTGATATTCGAGCTGGCTCTGGACTAGAATCGGTGGAAAGGTTGACCTGGGTGGTACCCTATCCAATACGTAACCTAGCGCGCGTATCAGTGCTCACGTTAGACAGGAATTCTTTGAGGGGTGCCGGTGGGCTGAATTTGTGCTGCTACACTGTTATACAGAAAAGTCACCAATACTGTCGAGGACCTTTTTCTAGGCTCAAACGGCCAAGTTCTGGACAGAAAGACTGGTACTTGTTACGAATCCGCTTTGAATCCGCCACTCGCGCGATGGGGAAGAAGATCCTTCAACTCTTCAAATATGATTGGCTCGTCTATAATCTCACATGATACCTGGGACCGGTGCGGTCCTCCCTTCCCCTGTGGCGGTGACTCGCTTCTCCATGTTAACTGTCGAGTTCATGACCAAGCGATGTTCCTCCCCCATTCCTTCATGGCCTCCCTACTGGACATCCTCGCCGACTTGGAGGCCTCCAACGACATCATCATTCACGATGACCGAAAGCACCTGTACCGACGGCTCATTGCTATGTGCATCATATTCGTCACCTCCCTATTCGGTATGTCGTCGTTGTATTGCTGCGGCGCCGTCGACCTGAAATTAATCTTCGATCTTGTGCAGCTGTTTCGTTCCCTGTGATATCGAAAAGGTCGACATATCTACCAATACCCAAAACTGCCTTCTTCATTGGGAAGCATTTCGGCACTGGTATGTGATGCACGAGGTTTGCGTCAGGCGCTAATTCTGAACATGTATTCAGGCGTCATATTATCGACGGCGTTTTGCCATCTTTTGCAAGACTCGTTTGAAGCGTTACGAAATCCGCTGGTAGCTGAAAGTTACGGAAAGGTTGGGGACCAATGTGGGTTGATAATGTCAGTTATCTTTTCTTCACTTTTCTGCCAAGTCTCACTTGAAGGATAGATTGGGCTCCCTTCTTTCAATATTCCTCATTGAATGTACGCCTCATGGCTATACGCCTGATCTTCATTTCTGATGTTGTCGTAGATATATCTACTTCATATGTTGACCATCTACATGCTGAGCCCTCTGAGCCTGCTTCTCCAGTAACCACGATAGTACCGTTACCTGAACCACTATCTATTGGTTGTGGCGGTCTTCCAGAATCAGCACCTGACGAAGACACGCCACTGCTGTCATCCTCTTCTCACTCCTCGCATACCTCCTCGTCTCATCCTCCTCAGCACTACCTTTCTTCCATCTTAACGAATACCCCTAGGCATCTTCGCAGCACTGAATCGTACTACATCATCAACGACCTCAATTATCACGTCAACCACGGCGACTACCAACTGATAGGCGGTAAAGGATCGTGCGTGTGCGTGTGCGTCTGTCCAGCCGGTGCCGAAGGCAATAGACCACCAGCAAAGAGCACTTCGCGTAGCGGAACGGTGACTCCGACGCACAATGTAGACGTGGAGAAGCCTCGCATTGGAAGGAGACGCCAGGTGGTCGGGATTCTAGTACTACAGTTCGGGATTATGATTCATTCACTTGTGATTGGTCTGACGCTCTCCATCACTCACGGTGCTGAATTCAGTACGTTCCATTTTGTCATATATACTTGTCGTATTGACCGCATCCCGCAGCTTCACTTGTGACTGCTATCATATTCCACCAACTGTTCGAAGGCCTAAGCTTGGGCATCCGAATCGCTGCATTGCCACCCGTGCGTCGGTTGCCAGTTCCCAACACCACACCGCTATTTTCAATCCATCAATGGCACTGGCTCGCACCCGTGCTCTCCTTCCTTTTCGCGGTCACCACACCCCTCGGGATGGGCGTTGGCATGCTGGCGTTCTCAGGCAAGGTCAGCAAATCGCAGATGCTGATCACGCAGGGCCTCATGTCGGCCATCTCGGCCGGTATGCTGATATACGCGGCGACGGTGGAGATGATTGCTGGCGATTTCGTGTTTGGGAACCTGACTGGACATGAACATGGGCATGGGGGTGAGATTGAGCATGAGGAGGGAGGGCCGACGCTTGGAAGAAAGATCCTTGCTGTTGTTAGTTTGCTTGCTGGAGTGTTTGGGATGGGACTTGTGGGGATTGGAGAGTGATGAGCACTTTATAGAGATATTGTATTTTATTAATCTGGATTTTGTAATCTATTAGACTTGCTCATTGAGAATCTAAAGCGATGAGAAATAACATACAGAAGTCCTTGAAGAATATTTATGGCAGAGATGCATCTGATGACCTTAGATTGTGTCGTTTCGAGTTATTGACATGTTCAATCCATCATTTACATTAAAATACATAATCAAAATTGTAAGAGGATGACATTACAAGGACCTAGACCAGATTGTCTCATCATGTCGATTGGCATCATTCTACGAAGTACTTGGTACCTGAACCAGTGAAATGGCGAAAACGCAGTTCAGTTGCAGTATACGAGAGCACCAAGAACAGTATACATAGTTCAGTTGCTATGGCGTAGATTCAGACCCCAACTTGCGACAGCAAGGTCGGCTGTAGTCAGCTTAATACTTGTAGATGCCGGATACTTGACACCGGAACTCTTGGAATCATTGTCATCTCAATGGGAGCCATAATGAGGAGTAATGTCAACACCTGCCCAATATCATCTGAGCTACTACTTGGGAAGAAAAGAGTAGGATTTACCGCCAACTGCGTTGCTATGTTGGTCCCAATGATGGATATCACTGACAGCATTCATCATTCGCCGCATAGGGACCTGACCAGTACACCAGCACCACTGCGACAGTCCCCGAACAAGATTATAACTCTGCGCGAATGACGATGTCCTCCTGTATAGTGGTCGTTACTGATGCCCAAGTTGAGAACATGGCCACAAGGTGAGAAAGAAGCAAAGCATTTGGCAAGGGCAGAGAGCACAAGTTCTGGGGGGCAGAGACGTGAAAGTCGAGCGCAACGACGAATGTGTCTGCTCGCTGGTCGCTGTTACAGTCATGCTGACATTAGCACCGGAACCACCATTATCATCTCCCCGTAGTCACTGGAGGTGTAACGAGTTGACGTTTCGAGACCTCTGATTACTTTTGTTTACCTATGGGTTTGGATTTGATTTATGCGAACCAGTATATAAAGTAGCTTAGTCTTTTTTGTACGGGTTCGGACTTTCGCAATCAACAGCCTTTACAACTGTCACTGGCTGCACTAAAGTTCTTGGTGTGAGTGGTGACCTCACCCTCACAGGAGGTCTTCTCTCCGCATGTTCCTTTTTAAATCATCTTCGCGTCGGCGTATCCACGATAGGACAACCACTTTTGACCCTGGCCCCTATCCCTTCTTGCAACGTCTTGTCTTTCATAATCAGTATTTCTGGGTATACAAATCCACTGATAGGCGCTCGCGAATATACTGCGCTTCCTTTCGCACGGTCAAGGAAGAGCTAACGATACCATGCTCATGTGGTGTGCTTTGCTCTCAGGCCTTGATACTCACACTCTTGCATTCGTCTCCCAGCACTCATGACAGGAAAAGGGGCATACAGAACCAGCGTCATTCGTAATGCTGCTGTTGCAGTACTTGAGTGCTGCCAAAGCCTAAACATTCGTTGTGCTATCTATGGCGATCTGGCATTGCATCTTCTGTGTGATATACCAACAAGCGGCTCTGTGAGTCTGATTTCGTTGCTCTCCACCTTACGGGCTAATTGATACCATAATAGTGGCAACTGGAAATTCATATCATCGGCGATTCAGCGACCCTCACATACGCAACCCTGCGCTTGGCAGGTATGGATCGCCGGTTCTCTTTGACCACACAGGCGGCCAATAACAGAGCCACGATGTCTTATAATCACGATGTGTTAAACGACGGGTCATTGCTTAAGAAGCACAAATGCAAGATCGCCTTCATCTGCGGTCCTTTATACGATATCTTCACCATCCAAGATCTTCCCCTTCTTCCGATTCAGGTCATTCTATATAGATACATGGAGACTTATTTCAATAGGTCAGGGAGTAGATTGAAGAATGCCATGGCTGAAGTCATCGCGGCCAGTAAGGCATATCTGCGTCTTCCTGATCTGCCACCTTCTGTATGGAACCTCATCCCTCCAGAGCGGCCATTGTTCCTCGATTATTTAGCGAAAATAATAGCTGTATTTCCTGAGACTGTTGACTTGTTTGCTTGTCTTTACCCCTCTTCATCCCCGCCTCTCATCTCGCCTGCTCTACTTCCCATCGAACCTCCTGTCCCATCAGTCATGGGAACCGAGTCCGCAAGCATCGTGGAACCATCATCTCTGTCTAATATTGTCAAGGAAAGAAAACGACAATTCCACTCGGAGACCGTTCTTGCTGCTGCACGTACTCTCTCGTCATGCGTTCGTCAGCTAGGACACGAGTGCTTCATCGCTGGGACAGGGGATGCTCCTTGGCATATCATGGGCTCGCCCATTATTCCAAAGGTATGATCTATACCTATCTTGAACCGTTGACTCCTCATTCAACCTTCAACTACAGAAGCGTCATATCGACTTCTTGGTTATCTTACGCAATGGGAATTCCCTTGACTGGCTTCAGTACACTTTGTGCAAGCAAGGTGTTTTGAAAAAAAAAGGTGTTTTACAGCATTCTGTGCTTGTTAGCGATGGAAGATTAGGAGTCTGTAACATCACCTTCGAAGAACTTCCTTCGTCAATGGGCCTGCGCCCTTATGAACGCACGGGAGCATACTTCAATGGTATTTCCGTCATCAACCAAAACTACCTATTCTTCACGATGCTCAGGTCGGTGAGCTCTCAGGTACTGCCGATGAAATCAAGAGCATACGCGACTGTTTCGGCCGCTCTAGAGCTACTCTTTCATCGAAATGCCAATGTTCATGCGGCATTCGGAGATGTGAGCAAACTTGTAGAGCTCAATCGGCTAGTTTGTGCCTGTGCGGCTGCTCATCCGATGCTCAGAGGGTATTTCGCTGGTATTGGCTTCGGCTCTTCCCTGATGCCCACGCTATTGGCTCCTCTACCAATGCCAGTCCGCACGGTGTGTGAGCCAGCAGTGCCTGTCCAAGTTCCAGTGATAGGCACACAGGGCGGAGTCGTATTTCAAGCAGCCATCGATACAGTACGTCTCCTTCGAGGCTCGGGCTATTCATGTGCGATTTTCGGCAGTGCTGCTTGTTATCTTTACGGAAATGAACGCCTGCCGAATGTATGTATAACACACTCTTGTAGACTTTAGTTAAACTAATGCTCTGCTGCAGGACGTCGATATCCTTGTCTCGTCCTTGGTTGAGGCGGAAGTTATCAAGGGCAGTCTAGTTAACCAGGACCCTCTCCACTTTCACCTCAAGAAGGCCAAAACTCCAGGGGCGACTTACAAAGTTTTATGGTACTGTTATCACCAGGATATCGGAGGAAGGATCATGACCAGGGAGTCCAAAGTTGACATCGTCATGGCTGGCACGATGATGCTGCCATTCCTATCGTCAGGATCAATTATCATGCAGGGAGCGTTACCTCTAGTTCCCCTCGAGGTGCTTCTCCTGCATAAGCTGCAGGGATGGTACGATCACATGACAGCACCCGAACTGCACAAGCAAAGAAAGCAGACGACCGACGTAGCAGACATTCGGCGTACCCTCAAGATTGTGCTCCAGAGCGTGACGAGGACTAAGAGATCGTGGGCTCGAGTGGCGCTGAGTTTCTTCCAGGAGGAGTTCCAACGCCTTACGACGGATAGGGTGAAGCTCTTCTGTTCCATGTTTGTAGACTGTAAGAACGATTGGTATCAACTGGGATTTGAAGTGGCATAAACTGTTATACTCATGGATTTGGCCTTTGTATACGATGGACTATTGTCTCACTATTACCGAGCTATCAACTTCACAGATACACTGCTAGGGCGTGCTCGTTCTATGTCATTTGCCTTCATGCAATATGGATCATACTTTGGCGAATTCATACATCACGGCAGCCAAGGATGCTTGATCAGTTTTGCAGCAGACTCTCAGTCTTCGGTACGAAGGGAGAAAGAAAACCAACAAAAAGCTGTTTTAATTCCAGACCACCACATACAATCAATCTGGTTCAGTGTGATCTCGGTGCTCTGGCTTCATCATGACGAAAAAATATCAAATGAAGACCTGCGATAATATTCATTGATAGGAGCATGGCATATGCAAGATAAGCAGGCCAGCTAATCGAACGGTTGCTGGGCCGCATGAGGGCAGGCCTCAGGCCCTCTGACCCCCAAGGCGCTAGGGAAAGGGAGAGAGAAAATATTCCTCTACCCTACCGATGGATAATCGGAATGAATATCATTTATCTGATGGCATACCTAGCTGGACAACGTCGGATTCGGGCTCGACTATGACAGTGCCATCCCATCTTACCTTCTGCCATGACTCGCTAAAGCTCGACCTTAGGATGTATATATATCTCCGGAATGGTAATTTCCCAGCACTTGGTCTAAAGAAAAAAAACGATCTAACATACAACTGAGCTAAAGAGCCTACATGAACAAATCCTGGAGAAGGGGAAAACTTGAAACACTGAAGAGATTATCCAAAAACGGAACAAAAAAAGGGCCTCTTATAACAAAAAGTCATTTGCACTAGGGTCGAGAGAAACGTCCCACGGTTCGTTTCAACAGTCCCTGCTCGTCGACGTAGAACATCCCACTGCTCGAGGGCCCTGGCGCATACTCCAAAGACGACGGAGATATTGATGTACGAGGGATCGGCGGTCCTGGTCCGTAGGCTTCGTATCCCATATCATGTTGCGAGATTTCAGCATTCGACCCGTTCCAAGACGGTCCAGGGTACATCACGGCAGGGACGTAAGGCCGGGGAGGACCCAGGTTGACAGGTACAGACGCTGCATACTGATCCCCGAAAGGTGCACGGGCAGGAGTAGACGCGTTGAGCGTGGTTGACCTTCCCGAGATGAACTGGTCCATGAAGGTTTCTCCGGGATTGAGGCCACCATTGGTTGGGGCGTCGAAATCGTTCGAAGCCGAGGACTCCGCCGTGGTTTCCCTTTCGTAGGCACTTCCCTCAGGGATGGGCTGCGTGATAACTCCGTAAGGTAGTGCAGTGCCGTGGTACTTTCGCCGGTGTTTAGCGAGGACGCCTTGGTTGCTGCCACCCCAAGTACAGTCGGGAGCATCCGTGCACTTGTATCTTTCGTTACCAGCGCTGGAGGAACATGTCAGATTTGTAGAAGCCAAACAAATCAGTGCACGGACTGATGTTTGGCCCTGTGTGTTTCAAGATTGCTCTTCTGGAGAAGCTTCACCGGGCAGTCGGGGCAAGCATACCAGCTGTCACACAATGAATATAAGCAAAGGTAGGGAGAGTACTGTCTCCTTACTGTTGCTCCGATTTCGAGTGTAACATCATGTGCCTTTGGAGATCTTTCTGTCGAGAGACCCTGGTGGAGCACTCCGGGCATTGAAACTGTTTGTTTCCTCGAGCCATGGTAAAGGGCAGTTGAAAGCAAAGGGGAAGATGAACAGGAGGATTTTCGAGGGAAGGGGGGGAGAGACAAGCAGTAAGGAAGCGAGCTGAACATGCCGGGCTTTTATAGGCCTCAAAGGGCTGGATTGGTTGGAAAACGCGCCGTTTGTTTCTTCCTTGTAAGCCAACTTTATAGTGAGTGGCGGCCAATTCTTACAGCAGTGCTACCAATTCGCAGGAATAGCCATTATAGGATGTTGCCGGATTGATTGACGCTGAGAAGGAACAAAGGCGCATCGGGTGTAGGCCAGAGACACAAACAATTCAGGGGCTCCAGGTTTTTTTCCCCAGTAAGGCAGGTCCTGACATGATCCAATAGATACAGGAAATTCCTGCGAGCTGTACCACCGCTCAGGCAAGTGCCTTTGTTTTACCAAGAGAGAAGACTCGATTATGTAGTCATCGGCGCTGAGATTGAGCATGCGTCGCATCGTAAATCTAACAAGCAGCAGAAGTTGACACAAGTAGCAAATACCAATGAAGGGTAATAGCAGAGTAGCGGCGAGTACAAGGTCGGAAGGATACAGCAACGATCGGCGAAAGCCGTATGCATTACATAAGACACGCGTCGCGTCCAGTTTGTTTTGACATTTTCTAACAAAGCGTATTCTTCCTTACAAGGGAGTAGTGGGTGACAAAAGGAGAGCTATCAGTTAGTAAAGTACAGATCAACAAAATGTGTTTGTGCTGGGCCGGGAGAATTTTGCATTTGCACAGTGTGTTATTGCATTTTTTTCCCTTCAGTGTGTTACCATAGTGTGTGTTTGATGCATTTGGTGCATTTGAGATTAGACTAGTATAGCAGTTAACATCTCACAAAAGCACTTCTGGATAGTAAAACCGTGTGTATATGTGTTGGAGGATATCCATACATATACCCATACTATTACACTTTTGATTGTCACACTTTTGATTATCACCTATTCTTACTTACCATATATACATGCTCCCTGTCATTTCCTGATCACCTATATAGCCTGGCCATAAATACCCATATACCTCAGTCATTTCACCTATACTGTGCCTGACTGAGATATGTATACTATTATCATGCTTTTTACTGTATCACTCACACTCTTTTGTAGACAGTTACTCATATTCTTCTGCTATTAATATGTTAAAACCTGCAGTATAAGAGAACCTGAAGCTTGTGGCATGCATCCATACTTTACAGAACACTCTGGATGCCATGCTATAAGGCAAAATCTATGTCTAAGTCAGAATGCATCTCACACATTGACTCAACTTTGAAAATGCACCTTGCAAGTCTTTATGCATGCATTGTTGGATACAATGCACACATTGGAAAAATAAATTCATGTGTTCCAAAGAAAATGCATCCACACATATGATTGTGACACATTTGTGCCAGGTGCATTCAGTGCATTAACCTAAGTTTAACTGCACAATTGTGTCCCCCATACTTTTGGCTTAGCAAAGAGCATTTGATACTGTTCCATTACTGCTAGGATTCTCATAAAACTTGTCTATCTAAACAAAAACATCTTCTACATTTTGACAACAGTAGTCTAAGTTCTATTTTTCTAGATGCACTTGGCTGATTGCTTAGTTAGTTTTCTATTATCATTCTGTAGTGGATTCTCCACAGTGTTAGGCTCTGATACTGCTTTATGCTTCCTGAATATCATCTGAGGCTTAGGTACAGGCCCATATGCTCTTTTCTTTATATTGTCTTCTTCTTCTCTTGCTTAGAACCACTCCTGCTGTTTGTCTTCATCAAAATCTGATCCAGGCTTCTCAATGTCAATGATTGTAAGAACAATATATAATTGTAAAGCAGTTCAAGCTTATCTCAAGTTTAGACTTTATCCCTTCTCTCACATCTTTACTATTCTCTTCTCTAAATTTCCAAGGATACCAGCTTTCTCTGATGTATCAAACATTTTGTCCTTCAAAATATGTAAAGCTTCTATATCAATGTTCACAAAAGAAAATTTCAGATATCCATCAGTAGTAAGTTGAGTATAATAAACTAACTACTCTCATGCACTTCAAAGAATAAAGATTTCCACATTCTTGTCTTTATTGTTGACTATTGGACAATTCTCTTGGCTCAAGAATATATCACAATGTTGGTAGATGACTAGTAAAGTGCATGCATGAGCAACCAAAAGACAAAGTGAGCAGCCCTTTTCTTGATCTTTAGGGTTGGTAATATATTGATAGATATAGTTATAAATTCAGGCTTGATCATCAAGTGTTAGAGTCTCATTCCAATAAATATGTGTAGGTGTAGCAAAAGAGCTTTATCAATCTCAGAGTTAAAGGGTAGAGATTTAAGATTTAGGAGAAGCTCTTCAGGGTCTTTATGCTTGTAAACTTCATCTGCATGCAGAAACTTTTCAAGCTAGAAATTTGATCAATCCATTGTTTATCCAACTTGGCAAGTGAGAATTAATGACTTGATTAAGTGTCACTTAGCACAGTTGTATCACAGTGCATCTATAAGATCAGACTTGTTAATAGTAGTGTATTTGCCTGTGCTGTATGCCAAGTCTGGTGCAGGAATATTGTCTCTCCATAATTTCCCAATCCAACCTTTTTGTTGAATATTATAGATTATGAGATATTAAGGATAATAGAATTCTCTAATTTTTGCAAGAGCTATCTTGCCTGAGCTGTTGTTAACAGTTTTAGTCTTCTTATCATGATGAATGCTTGTGAAATACATACAAAAGATACTGCCTGACAGTGGTGATTGTCTCTAGAATTTTCTTGCTGTTTAATAAGAAAAATAAATCAGTATTTATAGTCAACATTAATAGATTAATTTAGACATATATTCATCTTGACCACTATGTTATAACTTGATTACTGTCAGATATCATATCATCAAACAATAGCAACTTTCTAGGCATGCACATGTGACATTGAAAAGTCTTTAAAAGATTATGCTGCATGCAACAATTTGTCTGGCAGGCTAGATGTGAATAGTTATAACATTCTTTACATTCAATTGCATTTTCTTTAACTTCAGTGTGATGTCCATCAGAATCAGTACCACAATAGCAGAGAATATAAAGAGGTGATAATGATAGTGGAGAACTGGAAACTGGAGACATTTTATTTCTGGCTGTAGATGGATAATACAGGTTTTTATCTTCTGGTGTATCATTCTTATTTGAAAATAAGAGTTTCTTCTTTTCTGAGTTATCACTTGAACTGCTAGCAATATCATCATCCTGTATAGCAATTGGAGAAAGACTTTGTTGTTGTATATTCAGTTTACTTGACTTTGATGACTCTATAAGATAACAGAACTCCCAGCTATAAGGCTCAGATGAGTATTTGATAGTCCAATGCAGTTCAGCATCAGAGATAGAGTGGAATTTTAGTGCAAGATAATTTGGTGAGTTTTTAAAATCAACAAGAAACTTCTTTTTGAATAGTTCTTGCTGCTAGGCTTTAAAGTACTGTTGTGCTGACATGCCTCCATGTAAATGATAAATAGTAGCATATATGTGATAGTCTTCCAGAATGAATGATGTCCTTCCCACAATCAAGATATTCATTGATGATCAACTCTGGAGCTGGCTGTATCCAAAGTGATTTATTTTGTCATATTCAAAGACAGCTAATTTTCCATTACATATTGGAATAGCAAATCATGTGATAAAATAATTGCTATTCTTGAAGATTCATATGACTGGAACATACTCAAGGCTCTTATCCTTCACATCTTGAAGTGTCAGTAGAGTGAGTATATATAGAAAGTCTCAGATATAGTCACTATTGGCTAATACTTCACCAAAATGCATCTGACTATGCATGCTTGATAGTTCTATTGTTGGAATAATAGAAATCAAAGTGATAAATATTGCATTGAAGATGCAACTCTTTATATAATATATACTAGTGCACCAACAGTCAGATATTGTCTGTAATACAGGTGGAGCAGATTTCACATGTGTGAGTTTATTAAACCAAATCTTAATGCTGTCTTTGCATGTTTTGAACTTATTAATTAATGAGCCATTATACATTAATGTTTTTGAGTAAGGTTTATTGATCAGAACATAAACCAGAGAGCCAGAACCAGATGAGCCAGTATAGAATTGCACAGTAGTAGTAAACACTGAAAAGAACTTTTGACAGTTATTGAGCATTGATAAGTGACTTTCTGGAGCTACTACATCTCAAAACCACATCTAAACAGTCAATAGTTAGGGTGATAATGATCTGTAGTAGTTCAAGTCACTCACCAATGAGTTCTAGAAAGAATCCTCACTTTTGGTGACTAACTTGATGTGGTAGAGAAATGAGCAAAAGCTATTATGAATATTTTAGAGCTCTTGTGATAGCATGAATGATTCAGGAAAATCATAAAGAGACCAATTATAGCACTATTTTAATATGATATAGAGGTACTAGATTAGGCTTAAAGTTGATCTCTGACTCTCTCCAACTGTTAAGCCCAAACTCCACATGACTATTAACATGTGATAAACAGTTCAGTACCTCATACTTTGGGTATGTCCGACTGAGTTCACTGATGTGTTAACAGAGTTGTGTGATCAAGGTATTGCAAGTTGCTTGAGATAGGATGATAGAGAATAAACTTTAGCTTGAAGCTGGAGTATTACTGTTAAGCCCAAGCGACACGTGACAGATAACACGTGATAGACAGATGTCCCTTCGCACTTCGAGGGATCACCCGAATCCACAATGATGTTGTCCTGTTTCGGTGTGTCACAAGGCCACGCAGTGGCTCGAGAGTAGAATGGTATGAATATAAACTTTAGCTCGAAGCTGGGGTATACCAGCGAGAGCTGTGGCCTTTAAATACTGTACAGTAGTCCGCTAATTATACTATTTACCTATTGTGTGTTTCTGGTCCATTGTGCTCGTTGTCCTTGAGCGTCGCTATCGTACATAAAAGGGCGATTGTGTGTCGTCGAGCACAACCGTTGTAATGTCTGGATGGAGAGCTTTTAGTTGTGCTGACTAAGCTCCCACGGTCTTGTGCCTTCTGACTCAGCGTGAATAGGGGTAGAGGAAAGAAAAAGGAAAGGAAAAAGGGATAAATCGTAACATTACCCCCTCGTTAAGACCATCGTCCCGATGGCTTAATTAAGGGATAATTCATAGTCGTGTATGGCGGTGTCCGCATTCATATGCTTTTCGTTGACCCACTGATTAGATTCTGGGCCGTACCCCTTCCAGCTGACTAAATAGTCAACCGTT